ACAGCGTCCATACATTGCCCAGGTCCGCGGCATAAGCTTCCAGGTGGAGTTGTGAGGAGACGGTGAGATATTTGGGTGCGCGGAAGTATTCTTCATCTTCGCCTTCAGCAGCGGCTTCGCGCGGGCTCACTCTGAAAACTTCACCAGCGCCTTCACAATCCGATGACGTGATTAGGGGCGGCTGGACCTGGATGAAGTTTAAACCTGGGCGCGAGTGAAAGACGTTCGTAGCTTGGTATATACATTCTGAACGGAAACGGGAGAGGAGGGAGTTGAAAGGAGTTCTGAATCGTAGATGGGGAATTGTTCGGAGGAAGTCTTGACTGTGGTATTTCTTTTGGATTGGATATGTCTGTAGTTCGGTTAATGATTATCAAGACCCTGTCAAAAAAAAAAAAAAAAAAAAAAAAAAGAAACAGGAATGGACTAACCTGAGGATCTGCTTCTCCAACAAGCTTCACATCAGTAGCTTTTAACTCATGGCTCTGATTTCTACCGGGAGACGGAGTCCAAACACCGGATATCTCAACAGCTCCTCCAGTCGTTAAACTAAAACCGAACCCACCCCAGTATTAGCCATTCTCAGCAGCTCAAACCACGCTCAATTGAGCCGGACAAGATCGCGCGAAAGAAAAAGGGTACTCACTCCGCAGCTTGCTCCGGCGACAAAATAGCCTGCACAGGCTGAATCGTCGACCCGTCCGAGATCTCTGCAAACGCCCAGTGTTTCTGCTTACGCACCGATCGCACCAGCCCTCGAATAACCACCTCGCGGTGGTCCAGGGAGGTATTGTCGCTCAGGGAAGGCTGGGAGGCTTCAAACAGCTGGGCGCATCGCAGAGCAAGGGGACCTGGGGGTGTGGAGTTGAGTTTCGGGGTGGAGGTTGACAGGCAGCGCCGCCATGACCGCATTGCTAAATTGGCCTTTCAATTGAGCAGCGAGGGTTCAAAGAAAATCATGACTCGCCCGACTGGCTTCTCCTCGCGCGCGTTCGACCTTGTTTGGCGTGGTCCATCCACACGCAGGCTTGGCGGGTTTGACTTCGTGAATAGAGTTTCGTGGACGACCTTGGAGGAACTGCAAGGGCAACGTGCGGGCAAAGCAGGAGTCTTATGTTGTTGTGAAAGAATATGATGATCACCTCTCTACTTAAATATGGCACGACGATATCTACTTGGAGGAAAATCCACATTCTCGGAGTTGAATCGCAAAACTAAAAGTTCTCATATACATTGAAATGGCAAACAAATTCGAAAGAGAAATCATGGGCCAGAAATTCGCATGGAAGCCAACAAGGACTCGCAATTATCCTGGGCTAACGCCTCCACCGAACAACCATGTAGACAAGAAAACGACTCAAGTGCGCGTCGGTCGCCGTTCGTAAGCCTTTCTCTCCTCTTCGATCAGTTCAATTGCCTCATTGATATTACCGCGGGCAGCTTCGGCATATACCCGGAGCCTTGCAGTACTTCGATTCTCGCCGGAGTACCCCAGTGAGACGAGATTGTTGACGCAGGCGTTGATATCCTCGTGCAGGACTGGAGACCAGGCATCGCTGAAAGGGTTGTGATTGTTGGGCAAATACGTGCTCGCTTGGGGCTCAGGTGGGAAGCTTCCCGGGGTATTACAACTTTGTTCAAGTGGCGGAGCATGCGATGAATGCGGGCGTCCGTGAGTGGCGTAAGGGTGGTATCTGTCATTCGCAATCAGCGGATGGGGGTGGGGGTGGGGAGATGAGGGACGCTGTCCAAATAATGGTGTAAACGGGCTTGATAATCTGGGCCTAGTGAGGTTTTGCGGCTCGTTTACATCGGGACGGTGAAGTGCTGGAAATCCCTGGCGTGCAGCACCAGAGATATTTCTGTTTTGCTCTCGAGGCCAGGAACCAGGAAGTTTGTCTGGAACTGGAGGCGGTAAAGGTCCTCGCTCGTGTGTAGACATTGCCGATGAGCCCTGTGTTGGTGGCTGCTGACTGGAGGCCCCTGTGGGTTGCAAAAGGTTAGAGATTTTTATGCTGTCGGCCGAATCGTGTTGCCCTGAATCTCGACGAGATTCGTGACCGCCAGGATTACTTCTAGAGAATGCTGGATGGCCAAGCAACGTAGACAGAGGCGGATATCGTGTCGAGAAATCACTGGTTATATCCTCTGAATCTGCAAGTGTTGGTGGGCGAGGATCGGCCGGGCCTGAGCGAGTGTGCTCGCGGCGGCGGTTAGAAGTTCTATCATATACAGTTCGTCTGCGGAGGATGTGATCGCCTGTTCGTACACGATCAGGCCGCGAATTACCATCCTGGGTGCTATCATGATTTCTCCGCTTTGAAGATAATGCACCAAGAGAGTTCGCACGTCGGACTTTTGCGGAATGGGAATTTTCATTATTCGAGGCATCGAAGGTTACGTTTGGACAGCTCCTTTGGGAATCATGACCCCCGATCTGGTCTGCGGCCCTGGACTGGCGATGTGGAGTATTGTCGCGAGTTGGATGTAGGAGGACGTCAGAGGCACCGGCATTCCCAGAACTCGACTCTTCTAGCGGAGAAACCCTTGCCGACGGAGAATCACTGGGTCTGTCGGCGGGTGCGTCTTGGCTGTATTCAAGATTGATACCCTGGTCATCAATGACGGAATTCTCAAGAGCCTGTAATGCACCGGCAGCCGCATAGCTGGATGGGAAATGGATATAACCAAAACCAGCATGCCTTCCGGTGGTCGCATCCGTGGGTAGCTTGACCCGGCCCACGAAGCCATGCTTCATAAGGGTAGTCAGAACCGTGGCTTCTCTGGTGGTGGACTTCAAGCCCCCAATGAAGAGAGTATTACGGGAAGTAGATTGGGTTTCAGCAGCATCGAAGTAAGCCTCGATATTAGAGAGGGTATTCTGCGTGATTGAAGCAACATTATCATTACTATCCGGCTGTGGTGAACCATCTTTATGGGCCTGGGATTGTGTTGAATCATTAGGCACTTCCGTGGCTGAAGAAGGATTATGTGTTTTCCGGGTATTTGCTCCATTGTTCACTGAAAACCCAGTTTCGAAAGCAGAAAATAGGGTTTTCCCCATCTCTCCAAGTTCGGATGCAAGACCACGAAGTCCCTCTGCTTGGGCAGCAGCTAACATTTCAGCATGCCGACTTCGAGCCGCCGCTTCTCTCGTAGAGACTGCAGCGTCCTGCACCGCCTTAGCAAGATTTTGGACATGGATCCTCATCGCATTGAGGGCTTCTTGGACCGTGGCTTCAATTTGTGCCGGGACCTGCTGCTGGGCGCTGGATAATCGCTGCTCCACTTCCGGGAGCCTAGACCGCAACTCTGAAGCAAGATGTCCTATTGTGCCCAAGAGTGCCTGCAACGTTTGCCCGACAAGTTCAGCGGCTTTAGGAACAGGCTGTTCTTCTGGTTTCGGGCCTGAGGCTGGTTGCCGGGTCTCTTGCGTAGAGCTCATTGCAGGCTCTGTAGTTGACTTGACAGTGTTCGCTTCAACATTTGCCTCAGATTCGGTGTTTTGTTCGACAAGCTTTGAGAGCTCAGCTTCAAATGCTGCGAGAAGCGATGGCGGTTGTTCTCCGATTGGGGATTCTGCATTCTTTGGTTCTCTTTCAGACAACTCCTTACCATCGCTCTTTGGCTGCGACGCTTGATAGCAACTCCAAAAATTCTGGGCAGCTGTGGGAGCTAAAAGCGGGGACGAGGACTTGGACCAGATATTCCGGGATTTTCGAAACTTGGCACCAGCAGCTTGAGCTTGTTTCCTCCCCTCATCCGTAAGAGACCCGCAGGAAGATGTAGAGCCACACGCCGCTTCAGCTTGATCTTGCGGTGACTTATTCTCTGAAGCAGCCTCAGCCTTTTGAGCGTCCTCGGGCGGCAGCTTAGGTGGATTGCAAGCCTCAAACCAGCGTTTAAGGGGATCATCCGGTATATTATTGAAATTTGAGGGTGGGACGGCGTGAGCTTCATGGGTCTCAGAAACGTCAAGTAGAGGAGACATATGCGACTGTGATGCGCGAGCGCGCGACGAGGTTCTTGCCTGAAACGTCTTCCATGTCTTAATAGAAGATGCTGATTTATTGATATCAAATATATGCATCGGGGAGCCCCCTAGCTGGCCAAGAGGAGACATGACCTGTAGGGCGGATATTCCCGCTGGTGGTTCGTCCAGCCGTTGGGCGAGCTCAAAGGACGATCCTACCTAAATTGGAGGTGAGCATAGGCAACAAATTTGGAAGGATCGCTGGACTGACTGTCACTCTCTCGCCGTCATCGTCATCGATGTAGTGGAGCTGAGCTTCAGGGAATTTAGATATTGTTTCATCGTACTCACTCCTGGATACCTCCACGACACCGTCATAGATCGGATGTGGACTAAGGACTGATTGCCTGTGCCCTTCTTGCACAGTATTGTCGGCACAGCCGGCATGAAGATCTGTTCGATCATGGCCCTCGCTGTCTTTCACACCCAAACTTGCGGCGTGAGCCTGGTCATCAAAAACAGGATCGAGAAGATCCCGAATGCGAAAAGGCTTCAACATTGGTGAATGCAAGCTCCGGAGGCACTTGATATGGTCAATTCTGGAGGAAAGGCTTGGTTCTGTCCTCCTTAAAAGAAGCGACAGCGGAATCTCAGAAAAGTGGCAGCCTAGGACTGCCACGGGCCACACGGGGGTTCCGGTGGCGTCGGAAGAATAGGGAGCCGGACCAAGTGGTGGCTTTGCTCAAAGGTTACCATTTGCCGATGCCTGTCTGTCGCCTTGAGGACCACCTCACAGGCTCTTGGGAGCAGCGGACAGGCAGCAGGATTGATGGAATGTCGCGATGGAGGGGAGCTCGAGCAGGGCAAGCTCCAGACGACGCCGGCTGCGCTTTGCTTCGTCATCGGCCCGGGGAAAGGCACCCCACGCCGCGCTAGTCCCGTTGCGGCAGTCACATGGCGCCTCCCGCGTCTGCGATGTTCGAAGAGCGAAAAGTTAGCTGCCGGCTTGCACGTCCATGTTGCCACTCTCAATTGATCACTCCACGATGCGACTTTGAGGCGTGTGCTTTTGGACGGTGTGTGATTTTTATAGCTCCAATGAGATGCTCCACCATTACCAGAAAATACTGTGCCGACCGACGCGAGGCGGGGAACCAGCTCCCTCTGTACGTAGAGCTCTAGTCGCGTAACAGTCCAATGCCTGGCCGCCAAAATGTGATCTTCATTGATAGCTGTCGCTTACTCATTTAAAATTGTCATAGATCCGCTTCCGTATCCTTGTATGATGCCTCGATCTTCATCGCGACAAGCCCAAAAGTCGCCTTCCACTGGCCATAAAGTCAACCAGGTCATTCTTGGGAGCCTCCTCTTCAAAACCTGGTACGAGGCTCTGTATCCGGAGGAGCTTGTCGCCAAAGACACGGACACGTTATATGTCTGCGGTTGGTGCTTCCGGTACACGTGTGACAGGACCGCGTACGCTGCCCATCTCCCAGCCTGCCAGCTGCGATCTTCTCCTCCAGGCAGCCAGATTTATCACCATGACGGCTACTCGGTGTGGGAGGTAGACGGGGAGGACTACAAGCTCTTCGCGCAGAACCTATCCCTCTTCGCGAAGCTATTTCTGGACCAGAAATCGGTCTGCTTCGATGTCTCTGGGTTTCTCTTCTACCTGCTGGTGTACATTGACCCCGACAACCCGGACGCTCATCACATCTTAGGCTACTTCTCGAAGGAGAAAATGTCCTGGGATGCAAATAACCTCGCCTGCATACTCATATTTCCTCCGTACCAACACAATCAATTGGGGAAGTTTCTTATGGGGATCAGTTACAAACTCAGTACCTGGGAATGGGAAAGGGGTATCGGCTCCATTGGTGGCCCTGAGCGTCCGCTCAGTGAGATGGGAGAGCGGAGCTATATCAGATTCTGGGAGGAACGAATTGCGAGGTACTTCCTAAGAGACCTTCCGCGGGGGAACGGAAAGCCCGCAACACCGAAGCCGAAGAAGAGGAAGAAAGTTACTCAAGAACAAATAACCGTTGAGGAGCTTGGAAAAGCCACTGGAATGCTGGTTGAGGACGTCATAACCGCCATAAAATCAATGGGGGTTGCATCGGAGGAACAGCTGAAGCCGAGACGGAAGAGAGCTGCCTCCGAGAATGCCAACGAGGTCGAGGAGAGCGTGGCGGTCATCAAGAAATCCAAAGTTCTTGAATGGGCCAAAAATCGTGGTATTAGTTTAGAGGATCCGGTTAAAGACGAAGGTTTTACTGGGAAATGGGCGCTTAAAAGGGAACAAGAGCAATCTGAACCTGACAACGACTAGGGAGTCGTGTGGTTGCATCGGCAGGCGTTAGGGAGGGAAGGTGAATGATTTTTGATTCTGATGATACCCTGTATAAAAGAACGGTTGCTATCGTTAATCAATGACTTTTACCAAGCCGAGTGACCTGCGTTAGGCAGCACGCTGTAGCCTGCCCGGAGTGAAGCCCATCAAGCCTAAACCCGCAAAGGTTGGCTATTGTAGTTACTGATTGATCAGGTCCAAGGTAATAAACCGCTTTTGAATTATGCTGCATGTCTAGCCGGTCCACATGGATCTAATGTCCCGAACCAAAATTGACACCGTGCGCGAGAAAATCTAGTTATTTTCGCTTCAGTAGCCTACTCTAGCTGAATTACTCATCCATCCCTGCCGGACCGCCCTGTCTTCCCATCTGTCTGGCTTTGAGAAGCTCATCGCAAAGTAGTAGGTTTGACGCGATCCCAGCACTTGATGCCACACAATTGCGCAAAACTCTGTAAGAATCAAACACACCCTCTTGAACCGGGTCCATGGGCCCTCCCGTCGCTAGGTCAAGCCCTGCAACATTGCCCTCGGAAACCTCATCTTGCAAGGCTGCGAGTGCTTCTTGAATATCATGGCCGGAATTTGCGGCAAGCGTTTTCGGAATGATCAAAAGGGCATCAGCGAAAGCAGCCACACCCCATTTGGTTTTGCCTTTGAGAGTCTTTCTGAAAGATTCAGACGACAAATGAGCAGCACATGCAACCTGGAAAGCACCGGCACCCGGGACAACACATTTATCAACTATTGTGTTATACACGGATCGAAGGCCATCACGGACGGCGTCGGTCACTTGGGCAATTGTATGCTGATTTGGTCCTTTGATTAAGAGTGTGACAGATTTCGGATCTTTAACCTCCTCAACAAATGTATACTTCTCCTCCCCAAGTTGATGTTCGTATACAAGACCAGCCCAGCCGAGGACATCTGGTGTAAGGTCATCAACGCTATTTTGCGCGGTACCACCGCAAACCAATTGAAGTCGTTCCATATTCCGTCGCTTCGCTCGTCGTAGAGCAAAGATCCCGTTCTTGACAAGAACATCCAAACTCAGTGGATCGATACCTTTTTGGTTGATAACGACGAAACCTTTCTTAGGATCGTTTCCACACACTTGCTTCTTCAATTCCACAATCTTTTTCAACTTTGCATCCACGAATTTCCGCTCGCTCTCGACGAGCTTATCTCTCTGTTCTGCGCTTGAATAGTAGAATCCAGAGTTAATTTCTGATTTTTCATATTCGAGACTAACGTTGAGGGTTAGTATAAATGCGTTCTCCACTCGTTTCGGCATATCAGGATGTCTAGCTCCATGGTCCAACGCCAATCCGCGAATAAGTTGGGTATCTGATGCGGTGCGGTGTTGCATTTTCATAATTTCAATCATGTGTAAATCTGGTTTCTGAGGAGCACGATAGATAGCAAGGACAGCATCAACGATTGATGGAGTCAGATGTTCAGCCAAAGATTTATTGAGCTTCGTTGAGAGCGAGGTTCGGGCGACGGAAAGCAGGAGTTCTCTATCGATTTCTCGTTCAAGCTTAAAGGAGTCGAGAAACTATGGAAAATATCGCGTTAGAAGAAAATATTTTACCTACTCACAAATAACTCACCTTTAGCGTCTCATTCTTAGCAATTTCATATCCATCCGTTATTACACGCGGGTGGAGGCCCTCTGATATATGTCGATCTGCTTGCTTGAGGAGTTCTCCAACCAAGAGAACAACGGAAGTTGTACCATCGCCTGTGATATCGTCCTGCGCCGTAGCCGCTCTCGCGATCATAACCTTTATAAGCGGGAGGAGTCAGTTCTCGCTACGCTACAGGTGGCGTCATTCCTTAACCATACCGCAGTAGGATTTTGAATTTGCTATGACATAAAATCAGCAATTGAATCATAAGGATTTACAGCTTTCAGACATACCATTTCTCGTAGCAGTACGTTTCCATCCTTTGTAAGCTTGATCTATTTTGGCAAACTGTAAGTCCATGCCTCGCAAACTGATCGTATAAACCATACCCCGCCAGCTCCATCAACAAGCCTGTTCGAAAACAAGTTAGATTCGGCACAAGTAGGCTGGCAAAGGGAGAAAGCGAATACATTTTAATGGTCCCCGAGGGGCCTAGGTTTGATTTTAAGACATCTTGAAGACCCTCTCCGGCGCTGATATTGACCTTGAGAGCTTCACCTCGTCTCTGTGCGGGCAGTTAGTACAGGACCAGAGATGCATGGAAGGGTGGGGTACTGCTCACCCTGGATTCAGCCTTGGGATTGAGAAGCTGTGTGGCAGACATGGCAACTGCAATGAGTGCTAAACAACTGTGCTGTTATTGATTAACTACTAACTGAATTAATTGTCTATCAGAGGAGATGCTGGAGAATGCCCTGGCTTAGCTAAGAGGAGCTTGTGAGGTGCTTGGCATTGTGTGTGTGATGAAAAGGGAAAGGCGCAGCTTTTAGTCATACAGCTCTCTGCCTTTGAGATAAAGCGCTGATGCGCAGGCACATCACAGACGTTCACATATCCCATGCGATGGACTATCTGCGGTTGGCTGAGGCTAAGGGTATTTTCAAGAAGCTCATAAGTAATCATTATGAACCTTTAGCTAATTTATAGTGTTACAAAGGGTCAAACTATCCAACACTTGTATTCCTGTCCCAAGGACACATTTTAAGCGACCCCCTTCTTCTCCCTCTTTTAATCTACCTTTATATCCAAAACTACCAAGCATTACCAAGCTCTGAGGAAGGCCGATCCCAACTCTCCAATTCTTGCTTTGTCTCCCGTCCTACTTGATGAGGGAGGTGGAGGAACTCATCAATATGGACTATCCTTCACCATATCCCTTTTCAATAATTCGTCTCACCACTTATATACGGACTTCATATGTCGATACACAAGGTGGTGATTCTAACATGGTTTATAATGGAGTGTAGCATGGATACAAATACCCAACTCATTTGCTTAAGAATGTAATCGGCGAACCAGCTGGTTTATTAGCTCTTCAAGACGATTGCTTGCTTTGTGTCCACAGCCAGTGTTTGCTGACGCAAACATTTAATTTGACTGAACGTCCGGCGAGATTAGAAGCAAGATTCAGGCCCAAAGGATGATTATGGCCAGCAGCAGATTGTTTTCATGTGGCAAACTTGCACTCGTCGAAGTTGACCACATTCTAGCCCGTCCAATGATGTCAGCAGCCACAACCATCAGTGGTCAGCCAGGTTAGTACATCCAGGGCATTCTATAACCAGGCTCAATATTTATTTTTCTGATCAGGTTAGCTCTAGAGTGTACCTAATGAGCTCCCTCTTTCAACAGGCAACATGGCTGATCTAAGTGTGATCCTTTATTGAGAGCCCGGGTAGCAACTGTGTGGGCAGTGCTCTTGCGCTGACGGTGGGGGCTCATGGATAATATTGTGGTCTATAAATCTCCTTTAGGCTTTTTGACGCTTTGATGCATCCAGCTCATATATCCGGAATACATTCATCAGACGATGGTGTCTTTCTATCGATCCTTCTACAAGAGGCCCAGTCCTCCTATCTGATCTCGCCATTGATTCATAATCCCTAAGGCCGCTTGCCATTTATCGGATAATTGCAGTTCCCTTTCATCTTAGCGGAGCCGGATCGCATAATGATCAGATAATGTACCATACAAACAAGGGGTGGGTCAGGTGCGATGACACCACATCGTCTATTTGAAACTGGCAGTTCTACGGTAATCTGATGCCTTAGCAGTGGAAGGTAGCCTGGAACACTGTGGGCTGGTTTAATAGCTATCGATTCTACGTTATCGCGGATCATGCCATGGGCACTGGAGCATTGAAGCTTTTGTACAGGGTACTCTGTATGTATATAGATTGGAAAAATCTTGCTTCGGAGAACAGGGTAGACTATCGACAAGGGAGATGTCAACGATAGCTTTGAGCGGCTCATGAGTGAATAAAATTGACTATATCCAGATGAGATATGCCATCTCAGGGTGTACCGAGTAGAAAGGACCCGTTTCCAGCATAGAGAATCGCGTGCTTTGAGGACGAGCCGTGATGACGAGCGCGGAGACGCTAATCCCTTTATGGTTAGTAACCAGCTAAGTTGCGGTCTCCGGGTGTGGAAGCCACACTCCTGTGGCTGGAGCACTGAAGCAAAAAAAGTTCTCGCTTTGCACACTTTCTCGCAGTATCGTTTTGCTCACGATACGGTCGGCTGTCATTTCAGCAAGCTCAAGGCCTCGAGCGCCCCCCGGATCACAATGGCCGACTTCCTGCTTTTTGAGGGCCCGATGGGCTACTCGCTTTTTAAAGTCGCCCACCAGGCCGACACTGTGGGCAACCGACTAAAAGAAGTACAAGACGGCATGCAGGACCTTGCGAAATTTGGGAAAATGGTTGATCTCGTCAGCTTTTTGCCCTTCCAGTAAGTCATTGTTGTCATTGATAGCGATATACTTCGTTGCTCACCGGCTTTCAGAAATAATAAGCAGGCACTCGGTGAAATCAACGACATTTCCGAAGGTGTCGCATCAGAAATGCTCGTCTCTTTCCTCGACTTAAACTTACCGAAGCCGAACAAGAAAAAGCATGTCGTCCTGGGGCTTTCCGACAAGGCTCTTGCGGGTAGCATCAAGGCTGCATTTCCCTTCGTCGAGTGCGAGACTGGAGATACTAGCGAAATTGTTCAAGATATGCTCCGGGGCATTCGAATGCATGCTGCGAAACTTTTGAAGCAACTCCGTGAAGGCGACTTAAACACAGCCCAACTTGGTCTTGGTCATGCATATTCTAGAGCGAAAGTCAAGTTTTCTGTCCAGCGTGATGACAACCATATCATCCAAGCTATTGCGATTCTCGACCAGTTGGACAAGGCCATCAACACATTCTCAATGAGAGTCCGGGAGTGGTATTCTTGGCACTTCCCTGAGCTCATCAAAATCGTTTCCGACAACCAGCGATATGCCCGTCTCGCCCTACTTATTCGAAACAAAAAAGAGCTTACGGAGGATAAACTACACGACATTGCGGCCATTGTTGAAGATGATGAAGGGATCGCGAGAAGTGTCATTGATGCAGCAAAGCATAGTATGGGACAGGATATCTCCGAGTCTGATATGGAGAACGTTATTTCCTTTGCAGAGAGAGTCGTCAGCCTTGCCACTTACCGCAAGACTCTTCATGGATATTTGGTGTCGAAAATGAGTGTGGTGGCTCCAAACTTGGCAGCTCTAATTGGTGAAGTTGTCGGTGCGCGCTTGATCTCCCACGCAGGAAGCTTGACCAATTTATCCAAGTATCCAGCATCAACCGTCCAAATCTTAGGCGCCGAAAAAGCTCTTTTTAGAGCTCTGAAGACAAAGGGAAATACTCCAAAATACGGTCTCCTCTACCACTCCTCGTTCATTGGACGTGCAGGTCCCAAAAATAAGGGGAGAATCTCTCGTTTCTTGGCAAATAAGTGCTCTATCGCTTCTAGAATAGATAATTTCTCTGACACTCCTTCAACGAAATTTGGAGATGTGCTACGGAAGCAGGTTGAAGAGCGCCTTGAATTCTATGCGTCTGGCGCTCCACCTACTAAGAATGAAGTCGCCATGGTAAGTCTAGATGTAAACGGCCCGGATACTTGGTTATATCTGACATAATTTTACAGAAGGATGCTATGGATTCGCTTTTGGCTGACCTTGAGGTGGATGATGAGGACAAGGATGTGGAAATGGAGGGTGCCGCAGACTTGACTGAGAAGAGCCAGAAGAAAAAGGAGAAAAAGGAGAAAAAGGAAAAGAAGGAGAAGAAGGAGAAGAAGGAGAAGAAGGAGAAGGAAGGTAAGAAGGAAAAGAAGGAAAAGAAGGAAAAGAAGGAAAAAAAATTGAAATCAGAGGAGGCTGATGCCGACACGCCGAAGAAGAAGAGGAAGAGAGACAGCGAGGTTGGCGTTACGAAAAAGAAACAGAAGTCTTAAATAATCTGTTTGAGGGATCTGACGGCGTTTTATGTATTTTGAATGTTTGAATATGGGACTGGAAGGGTTCTGGCTGCGTGTTTCTTTCAATATTTTAGTCTTGTCTACTAGAGAAATTTCACTTCCTATCGAAGCTCCTCTCCGATCCACACCCTTCACTTCCCAGCGGTGATGGTTGCCTTATTGAAACCACTAAATCGTAGGGATTTCCAACACACGGTTGATCGCTTCGGTCAAGGCAGGCCTGGTGCGAGTAGTAAATATGGCAATGTCCTCTGCACATCAAGCCTCACTTCAGTAGTCCCCCAATATCAACCGCAGCAAACATTCTCTTCCACTTCAGTTGTGCTAGCAGGCTGATGAATTGTCGGGCTTTCAGACTCACATGACTCTAGCTCCGACTTGATTGAAACAGCAAGGTCTCCAGCTCCGGGTCATACACTCTAATTCAACGACAACCACAGCATAGCCGCTCGAAGAGCCTAGGATTTGCCTTACAGGCTCGCACAGTCGTACGGGAGATAAAGTGATGGATAGGAAGCTAGCAGATCTGCGCAAGTCTCCGAAGCGAAAACGGGATGATGTCAACTACTACTACGAAGGGAGTACATCTTCTGCATGCCCCAGCCCCTCTCGCTCTGCTGCGAGCGTAGCGGAAGTTTGTTCGCCAGACGAGATCAGCGTCGGAACAAGTAGTCCTCAGATTACTGTGACCGGCCAGTTACAAGGCCTTGATATCCATGGCAATGCGACAAACACTGACTATCTCGCTCACGGTGATCCTCAGGCACAGCATGACCACACCCATCAGGAACAGCAAAGAACTCCGAGGCGGAAATCACAACTCGGCACACAAGCTGCACTCACAACTACCCCGACAAGGAGTACCAAGAAGAAGCAATCAAGGACGACGACCGGCACAATCGAGCCTTCAAATTCTCCTTGCACACCACCAAAGACAAAATCTCAACGAAAATCCCCCCCTCTTACTACGCAGCCAGAGGAAAACCCGCTTACATGGCACGATTCAGAAATAACAGGGTATGATCCCACAGACCCAAACGACGATGGATACGGTATGAATGGGATAGGGTTCAAGCCTACTGCCGCTGTTGCCTGGGACAGAGTGCAGCGGAGAAAGAGGCAAATCGCTGAATGGAAATCTCGAGAGGCACGCGAAGACCGCAACAAGCGACGAGAGAGGCGGGATGGTATTGCTCCAAACGAAGAGGAGAAGGCAGACGATAGGAATCGTAAAAGGGTCAAATTTGAAACTTGATGTGACCTCGGCAAACGGCACGGCGGTTTATATTATTATACACTGGAGCTGAGTATTCACACTTCGAATTATCTTCCTCTACGCAAACAGAATGATATCGAACGCCCGTGTTTCCGTTCCAGAATGCGAACTCCATAACTCCACCCCAGCCGGGAAATGCTACCAAAACTTATAACTGGAAAGGTTGGTCCAACTTTTTCGTTTCCGTTCCTCTTCGGCCAAACGAGCTTCCTCCTCCTGTTTCCTCTGAGCCTCCGCTTGTTCTTTCTGCTTTTTTATTTTTAGTTCCCTCATTAATTGTACAGCTTCCTTCATTCCGTCCATTTCTTTGACCCGTTTCCGCTGGCAGTATTGGTGTGTCAAGATCGAGGCCACCGCGAAGGAACCGACAGCCCAGTTGCTCGCAGCCCATAACGACCTAAGGCCTACGAAGAATCAGCAAGCCGCCCTAGATAGAGAGATTGGGCATTACAACAAACTCATAACGTACCTCCGAGTACAACTCTTAGACTACCAATTCCGAATCCCGTACCGATGCCGACGAGAAGGGAATCGCGCGCGCAGGGTGCTTTGTAGAAGGATGTGAAGTCGTTTGTAGATAAAGATTTAACTGCATCCATGACAGTCACTTCTTTTGGTTTTCCTCCTGCGGAATTGTATGTCCCTCCGGGCATCAGATTGACCGGTTCTTCGGGATTCCCAAAGGCGTCCCATAGCTTTCCGACCTGTGACTTGGGAAATTCGTGCTTGGGCCTTTTCGGTCCCGTTTCTGACGGAGGTTGTGAGGAACCGTCCGGAGCCGGTTGGCTGGTATCTCGAAAGTCTTCCGCCATTGCTGTGATAGTTGCAGATTTATTATTCAAAATCTCACAATTCCACCAAGCGATATCCATTTCGAAGGCATTCGACGGAAACTGGTTAATCCGGCCCCTCCACGCAGGAGGATTGTTTATCCGAGACCTTAGTAATTAATCCGCGTCCGGGCCAATTAAAACGCGTAAACCCACCGCGAACGCGAAACGCGTTGTCGTGCACCTGAGCCCGCCCGTCTTCTCTGCCGCAGCGATCAGAGCCTGAAGCTGCATTGCCAGCCCTTGCAACTTGGAGCCGTGAGGCAATCGCACACATATCGCGCTCCAATGGATTGTTCTTAACCTATTTCAATCCAGATTGTTTTAGTGGAGTTTGCATTAGCGGTCGACATGTCGCGCCGACCCAGTAAATATGGGTCGAAATTCAGGTCTGCTGCGGCTTCATTCAGGCCGAAGCGCGCCAAAACGGTTGAATTCTCGGCCCTTCGAATCAGCGAGGCGACCTCCCAGGATGAGAAATTTCAGGCGCTACGGCTGGCCAACAGCATCGATGAGTCAATGGGATTTCCGCGCTTCGAATCGGGAAAGAAGAGAATTGGGTGGCTCTGCAATATGCATAGTACCACGATTGAGGATCCAAAGGTGCCTGGTGGGAGAGCAGGTGTAGAGTTTTACTTTTTGGAAGACGACGGCGGCAGTTTCAAGGCCACGGTTGAATATGACCCCTATTTCCTTATCGCGGCGAAACGGGGCTATGAAATGGAGGTGGAGGAGTGGTGCCGAAGGAAGTTCGAAGGTTTGGTGAAGAGTACGAAGCAGCTTGAAAAGGAGGATTTACAAATGCCGAATCACCTGCTTGGAAATAAGAGAAAGTTCTTGCAGCTGAGCTTTGCAAACGTCAATGATCTTCTTGCCGTCCGAAAAGTTATCCTCCCAATCGCAGAGAAAAATAAGAAGAATGTGAATGCCATGGATACTTATGCAGAAATTGCTAGTGCAAGTGCTGGCTTTGACATGTTCGATGACGAAATGGCCGACAAGACGAAAAATGCATATCTCGAAGCAAGCGAATTTATTGTGGATATTCGAGAATACGATGTTCCATACCATGTACGCGTATCGATTGATAAGGGTGTGTACAAGTCGCAGCAACTTTGCGGAATTTAGGGGTCTAACAATGCCTAGATATTCGAATTGGGAAATGGTACACTGTAGATGCCACTCACGGAGCTGTCTCCTTGACTTGCATCGAGGAAAGATTACAGCGAGCGGATCCCGTTGTCCTTGCTTTTGATATTGAGACCACGAAACTTCCACTAAAATTCCCTGACCCTGTCATTGACCAAATAATGATGATATCTTATATGATCGATGGTCAAGGATACCTGATTACCAATAGAGAGATTGTCTCTGAAGATATCAGTAATTTCGAATATACCCCAAAACCAGAATACCAGGGCCCCTTTACGATATTTAATGAGCCGAGCGAGAAAAGTACCATTGAGCGTTTCTTTCAACATGTGAAAGAAGCAAAACCAACAGTGATTGCGACTTACAACGGTGATTATTTCGATTGGTCTTTTGTTGAAGCCCGAGCAAGTGTTCAGGGGATCGACATGTATAGGGAAATTGGATTCCGAAAGAACAGCGAAGATATTTATCAGAGTGACTACTGTGTCCACATGGACTGCTTTGCCTGGGTGAACCGAGACAGTTACTTGCCGCAGGGAAGTAGAGGCTTAAAGGCCGTTACTGTGGCGAAACTTGGTTATGACCCCGATGAACTCGATCCAGAAGTTATGACGAGATATGCGAGTGAGCGGCCCCAGACTCTGGCTGAATACTCAGTCTCAGATGCCGTGGCGACCTACTACCTGTACATGAAGTACATTCATCCTTTTATCTTTTCTCTATGCACGATCATACCTCTCAACCCCGACGATGTTTTGCGTAAGGGTACTGGTACCCTTTGCGAAATGCTTCTCATGGTTCAAGCCTATAAAAACAATATCATATTGCCCAACAAACATAAGGATCCAATAGAAGCATTCTGGGATGGTCATCTTCTAGATTCGGAAACGTATGTGGGTGGACACGTCGAAAGCATCGAAGCAGGAGTCTTTCGCAGCGATATTCCGGTCAACTTTTCGATAGATACGACTGCCATTGACGAATTGCTTCGTGATCTTGATGCCGCCCTAACCTTCAGCATTACGGTGGAAGAAAAGAAATCTCTAGACGACATAACGAATTATGACGACGTAAAAGCGCAAATATCTGACAGACTTATGAACCTGAAAAATACTCCTAATAGATACGAAAGACCGTCTATTTACCATTTAGACGTTGCATCGATGTATCCTAATATTATGACCACTAATCGATTACAGCCAGACTCGATGATCAAAGAATCTGATTGTGCAGTTTGCGACTTCAATCGACCTGGGAAAACCTGCGACAGGCGCCTTCCATGGGCGTGGAGAGGCGAATTTCTTCCAGCCAAACGAGACGAGTACAATATGATTCGGCGAGCTGTTGCCAATGAGAAGTTCCCTGGAAAGACGCGGGACAGTCCTCTGCGGAGCTTTGATGACCTTAGCGAGTCCGACCAGGCAAAACTTGTCAAGTCTCGACTCCAAGAATACTGCAAGAAAATTTACCATAAGATCCATGACAGCAAAACAATCGAACGTGAGGCAATTATTTGTCAGAGGGAGAATCCATTCTACGTTGACACCGTCCGCAATTTCCGTGACCGCCGTTACGATTTCAAGGGACAACAGAAAGTGTGGAAAGGCAAAGTCGATATTTTAAAAGGATCAGGTGCGACTGCGCCTGAAATTGAGGAGGCCAAGAAGATGGTTGTTCTCTTCGATTCGCTTCAGCTTGCCCACAAAGTTATCTTGAATAGTTTCTACGGATATGTTATGCGAAAAGGATCACGCTGGTATTCCATGGAAATGGCGGGTGTAACCTGTCTTACTGGTGCTCATATCATTCAGATGGCCAGGGAACTCGTGGAGAGAATTGGGCGTCCCCTAGAATTAGATACCGATGGTATATGGTGTATGCTTCCGGCTACATTTCCTGAGAATTTCGCATTTACTCTGAAAAACGGCAAGAAAATCGCGATTTCATATCCTTGCGTCATGCTCAACCATCTCGTCCATGGACGCTTCACAAACCATCAATACCAGACTCTCGTCGATCCTACTACTTTCCGCTATGAGACACACAGCGATAACTCCATCTTCTTTGAGGTTGACGGTCCATACAAGGCCATGATCTTGCCGACTTCCAAAGAAGAAGACAAAAATCTCAAGAAGAGATACGCTGTTTTCAACCACGATGGTTCGCTAGCGGAACTTAAGGGCTTCGAAGTCAAACGAAGGGGAGAGTTGAAACTGATCAAGATTTTCCAAACTCAGATATTCAAATTTTTCCTCGAAGGAACCACGCTGCACGAGACTTATTCTGCAGTGGCTGAAGTTGCGAACCGATGGCTTGACGTCCTTCATCTGCATGGATCTACATTAGCGGACGAAGAGTTGATTGATTTAATTTGTGAAAATCGAAGCATGACCAAGACTCTTGAAGAATACGGTAGCCAGAAATCAACATCAATCACTACAGCCAGGAGATTGGCAGAATTTCTGGGAGATCAGATGGTTAAGGACAAAGGTCTAAATTGCAAGTATATTATATCTGCGGCTCCAAAGGGCTCCTCAATTACCGAACGAGCCGTTCCCGTTGCGATTTTCTCCGCAGAGCCGAATGTAAAACGGTTCTTCTTGCGCAAATGGTTGAAAGAAGACCCTGGCGACATGGATCCGCGCAGCATAATCGATTGGGAATATTATCTGGAGCGATTAGGTTCCGTGATTCAAAAATTGATCACAATCCCAGCGGCCCTGCAGAAAGTCCGCAATCCTGTCCCAAGAGTTCCCCACCCAGACTGGCTCCAAAGACGGATAGATATCAAGGATGATAAATTCAAACAGAAGAAGATGACCGACCTGTTTGATAAGACTCCCCTTTCTAGTGTGTCGACGAATATAATGGATCATCGCCTTCCAACCGCTGGAGATATCGAAGATGCTATGTCCACTCAGAAGCTCAAGACACAAATAAGCACGCAGATGTCGCAAAAGAGGAAAGCACCAGAATCTTCACAGTCCACAGACCCTTTTGCAAGTTTGCCAGCCAAGATGCCATCGATGAACGAAGACTATGAAGGCTGGCTGAAGTATCAGAAACAAAAGTGGAAGATCCAAAAGCATGCTCGTCTTCGACGACGGAAGTTATTCGGTGAACGTACAAACGTTGCTACCGACGCCCTCAGCAACTTTTTCAGAAACCAGGCTGAGCTGACATATGTTAGCACGTGGCAGATTCTGCAGTTCAGAGAGACAGATATTCCGGGAGAAATACGGGCGTTCGTGCTCATTGATAGGAAGGTCCACGCCATTACCGTTAAAGTACCACGGCAGCTTTTTATCAACTTTAGGGATGATCAACTCCCCGATGTCGACATAGAAGGATGCACAGTCCAGAAGGTCAACCATGCTCTACCGAACGGCCATCCTTCAGTGCATTTATTCCAATTGACAATGCCCGAGTTTACGTATGTGAAAGATGTAGCAACAATTTCTGCACTTTTAGACCATCCTAGCGTCGAAGGTGTCTATGAGTCCAAGGTTCCCCTGGATATCCGGACTGTTCTTAAGCTTGGTACGCTATGTACTTTCGATGAGAGCCAGCGTGGAGTGTTGGGAAAGGGGTTGGAACATGGTTTTGAGTTGTCCACCTTGCTAAAAGCCGCTCCCACCCAAACATACCTTGCTGACTCCCAGTTCGAATTCGTGTTCGTTTATCATATTGTATCAGGGGACCGCCAGATATTCTCTGTCTTCTCAACACGAAGGGACGAAGCCCATATCGTCATATTCTCAAAACAACGAGATGGACAAGGTTTTCCGAATGTTGACAAAATATATGCTAACTCTTTACGTCGTCGGATCGAAGAAGGCAACAATGAAAACTGGCAGCAGGTTTTCGAATACCAGCATGCATTGCATTTTAGGACAATGCAAGTGACGGCCAAACGCAAGGCACACCTTGAGGTCGGCGATCTTCTTAGAAAATTTCGAAATGAGAGCTCGTACCCCACTCTGATCGTCCTTCAGTCGCTTCATAAACAACAGTTACTCCACGAGGTCTCTGCTTTTAAGGATTTTCCAGTTCTGTCTTTGAGATCCGATCCATCAGACAATGAGTTGCCCCGACTGGGCTGGCAGCCGTTTGTCGCAAAACAAATCGTCATGCACTACTTAGCCTTGGATTCGTGGATCAGCCATCTGATTGAATTCGCGAGATATGGAGACATTCCGCTTTGCAATCTCGAACGGGATGACCCGAAATTTTTGATTGATATTGCGTACGCCAGACGGTTAGAGCAAAATAACGTTGTCTTGTGGTGGTCACCCAATCCGCTCCCTGACCATGCTGGTTACGAGAAAGATAACATCAATAGCCTCATACAAAAGGTAGACATGCCGACGATCAACAATCCCGGCGCATATTCGTCCGTATGCATTGATCTCGACGTTCGAAACCTCGCCATAAATACAATCCTTACTTCATCGCTTATCAATGACCTTGAAGGAAGCGAATCGGTTCTGCTTAACCCTTCAGCCCCAACTGGCCAGGAAGTATCGGACGGCACCGGGGTGCTCTACTCGGACACAGCATTCTCCTCGGCCGGTATTGTTGTTCTCCGAGACATGGTGAAAGCTTGGTGGGCAGAAGCCTGTCAGGGCAAGGTCATGGCAGATGTCATGGTGCAGCACCTGATCCGATGGGTTGAGAGTCCAGATTGTAACCTTTACGATCGTGCGTTACATCAATATGTGCAGATGATGTCCAAAAAAGCATTACAACAGCTCATGGGTGATTTCCGGCGGGTTGGCTCGAGCGTGATTTTCGCGAGCCCAAATCGCCTATTACTGCAAACTACGAAGACGGAGGTCGGGAATGCATATGCATACAGCCAATATATTCTCAAATCTATTAAATCAAAGCCCCTATTCAATTTCTTGGATCTTGAGATAAAAGAGTATTGGGAGTATTTACTATGGTACGACGAATTCAACTATGGCGGGAAAGCATGCCACGAAGTCGTCGAATCAAACAGCCAGGAACTCGAGACGATTATGCATTGGCAGATGGGTGGATTTCTTCCAAGTCCTTTGCAGCCAGTGTTCAATGACTGGGTCGTGGAATATATTGAAATTATGCATGGCTTGAAAAAGTCTAACAAGTCCTTGGATTCAGATGAATCAAGGCCAACGCAGATTCAGTTCAAGTCAATGACGGAGACTGAGGGTATCGACGTCACTAATGTCCTCTCTGAATCTTACTCCAAAGCTCTTAAGCGGCAGATCGTCGGGCTAATCCGACGACAACGTGATGAGATGCTTCATCCTGAACTGGTATCGGATTACGACTTCCCCACCCTCCCCGGGGCATTCTGGCACGATACCAAGCGCGAAAGGAACCCGACTTTAGAACTAGTCAAGTATCTCACGCACGTTCTTAGTTTGTCAAAGCATACGTCTCTGGAAGTTCGAATTCTCCGACGCGAGCTCTTAGCACTGTTCGATATCAAAGAGTTCAGCGACGCAGGCAAATTCGAGAACCCAAGCGCCAGCCTCAAACTCCCGCAGCTGATATGTAACCACTGCACAATGTCCAGGGACTTAGACCTCTGCCGTGATGGGGATCTCCTCCCCGAAGAAGGTGGTTCTGCTGCAAGTAAAGCATGGTGCTGTCTCTACTGCGGCACCGAGTACGATCGCCTCGCTCTCGAAGAGAGAATGATAGGCGAAGTACAAGGTATTGTTGTGGAATGGCAGACACAGGATCTGAAGTGCGAGAAGTGCGGTGGCCTGATGGTCAACCCGCTTATGGAGCATTGCTCTTGTGGCGGTCGCTGGACGACGATGCTTGATAGAAGGGCGGCAGAGAGGAAAGTGAGGATATTTAAAAGCGTGGCTGAGTTTTATGGATTGAAGATGCTTACGATTGTTACGAATGGTGTCCTGGATGGGCTTTGAAGGCGTTTAGTCTGTGTTTCTCCGGTGTTTGTTCCCCATCTGAGGGGTACTTTTGGCAAGGTATTCATATATGCTGGCGTTGATGTTTCATGGAAATCCAATGGTTACTGCCTGTGGTTTCGAATTCTTTTTTTTTTCTTTTAAACTCCGGAATGCTGTTAATGACGTGTACATAAATATGCGTACAGATTCCCTATATAGATTTATTTGCGCTTTCTTGAATGCGGTGGTCGGTTCCGTGGTTCCCGGTCCGCCCGCACCGGTGGACAGTGATGGGTCTAGAATAGAGTCGAGCTTGTGGGGATGGCGGTCGATGAACATCAAACTCGACGGAGATAACAACGGTTTCAGGTCTCTGCAGCCTTGGGGCTTGGGGCTTTTTCAGCAGATCCCAGGACAGGGATTTTGATTCCATCGTATTCACCGTTCACTGATAGCAAATTTCTCCAGGAAGTCGACTAGCCGGATGCACCCCATCATCCTTGCCCCGCCATACTGTTCAACCCTCTACTCTGTGATGAACACACAATCCCGTTAATTGTTCCATTGGACTGAAAACTGAAACTAGATTTCTTGTTCTCTGCAATCCCTCTTAAGTTTTTGTTTGTCACACCCCGCGTTGTCTTCTCGGTCAATAGCAGTAAAAGAGGAGACACGAATTTCCTACAAAACCCTATGGCATTGCAACCTCAAAACGGCCAACGGCCACAAGTCCAACCATGTCGATATAAAACAGGGAAGACGCTAGGAGCTGGCTCCTATTCGGTCGTGAAGGAATGCGTGCATATTGATACTGGTCGATATTATGCTGCGAAGGTCATCAACAAGCGATTGATGGCTGGAAGGGAGCACATGGTATGGTCTCAGCAGCGCGCGTGAGCCTGAGAAGGAGGAGACGGTTGAGCTGATACTATCTCCTTAGGTTCGAAATGAAATCGCTGTGCTGAAAAAGGTGTCGATGGGTCATCGAAATATCTTGACTTTGGTGGATTACTTTGAAACCATGAATAACTGTACGGTCCTGGTCCCGCCGCTTTTGCCTGTTCTGTACGAGATCAATCGCTTATGATTCTCCAGTATACCTCGTCACCGACCTCGCGCTTGGAGGAGAGCTGTTCGACCGAATTTGCCGTAAGGGTAGCTACTATGAATCCGATGCTGCGGATCTCATTCGTGCCACTCTCTCCGCGGTAGCATACCTCCATGATCATGGAATCGTACATCGGGACTTGAAGCCCGAGAACCTTTTGTTTCGCACGCCGGAGGACAATGCCGACCTCCTAATCGCAGATTTTGGACTGTCGAGAATAATGGACGAAGAACAGTTTCATGTCCTGACTACCACTTGTGGTACACCAGGCTACATGGCGCCAGAGATCTTCAAGAAGACTGGTCATGGGAAGCCTGTGTAAGGATATCCTCTTCTTTCCGCTCTAAATAACTTAAACTGTCCCCATATATGGACGAGATACTATTAAGCTAGCAAACTCGCTAACAAATACCCACTTTGAAAAAGCGACATCTGGGCCATCGGCGTCATAACCTACTTCCTCCTCTGCGGCTACACCCCCTTCGATCGGGATTCCAACCTTGAAGAGATGCAAGCCATCCTTGAGGCGGACTACTCCTTTACCCCAGTCGCATACTGGCGCAACGTCTCCCAAAGCGCCCGCGAGTTCATCAAACGCTGCCTCACCATCGACCCTCACGCCCGCATTACCGCTCACGAAGCTCTTCAACACCCATGGATCAGTCCACCCGCCGATCCTCTCAATCCCAACGTTCCCGTGCGCATGGGCTCGGGAGAAGACCTTCTCCCGGTGGTCAAGAAGAACTTCAACGCTCGCCGAACACTTCACAAGGCCATCGATACGGTTCGCGCGATCAACAAACTGCGTGAAGGTGGTGGATTGATGATGGAAGGGGCAATGAGTGTGGATCCAAAGCCGGAACGGGTCATTGGTGACAGAGTGTTGCAAGAAGATGATGAGGATAGGATGGAGATTGATAGTCGGGGTAATGCTAGAGGTCAGACAGAGGAGCAAATTAGGGAGCAGGAAAGGAAAGTGAAGGAAGTTGTGACGGGCTTGTGGAGTCAGACTGCGGCTAGGAGAAGATGAGAAGGGCTGGTAGGTTTTTTGGTTTCTTTTGCTTGGTTTCATGGCGATGCTTTAAGGCGGATTGTAGCGATGAGGGTGAGACTCTCTACAATCCCTGCCCAGTTTATACTGGAGTTTGAGTTTTCAAATCGAAAGTTCATCGTTGAAGCTTGTCCCCGGGTGTATATCCATAATGGTGTTTATAGCATGTAGCCGAAGTTAGTAAATATCGATGGCTGCAAGCCTGATGGTTGGTGTCCCTTAAGGGCTTCTTTCTCTTCGCGTTTTCCCTTAAGTTATTCTCTACACAGCAATTCTCTTCAAATATAATGAACGCAACCGATCTAATAATTATAACCCCAAGTTACTCCGGGCATTATTGGATGTATCTATGAACTTGTCAAGGTGAAAATCTTCATAAAAAAAAGGGTGACGAGATTTCTGAAGGAAAATATATTGGGGAACCACGACGCAAGATGTTCAAAAGCCTGTTCCTAGAAGCTTTAGGCGGTCCGGGGATGATGCCACCCATTTTCTCCACTCTTGCCACTGTGCATGGGTAGCACTGGCTTTGAGACCCTGATACCGGACAGTCTTGAAGTCTGAAACTTCCTCCCACGGCTTCTTTGTATTATGTTCACTATTGGCGTTGCTTCTCAAGAACCTGCGGGCAACGCTTGAATATACGGGGACAACATCCCAGCCTGCCTTTCGCATCAGACTCTCCACGGTGTCTTCTTTCGTCCAGCCTTGTTCCACAGGGACGTCCGGGAGGTATGTAGCTCCATATCGTCTTCCGCGATGAGTAAATGAGATACGGATGCCGTGAGTACCTAAAACCCAGTCCATTGCATGTGAACAGGTTTCGAACGATGAGAGGAGAGTAAGGGAGCAAGAGAGGGAAGGCATTAGTGAGGCCGGTACTGGCGAAAAACGTGTGTCTCCGAACGCCCTTGTAAGAAGATCAGTCTTCCGCTAATAATAGATGTTAGAGTCGAGAAATCAGAACTAAGAGAAACATACGATGAAAGTGCGTATGACTTTAACCCGGAGGGGAGGTCCTGAGGTTCAAAAGTGCCAATACAGCCGCGAAGATGTTTGTGACCGTCCCGGCCGATGACATTCCAGGTCACAAATAAAGGATAATTAATGTCAGAGGTGCGCGCTACTGCGCTATAGCTCTGATTGCTGAGAGAGATTGGAGTGGATTTACTACTCTGAGAAGTCAAGGATGTGGTGGCCGTGAGGGTTGAGAGAGAGGAAGTAGTGGATAAAACTGAAGGGGTTGATGACTGGGAAGACCCAGGAGATGGCAGACCCTGAAGACGAGAAATGCTCGGGAGTTTAACAGGATTAGATCGATCTGCAGTCGCTTGCTGATCAACGGCCTCGTCGCCTTTTGTATCCGGGTCATTCTCATCTCCCTGGTCTCTAGCCTTATCTGGAAGCCCTTCCCACTCCTCGCTCTCGATTTCTCCAGCATCAGTTCGCGAGGCGGAGTTTAGAGGAAGTTCTTTGAACGCTTCATATTCTTCCCACAAGTCTTCGACCAAGGAAAGACTTGGGGCTTCCGTGCCTTCAAACGAGGCAGAGAGACATTCAAAGCAGTAGAAGCAGTGGGCTGGAGAAGCCATAAACCTGGTGATAAACAGAACTAGGGCTTTACAGCTCACTAGCCTGTAGAAGAACGATCTTCTTGGGTAACGGAAGCAGGATATCAGTATCTCAAAGCGGGGGAGGGCCAGGAACACTTGCACGACGGAACCAGCGGAAGGCACCGTTTTGGTATATTGAGGTAGGGTTGTGCAAGAATCAAAGTGGCTCGAGAATGCGCAGGAAAAGGAGAAGTTTGCTGGCCCTCCCGATGAAGCCGGAGATGATATCCTCTGTGCCCTTGCTTGTTGGAAGCGGGAGGATGAAGCTGGTGCGGTTTGCGCGGGGACGTCGGGCGGGCCTCGCTTATGTAATTTTATGTGTTAGTAATCAATCAATCAATCAATCAATCAATCAACTAGTTGACTAGTTAGTTAACTACACTACGGAATGTTAGTTAACTTGTTAATAGGCCGCCTGGACAAAAAGGCCATTCACCCAGGGGAGCGTTCAATTTCCCAAACGGTTAGGTAACTACAAAGTACCTCTACAGATAGATTTAATGGAACGAAATAGTTACCACACTGGTGGTCAGCACATCTTCCACCAATACTCTTCCGAGTGCCGTGTTTATTCGCGCTCCACGAACACCCTGCGGGCTTGACATGCAAGAGGCCGCCTTGGCTCCTAAAGCAAATCATAGTGACCTTCAATTCTTCTCCAATCCATGTTGAGCTTCACTTTCCACGTGTCTGCAATCCCAATGTTTTGTGTTTCTACCAATGGAACCCCAGATTTGGTCCTTTCAAGACCTTGCAAGCCTGCCTCAAGTCACCAGGGGGATTTCTGGCATCGTTTTCGAGTATAAATCCAAAGAGGTTGTCAAATGGCCATATCAAACATAACCATGAAGTCAAAAGGCATATATATGCACGACTAGGCTGGCATCCCTGAATTGTGCATGTTATTGCAATTTTGCCAGAAAGAGGCATTATAATGAAATGCTTGAAAGAGCCTCTCTGTCTGCGCCTGAAAGCTCATCAAGAAAATGGAGATACTGTTTCATCACAGGAGATTCAGAGATGCTCTTTGCAGATTGTAGAATGTTTACTTTACATCCACAGCAAAGAAGTCCTCCAGGCTGGTATCGGCTCTCAAAATATACTTTTGGATATGGGCATAAGTAAACTTGGCCCAGTGGCCTATGCTGTCGATGTTCCTCCAGGAGTAACTGCCATTGGTGGTATTGGGTGGTTTGTTTGTCCCCTGAGCAGGAAGGCTGTCAGATAGTCCAAAAGTGTCTGAGTCAATAGGCCATGACTATTGTTGCTCTGCTAATGGGGTCAGTTCCCCAGAACCCGCGGGAAAGACACCATATTTACCAGCCAAGCTCTTATTTCAAAAGCAGGACATTTTTTCTTTCTTTTTTTTTTTTTTTTTTTTTTTTTTTTTTTGGATAACTTATCTTTCCTTAACCAGGGGACATGCATGATGGTCAATGTGGAAACCGGATTGGTCTCAACTCGCAGACATTGGGGTCCATAGCGCAGGCGAGAACCAGGATCGGTTTCTGTTGCCTGCAATCTAGCAAGGTGATTCAACAGCTCAGGTCCATCCCATACCACCAATGCAGAGATAATTGGTGCTAGCAATTCTGATTGCACGTTCTGATATCCGGTAGAATACTACCCCGAGCTGTGCCTCCGTGTGCGTTGGCGTTTGACACGAGAAGCACAACTCACCACGTGCACAGAAGTTAGTTAACTAGTGAACTAGTCAGCTGGTTAGTTAGTCCTCTTTGAGACTAGTGCATTGTTGGTGCACTCCTTTAAAATGTCGTCATCACTCATCACTGTTGGCAACACGCGACAGCATCAAGTCAAAACAACGACAGCAACGCCAAGTTGAACATCATACTGTGAGGCTTGCAGGATGGCATATGAGATAGGATGACGGCAGCTAACTTTGCACCGCCTTGAGGGGCAGGCTGCTGAAGCCCAGATCGATGGCGTGGCCTCAAACAGGTCTCGTCTCGAAAATCGTCTCAGCCCCCTCCTGTGCTCCTGGATGCCCGGTGCCACTCAAGCCTCTGTGTTCCGCTCGATGCAGCCGGGTTCGCGTATTCTTCAAAGCTGATGTCCCCTTGTGAGCTATGACACGGGGCTGAACCCAATGTGGAAGCTTCCTTCTGGTTTCTGGGCATGTCGTAGAATGCATAAATTTTTCCTTTTCTGCTCATTCCTGGCTCTGCTGCGACAAAGCTGTTACTGAATGAGTCTGACTGAGCTGTATATGACCAGTTGGACTTCGGCAACTGATCTACATGATATTTGTCGTCCCTGAAAGAAAAGGATCGTATTTAAACGTCCCTCTAGGACCTGCAAAAGATAGTTTCGCTCTCCATCTTTGGTCAGAACTATTGTTCAAGCATCTCAGCATTCTTTAGTGTGCAATTTCCGTGTGCTCCCTTCTCTTCTGCCGGATCTTTCTTTCATTGCGCTATTCCGGTCAATCGTTGTCGCCGGCCGACTTTTCGCGCCCTGAATAAACGCTATCCCAAACTCAAAATCTATTCAACCACAATGAAGTTCACTCTCGCTCTCATTTCTCTTCTGGCTGCTGCTACTATGGCAGTTCCGGTGACCCGCAAGCGTATGTAGGATTTCACTTTTTTTTTGGTAGATCGTTCTACTGAGTGCCATCCCTTATAGGAGGCGATACCCAGCCTGTCATGACCAACGGCAGTAAGGAGATTGTTCCTTTCGACAGTGAGGGAGTTGTTACGGTTTAGTAGTTTGGAATTCACCCGATAAACGTGGGCCAGCGTGGCTGTCATCCCATCAAAGCGATCTGTGTGATTCGCTACTGTTTTTGGAGAACCTACTCAATCTCGACGATTTCGAGTGGCGGAATACATTCTTCGATATTTTGTTATTTAATAACTTGAAATCAGCTTTCAGTTCAGAGGCAGCCCATTTATATTCAAGGTCCTACAAGACGCACACCACTGGGAAGCTCTCCTTATTGCCCACGGTCATCTTTGGGCATCTTCATACCCATCATTCCTAGTAAATTACTTCCGGGGCCCGCTGCACCGCCCTGGCTACGCAAACTCTCAAGGAGATTCCTGGCTAGATTCACGTCGACATCAGAGTCACCGTGATCGTCGTCATCGGTGGTGTTGGCGTCTTCTATGTTCCGGATGGGGGCTTTCCCCTTGAGTGATCGGTTTTTGCGTTTTGACTCCTCTCTCAACACCCGGTTTGGGTCCAGAACCCCGGCTTTCTTCAATTCCGCTTCCATTTGCCTGGATAGTTCCTGAATCTCTTCGAGTTCTTCGTCATTATCTTCACCATCGTCGTCATGGCTATGTTTGTTTTTCTCTATCTCCACCTCTTCATCACTAAAATCCAACTCCTCTTGTGACAATCCCTGCCGTATGTTTTGTAATTCCTCTCTTAGTTTCCGATTTGAATCCATGATTTCAGATTCCTTTAGAATTGGTTTCGTTTGCTGCGGTGGCCTTGGGCTTTGTTTAGAAGCCTCCTTCTCATTATCTTCATCGCTAGATTCCAGCTCCTCTACTCGTGCATCTCTTCGGGGGCCAGCAGTCATTCCTGAGCTCGTAGACGGCAACCCCATCATTTCTCGCATCATTCTTGAAAACTCCTCCTCATCGAACGATGCTTCCTTATCTTCACCATCGCTGCTCAACTCTTCGTCATCAATCTCGCTATCATCCGATTCACCGAAAAAATCCGCCCCTTCAAAACCGGCACTATCATCGTTCAAGAACTTTTCAAACTGAGCAACTATCCTTTGTAGATTTTCTTGGGCTGTCTTATCACCGAAGTCGCCCATCTTAATGTTATCACCGGCCTCTTTCCTTCCTTTCAACTCGCTTTCCAAGTCTTCATAATTGATATCCAGCCATGATTCATCGTCCTCTCGCCTATCCCATTTTTCTGCGATCTCCTCATCACTTGGAAGCTTGTCATCACCGGCCTCGATATCTTCAAGAACTAATTTGATCTCTCTGACCACAGGTTTGTCTTGATTCTGTGGGTCGAACAATAGCATCTCAAATCCACATGTTAATTTCATCCCAACTTCAGCACGGCTATACTCTTTAGACTCTGGGTTAAATAGTAACTTCGGCTTCCATTGCTTGGGTGGATCGAAGTCCTGGCTTTTCAGCTGCGCAAATCCGGTTTTGGTGAATCTAACGCTTACGGTGACAAGGTCGGTTGGATCAAAGAGGAGCGGCCGTTGGTCATTAGATTGCAACACTCGTAGAGATATCGGATCGCGGATATAAAATGCTTCGACAGCCGGAGAGACATAGGCAGGTTTCATATGCAGAAGGTGGGCGATGGTACGGGGAACGGTGGCCAAAGATGAATGCATATTCTTGGTTATTTGATCTGGATAGTTTCGTAGGCGGTAGAATGCTTCTTCTTCAATTGTTGGTGACCGCATAAGCCTGGTAGGTTCGTTAAGAATGATCTTCCTCGCATCGCCAAAAGCCAACTTTTCAGTGAGTTTCTTTCCTACGGCCCTCGCTGTTGTTGGCGGCCCAATAATAACCAATTCCCCTCTATGAATCCATACCCTATTGCTTGCTATGCCGGGATCCTCAAGCCACGGCGGCAATGACGCTGCAGCTTCTACGAGCAAGAATTCGCCATCGCTATCAGTTACCTTCACCCAGAGATTATCGAACTTGCGTGTCAACTCGCGCAGGAGGAATACAATAACCCATTCGTCCTCAATAGAATCGCCGTACTCGGTACGTCCGCGAAGCAGGTTAACCCCTATCAAGCCGGCAATTGATCAGCAAATGCTTTTCCAGTATGACATCGAGGACCTTAGTTAGTATCCGTCCACGACAGACCTGCTCACCATCTTCCTTGATTTGCTCAAGCCTAAATCCTTCGCGCTGCCATATATAATCCCTCAAGTATTCCTTGACTAGCTCAGATGCTGCCTTTTGGACTTTGCTCAATGCGGCACGGGACGCCACTGGCTCATCCTCGGAACCTGGTGTAGCATCCCCGGAAATACAGTAGAGAGAGTACTCCACACAATCTTCCGGGAGCTCGGGTTTCGGGATTGGATGGAATGTTGATTTAAACCATTCGATGTCTTCCTGCGACATGGGCGCCATCTTGCTTTCCCCTGCAGATGCTTGACCGTCCTCAGGTCTTCCCCCCTCAACGCAAACAATTCTAAAGCTCTGATTATATAACCACCGATGACCTCATGTTGTACGGGCCAATGTTATTCCGATACTGCCAACTCGGTCCACCCTAGGCCGGATTAGGCTAGAGATAAACAAATGCCCCAAACCCGCGAACATGTCCGTCTTGCAGGAGATTCCCATCGCGATATGTGGGTTTCGAATACGCGCCGGGCGTTCTTATTACGGAGCTATGAGTATCTAAATTGAATCACGGCATATATTTATACTTGATTCCTGCAGAAAATGGCATACAATTATATTGATACACCGCGAACCCAAGTCGGGAACGCGACATACTTAAACACCGGCTTTCGAAGCACTACACGACACAACCTTTCGGCTCTAGATTCGCTCGAAAACTCCTTCCATTCGCCTTCCGAAGATAGAGATCTGCTTAAATCAGGCGAAAATAAGCGAAGTCGTAAAAGCGATGACTTCTCGCTACGAACTCCGCGAGCTGGGCCAGCTCCACGATCCGCAAAAGGAGGCATGCAAAGCCGGCGGAATCTTCCCACCGCAGCGATTCCTCGCGGCGAATTCACGCCCCTCATGAAGAGTGTTACGAAGAATAATTTTTTGCGGAATACAGGGAAGGGCGGACCGGAGACACCGGCTTTTCTGCGGAATGATTATAGGGATCCGAATACACCAGGGCTACCGAGGATCGAGGCTAGCGAAATCTATGAAGATCGCTCTATGAACTCGATCAACGAAAATGATGCCACACCCATTCCTGAAGTAGCGAGTAGCAGCCCACAAAGTACGCCTCTGCCCGTGCTGCCTTCACGGAACGGGGGCGGAGGGGTTTTGGGAGATGATAATATGATGACATTGAGGGAACAAGAAAGCGTACCATACCCATTTTCCGTATGTGATTTGTGAGGAAAGGTTCGGTTATACTAACGACGTATCTCAAATCTAGGCTATCGATAAACTCAACAAAGACAACTTCGACCTTAAACTCAAGGTCCACTTTCTCGAGGAAAAGCTCAACAAGCTTGGACCAGATGTGAACCGCATTGCTCTGCAAGAGAATATAGAACTTAAGGTTAGCGGAAAGACGATGGAGCGAGAGCTGTATCGTTGTAAGAAGAGTCTGGCACGAGCTCAAACAAAGGCAGAGTCTTGCCAGCGAGAACTCGAAGAATTTCAGGAAATGTGGAAGAGGAAACAGGGCGATGATGCACCGCAGAAAGAATTAAACTGGATGAAGGAAGAAATGGAGACCAAAGATATTGAGATTAACGAGTTACGGGAGGACTTGAAAGCAGCACAGGAGAAGCAATCGGATGAATTGCAAGAGCTCCGAGGTCAGATCAGTGACTTAGAATATACTATCAGAGAAAAGGACCGACTGTTGGATGAAAAAGAAGACGAGCTTGAAGACCTCAAAGAAAAAGAGCTGGAGGAGCACAGTTCTCTAGCCGAGCTGGAGACCGAATTGGAACGCGCCAGAAATCAAATTCAAGAGCTAAAGGGGAGCATCGAGCGCATGAAGGGCGAATCACAGAATGCGGAGGCTGCCTATCAAAAGGCGAACGAGGAGAGAGATCGGGCTGTTGAAGACTTGAAGGAACTCCAGGGTGAAATGGCCAATAAGTCATTCTATTCCAAAGGTCTTAATCGTCAACTCGAAGAAAAAGCACACGCTCTTGAGGATGAGGTTACCACCCTACGACAGCAATTCAATGATGCGCAGGAAGAACTGGAAAGCGGGAGGAAAGCCGAACGTCAACTTGGCCAACAGGTACATGATCTTCGGCAGGAGCTTGTCCTGGAAAAAGGTAGGTATGAAGATAGGATCAACCTACTCGAACGCGAGCGTGACGTAGCGAGAAAGGAACGCGATTCCGCGTCATCCCAATTATGCGAAATCGAAGACGAGCTCCGATCCAGGGGTGACGACAAAAATCTGCTGCAAAATCGGCATGATGCGTTGACGCACGAGTCCCAAGAACTACAGAGAGATCTCGAAAGGGCTAGAGACAATATCGCGGATTTGGAACAGCAGATCTCCGACGAGAAACAAAGGTATTTCGAGGCCATCGAAGATCTCAGACTGCGACACAGACACGAGATTGATCTATTGCAAGACGATATCGAGTCTCTGAAACGTAAACTCGAAGATAGTGAAGCTCAGTTCAACGTTGATCGAGATAAATGGGAAAGCGTCAAGCGTACATTAGATTTACAGAAACATCAAGCGGAACAGCAGGCTAGCGGATATAAACGGACTGTCGAAAGGCTCCAACAAACGGAATCGTCGTTGTCTGGAAAAGAAAAGAGACTACAGGACGCAATTGACAGCGAAAAACAGCTGCACCTACAGGAAAAGGAGCTGCTCAATTGCCAAATTAAGGATCTCACTGATGACATAACTTCCCGACGACAAACCATAGAGAGTCAAAGAACAGAGCTGCTTTCGCTCAAGGAAGAATTAAGAGTCGCCAAACGAGAAGGGGAGATGATGGAGGAAAAGATACGAAACTTGGAAGATGAAGCCATCATTCTAAAAGCAAGCCTCGAACAGGAGATGCAATTTGGTGAAGATAAACGGAGGAACGGCGTATCCGAACTGGAGAAGCAGCTACAGAATTCTCTCCGGGAGAAACAAACTCTCCGCGACCAGGTCGCGAAAGCAGAAGCAGAGTTAAGCGAGCTTCGGGCAGCCCTTCTCGATATTGAAGCTGATCGTGATGAGTTAAAGAGTCAACTTAACCGTTTCCACAATCAAGTGGACGAAACTTATCGATTTGATCAAGAGAAACTAGATCTTCGCAAAGCCAAGCTACGTTTCGAAACCGATATCAAACGGTTGAAAGAGGAGAACAGAGTTCTAGTTGAAGCGAAGAAGACGCTAAAGAATGAACTAGATATTGAAGTCGAAAGAGCTGCAGGTGAAGAGAATAGGCTGCTAGCAGCGCTCGATCAGCTCCAAGATAAACTCTTTACGACATCTGAACAACGGAATCGCGAATTGGCGGTTGCTAATAATAAAGCAACTCGATTGGAGAATCGCGTTAAGGATCTCGAGGCTATTCTCGAGCAGCAGGGCGCGGCTGAAGTAGACATTCCTCCGATATCATCTGACTCTTCCATTCTCCGTCATCGTTTGGACGAATCCCGCAAGAAGGAGAGGGCAGCCCTTCAACGTGAAGCAGACCTCAAATCGTCTGTCCGACACCTCAAGGCCCGTATCGCTGACCTCGAGATGGAGAATCACGAATTACAGACGCAACAGTTCGATCCAATCAGCTCCAGCGCTGGCATATCACCGACGTCAAAGTTTTTCGAAGAGAATCGCAAGCTTCGTGGTCAAGTGCTTGAAGCCCACAAAAAGATGAAGGAGCTGCGAACCAAAAACCATGAGCTTCAACGCCACGCCATGATGGGAGAGGAACGAAAAGAGCTCCATGAGTTGCTCAAGTCCGCAACACTTGAGGCGGAGTCTCTGTCCGTGAAGCTATCTGAGCGCGAGGCGCGTGTTAACGAGCTACGAAACCATCTGCGTCGAGTCCGCGAGGAGCGCTCTCTCTCTAGAAAGCGAGTAGATGCTGCAAATAACCAACTCCAGGTACTTCAAGATAAATACGAATTAGCCTTGGATGACATGGCTAGCCGGGTGGAGAGAAAAGGACGACATGAGAAGGAGCTGAGGGGTCTGAGTAAAGAAATTCTTTGGCTTAGAGCCAGATTATCGAGGGAAGAGAGGTTCCGGAAAGATCTTGCATGGAGTAAGGGTATCATGGAGCTTGGAGAGCGGGTCCGGATTGCTTGGTATGTTGTCATCTTTCTCTGATCCGTAAATATGGATTACTAACGGCTTCCTTTTAGTAATGAAATGGACCTTAAGATGATTGCAGAAATGGGCGTCGAATCCAGTGTTGCTGCCACAAAATTGAGCTCCAGAAAGAAATTCAAGAGCGCTGTTTTGGTAGTCATGGCAGCCACTCGAATGCAAAAACTGGCGACTGAGTGGAGAAAGGCGAGAAAGATTGGCGAAGGGCTTCGGAGAGCAAAGGCCGAGCTGCTGAAAAGAAGAGAACTTGCCCAGAGGGCGTCGGCTCCTAGTCTCATACAGGCTTGATTTTGTATAGGCTTGTTGTAACTTTTTTTGCTTTTAAGCGTATACTGATATCCTCCTTGTTTGCATATGGTTTGGGTACTACAAGGCGTTAGTGACCTGGGGATTGGATCCGATTCTTTGTACACATAACAGTATAAATGGCAACGGTTTGAACTACGATCACCTCTATAATAACGGGAGATGAATCCCCCCGTCCAAAAACCTTATATTACGGCCGTACGCCTCGAACAAATGCCCATAAGTTACAAAATAGCAATCACCTGAGGATTTGAGCCCTGGGCCCGGCTACCACATGCTTTGCCGCCGAGAGGGACGGAAAATAAACAAACACGTTGTAGCCACCCATCTCAAAATGCCATTGATATGCCCAGTTAGATTCCCTCGATTCTCAGCCCCTTGGCATGTATACCGGCTACTTTATCTAATCATTACACTAGCTAGATATTTTTAAACAGGATAACAAGAATGACCATGGCATGACTATAAACACCGCTCATTATCATAATCAGGGGGGAAGGCAAGTTCAAAATATAGAGGAATTGTAATGACAAAGGGGCAGGGCAGTTTTGAAGCATTATATTTAATGTCTTCAGAGGGGTTGATAAATAACGCTTGCAGTCCTCCAGGTAAAACAATCAACGCCCAGAACGCATGGGATCTATGGCATCACACCACATGTTAACACAACGCCACAATCCAATCCCACAGCTTGCAAAATTAGGCACCTTCGCTGCCAAACTTCTTCGTCCATTCTTCATTTTTTTCCAGATCTTCTTCGCTAACTGTCGGCCTGGAGGATTTAACGGCTTTCACAAAGTCCCTTAGCAAAAGGGGAGGTTCAAGAAGTTTATCAGCATCAACATCTACCCAGGACATTTCAATCGCCCCATGATCGCCTGGAGAGCACGGGGTAAGCTTTTCTTGATCGTCTAAAAGAACCTATTATGCTCCTTTAGCATGGGTTACATATCAGTTAGGAGGAAAAGGGAATGCAAACCTTCTTATAATGTGTAGCTGACTGAATCTTTCTCACAGGCTGCATTAAAGCATCCTGGACTGCAATACTGATATCACTACCAGAATAGCCCTCCGTCATTTCGGCTAGCGCTCGGTAATCCGCTTGCGTCAATTTACATGGTGTCGAGCCAACATTCAGCATAAACATCTTCATTCGTGCGGCCGTATCGGGTAAACTGATGTGCACCCTGCGCTGAAATCTTCGTCGAATAGCCATATCTAATTGCCAGGGAATATTTGTTGCACCAAGGATCAATACTCCCTTCGTATCATTTCCGACGCCGTCCATTTGGACAAGTAATTCGGTTTTTATTCGGCGGGATGCTTCTGATTCCCCTTCTCCACGAGGCCCGCAGAGGGCATCGATCTCGTCAATGAATATAATCGCTGGCTTATTTTCTCTTGCCATGTTGAATAATTGTTTTACAAGTCTGTTTCCCAGAAAAGATTAGCTTAAAGCCGAATCCGGACCATTTATGGCTGGAGGCTTACCTCTCACTCTCACCCATCCACTTTGAAACTAGATCACTACTGCTCACGCTGAAAAATGTGCTATTTGCCTCTGTCGCAACCGCTTTTGCTAAATACGACTTGCCAGTGCCTGGAGGGCCGTAGAGTAATATTCCCTTCCATGGCTGGCGTCTTCCCGTGAAAAGATTTGGGAACTTAATGGGCAATATGACCGCTTCTTTGAGCGCTTCTTTCGCCGCATCAAGACCAGCAACATCCTCCCATTTCACATTAGGCTTCTCCGATAAGATAGCGCCCGCGAGTGCACCCCGTAGTTTCTTCGTGTCGGCGTCATCGTCGTCGTCGTCTTTCCTATCCGCCAAACACCCGTCAGATCCTCTTCCAGGAACTCTTTTACAAGAGGCACAGAGAACCGATAGGTGTAACTCACCCTCCTTTCCCACTCCCATGCGCTACCTTCCCATTCGCGCCCACCGCGCTAGGCTTCTTCCTATTGTCTGTCCCCGCTAAGTGGTTTTTCAGCTTTTCCGCTCTCTCCATGTACTCCCCCGTCTTGGCGCGAATCATTTCCTTCGATTTAGGATTCTTCTCCCATTTTAGAGCGAGCATGAAAAGCTCGAGGGCGGAGTAGTACGTCTGGTAGGCCTTTTCGTACTCCCCCGCATTGTCATGCTCGATCGCTTTTCTGACCGTGTCGATGGCACGGCCGAGGAAGTCGGTATTGCTCATGTTGGTGGAGAGTGAAGCCTGTTGTGTGATCGGAAGTGTAGGCCAGGGAAAGGATTCGAAGTGGTGGAGTGAGACAGGCAAGTGGTGGTGTAAAGCTGGTGCGGTTTGATCACTGGTGATGCTTTAGTTGGATGGCATGATGTGGGTCAAGGTTGCAGATAGCTTTTAAAGGTGATTTAGAGTCTTGGATAAGAAGATCAAGAGCTTTTAGTGGTGACTGAAGAAGATGTTTCATGGGATACAGGGTGTTTTGTTGAATGTGCAGAACCATGTCAGTTGCGATGTCACCCCGCTAGTGCTGGTTGCCATGCTGCAACCATGTATCTACATTTTGCCCGAGCTATTCCATTATCCGCAGTCGCCCAAGCCAACACCGCAGAAAGTCCACATACGCAGTGATACTTGCCCAGACGAAAAAACCGGACAATGGCCGATTCTCAGAAGCAACTTCAAGCCCTCACTGACGAGTATCAGAAGCTTCAACTAGGTCAGTATCCCAATCCTTCAAAACGTGCCCCAAACTCACCGTGATCCTTCCACCAGAGCTCCAAGGGGTCGTCGAGGCGCGCGAAAAGCTCGAAGCCCAGCAGCAAGAAAACAAGAGCGTACAGAAGGTTGGGGCATTTATTTTATTCCGTTGTGAAACGAACTAGGATGCTGAACATATAATTAATGTCGAGATAACAGGAGTTCGCTACCCTTGACGATGATGCAAATATATACAAGCTTATTGGGCCAGTGTTGTTAAAGCAAGATAAGACCGATGCTGTAATGGCGGTCGATGGACGGTTGGACTTTATTGAGAAGGAAATGTATGTCATGTCCAGCCTCCAGATTGGCTTATGTTCCTGAGGCTAATCAACAATGCCTACGTTGGGCGTCCCTAGAAAACGGATTGAGAGTCAAATTGCTGATATTGAAGAGAAAAGCGAGAAGAAAAAAGCAGAGGTATGTGGGAGGATAGTGTCTTTCGGTGATAGTGCAGAAATCATCACTCTGGAATGTTAACTGTTAAATTGCTATAGGTTATTCGGTTTCAAACGCAGATGCAGCAACAAGCCAGTGCAGCTTCTGCATGAGATAACGCAGCACTGATGTGCGATACGCTGATTTCTTATTCCTGAATGCTAATACCGCCCAATCTCGAGAAACTCGCCCTAACTCCTCCGGAGGCCTGCAAGGTCGTATCCCTTCATGGTGGCATGTTTATCATGTTGTTAGGATGAGGCATATGTTGGCCGTATCGATCTAGGTATATGAAGAACTAATGGCCGATAGTCTCACCTTGTATGACGTAGTGGGCAACCCGGTTGGCATCAGCATATTGTAGGGGCTCTCGTCGCCATTGCTCCGAAGTGGCCCTGGCGTTTCCTATGATCTTTTATTCGCAGGATTGCCCTTAGTGGTCAATAACGGAAGAAAACGACCAGCTAACTCAAGATGAAAGTATTTTGTTTTATTGCAAGCGAATCTATTGATTCAGAGTTTACTACAAATACACCTCCGCTCCCAATCTAACCTCGGACTAATGAATTTGATCTTTCACGCTATACGCGTGTTTTTTGAATCTAAAATCTTTTGTCTAGTTGCGGATAAGCAAGCTGCTTCCGCTCATCTCCTTCGGTTGTTCAATGCCCATGGCATCAAGGATGGTAGGCGCAACATCACCCAAAATTCCGTCCTTTTCCTTCAAGCTCCATCCTTCAGGAGCATTGGCCATGACTAATGGGACTTTGTTTGTGGTATGAGAGGTCTTTGGGGAACCATCGCCGTTCTTCATTTCTTCGGCATTACTATAGTTTGAAATTAGCATGGGAGGCAAACCTTTTATATTATGAAAAAGCTTACCCGTGATCCGCAGTGATGAAGAGGATGTATCCGTTCTCTTTGCACGATTCGAAGATCCGTCCGATGGCTTTGTCTGTTGCGGCAACACCTTGAATAGCTGCCTCGTACACGCCAGTATGGCCAACCATGTCCGGTGGTGCAAAGTTATTCATTACCAAGTCATACTTCTTCTCCGCGATTCTTTCAGCCATCTTCTCCCCGACGGGAGCTGCACTCATTTTTGGGTCTAGGTCATAAGTTGCGACCCTGGGTGACGGGATTAAGTCCCGGTCCTCACCCTCAAACTGCTTCTCGATTCCTCCATTGAAGAAGAAAGTTACATGGGCGTATTTTTCTGTCTCAGCGATGTGGCATTGCTTGAGCCCCTTGACACTCAGCCATTCAGCGAGGACATTACCCATGTGCTGAGGCGGGAATGCAATTGGGAAAGTATAGTCGGTCTTGTACTGGGTCATGGTGGTAATGGCGATGTTCTTGGGGTACGGGAAGTCCGGTTTTGGGGAACGATCGTAGTCACCTAGAAGCTGGGTGATTTCCCGAACACGATCGGAACGATAATTGAAGAAGAAGAGAGTGTCGTCGTCTTTTGGAGTCACAGTTAGAGTCGCGCCATGACCCAGGAATGGGTAAGTTGGGTACGGTACCTTTGACTCTCCTCTCATCACCTCCAAAGATAATGGGCTTCAAGAATTCATCGGTCTCGCCCTTTTCGTATCTTTCGTTGATCGCTTTGACAGCATCGTCGCTGGCCTCTCCATCTCCCAAGACAATGCCCTTCATGGCGACCTCAATGCGGTCCCATCTCTTGTCACGATCCATGGCAAAGTACCGCCCAACCACGGTTGCCAATTCACCGATTCCTACTTCCTTCATGCTATCCAACAACTGCTGCATGTAACCCGCTCCGCTCTTTGGATCAGTGTCTCTTCCGTCTCCAAAAAAATGGATAAAAACCTTTGGGATCTCCATCTCTTTAGCGACCTTCAATAGTCCAACCAAGTGGTTGATATGCGAATGAACGCCTCCATCAGACACCAAGCCGAGCAAGTGCAGTCTCCCATTTCCGGTCTTTGCCCTATTGAATGTGTTGACAATGGACTGAACCTTGTTCAGCTCCCCCTTCTTCAGGGTCTGGTCAATACGGACAACGTCCTGCCATACGACACGGCCGGCACCAATGTTTAAGTGACCGACTTCGCTGTTCCCCATCAATCCTTCAGGTAGGCCAACCGCAAGGGACGAAGCATCGAGTTCAGTGTATCCCTGAGCGGTTTTCGCTTTCGGGTCGGCAAAAGAGGACATCACAGGGGTTTCGGCGGCAGCAATGGCGTCGCCCTCGGGAGGGGATTGGGGCCCAGGAACTCCCCAACCATCGATGACGACTTAAAGACGAGGAAAATATTAGTAGAATTCTAGGACAATAAGAAAGACACATTCAATTGGAGGGGCTCACTCAATGCAACCTTCTGATCAACTTTGGTCATGGTGAACAGGCAGGAGCCAGTCAAGTTTTCCTGTTAAATAGATTGAAATAGCTAGACGCGAGATCTCTTCGCCCGATAGATATCCCAGAAAAAGAAAAAAAAAAAAAAAAGAGAGAGAGAGAGAGAGAGAGCGAAAGAGTCAAAAAAAATATATCTCAATTATTGTGACTGCGAAGAGACGATAATTGATTTCTTGGTGGGGGAGGGGCTGCCCTTCCGGCCGGGGACGCGCTAGGGAGCGGCCTTGCAGGGGTCGACGTCACTCTTTGCTCGCGACATCCCGGCATCCATCCATCCATTTTTCGGTGGTGAAACCAGCAAGCAGCCCATCAACGGTGCTTCACCCAGGGTGCCATACAACCACAGACCAAACTACACTTAAACCCTGTGTCTTCTTTCCACCAAGCATGCAGTGCAGCATGAGTTAGATAAAACAGCCTCTCCCGCCGCAAGAAGAATTGCCCACGCCAACCATCGACAAAAATGTCTGCCAAACATTCTCCCGTTGCTCCCTCCCCAGCACACAAAACTCCTGTCACCCATTCGACTACTGCCAATACTACAGCCAACACTCCCGCCGCCCCGCAGGACCCGATGTCCCCGTCCGAAACCACTCCCACGGTGCCCTTCCCGCCGCCGCAAACTTTCGACATTCTGCCACCACTCCACGCCCTCTTCGTCCGTCTCCTTTCCACCCCGCCGCACGCGCAGCAAGCCGCTGCAACGAACCCCGATGCAACCAGTGCACTCGGCGAATCATCTCTCCTCACCACCGCCGGCATCGACGCGACGGAAATGCACTCACTCGACCCCCGCGCACTCACCACGGGAGCGAGCACGGTGAAGATACGGATTCAAAAGGCCAGGAGCGCTATCGAAGAGTTGCCCGACATAAACAGGTCGGTTGCGGAGCAGGAGGAAGAGATCAAGCATCTCGAGCAGAAGATTGCGCAGTTACGGGATGTTATCCAGGATTTTGGTCGGAGGAGTAGAGATGTCATCAACGGGCAGTGATGGGCGTATTTTTTACGATATTGGAGGGTTTGAATTTATGCGAGACCTCGCGGGGGCGTTATTGTGATGTCTACTCCGTACGAAGTCTAGGAACTTTGGAGTTTTACCCGGACACAAAAAGGGCCAGGAGCTAAAAAAAAAAAAAAAAAAAAAAAAAGAAAAGAAAGAAAAAAGAAAAAAAACTACGGAGTACACCACCCCATTACTTGCATGATTAAGACAGCATTGTGCAGAGAGTGATTCCGAGGAATTATTACTTGCGATATCATCGAGCAGTTTGGAAATACCGAAGCCTTGATGTGACTTCTGAGCAAGCCTTCCTCCACTACATCCAATCCTCCACCGCACCAAAAAAATAAAAATAAAAATAAATAGAAAAAAAATAAGAAATTAATAAAAAGACATAGTGATTGCCACCCAATACTATGGATTGCTTGTTGAAAATCCATACCGTGCGCTCATGCCATATTCGTAAACGACGTTGAAGATTTTACCCCATTTCCCTTTTTTTTTTTGAATACCAAAGATCATGCAAACAACCCCAAGCACCACACTGAAAACACTAGAAGAAAATTAAAAACTGCATCGGGCAGTTTATACTGGAAGAGGGAAAGAGCTGGCCCATTCGCTGATCTCCTTCTTGAGATCAACGATCTCCGGGACGGTACCGGTGGCAACCTTGGCCTTGAAGTCCTTGAGCTTGTTGGCCTCCTTGGGAAGACCAGCCTGGATGTCCTTGCAGATATTGATTGCACGGTCGATGTATCGGGTGATACGCTTGAAGTCCTCCTCACCCATGCCACGGCTGGTCATGGCTGGAGCGCCGATTCTGATACCGCATGGGGTCAAGGCGGACTTGTCTCCGGGAATGGAGTTCTTGTTGCAAGCAATGTTAATAGCCTCAAGGACAGCTTCGACACGAGCGCCATCAAGAGCCTTGGGCCTCAAATCCAAGAGAACCATGTGGCTGTCGGTTCCGTCGGCAACGAGCTTGTAGCCGAGACGCTTGAATTCGGTCTCGACAGCCTTGGCGTTCTTCACAACCTGCTCCTGGTACTGTCTGAATTCCGGAGTAGCAGCTTGTTTGAGAGCAACAGCCAAGGCAGTAATAGTGTGGTTGTGAGGGCCGCCCTGGTGACCAGGGAAGACGGAGAAGTTGATAGGGTTCTCGAGATCGTACATGATCTCCTTGCCGGTCTTGGGGTCAACACTTCGCACGCCCTTTCTAAAGAAGATCATAGCTCCTCTGGGACCACGGAGAGACTTGTGAGTGGTGGTAGTGACGACATCAGCGTACTCGAATGGGGACGGGATGACGCCGGCGGCGATCAATCCAGAAATATGAGCCATATCGACAATCAAGTAAGCTCCAACGGAGTCGGCGATCTTACGCATGCGCGCATAGTCGATGAGACGGCAGTATGCTGATGTTCCAGCAACAAGGCACTTTGGTCGGTACAGCTGAGCATTGGCCTCGAGGGTGTCGTAGTCAATGATGCCCGTCTCAAGGTTAACTCTGTAGGGGAAAGTCTCAAAGTAGGTGGAGACTGCAGAGATCCTATTAGATAGTTAGATCGGTAAGTAACTCGGTTGATGAGGAGTAGAATTTACATACTTCTTCTGAGGAGTTTGGTATCCGTGACTCAGATGACCTCCGTGGGGCAAGTCCAAGCCCATAAGTCTATCATGAGGCCTCATCAGAGCCTGATAGACTTGCAGGTTGGCAGGACTACCACTGAGACACTGCACGTTGACACCCCATTTCTCGGGATCCAAATTGAAGGCTTTGAGAGCTCTCTGCTGGCACAGAATCTCGATCTCATCGATGTGCTGATTACCACCATAGTAACGAGCTCCGGGATAGCCCTCAGAGTATTTGTTGGACATGGGAGACCCTAAGGCATCAAAAACAGCACGAGAAGTGACATTCTCCGAGGCAATGAGGACGATCGACTCCCTCTGGCGCTGGATCTCTCTTTTCTGTACCCGTGACTCAGTGTGTGCTCCGTTTGAGGGTGGCATCAAGCAATAGAAATAGATTCCACAGAATTAGAAAGAAAAGGAGGAAGGATCTCATACCATGATCTCAGAAACCTCAGGATCAGTCTCGACGAGAGACTTCTCGAGTTGCTATTGCACACATTGTCAGTCATCGGGGACTTTTGAGCTCCCTCGGAGGGGTCGTTTGCACTCACGTCCTTGTGGGCCTGTGAAAGAGCGTATGTAGGCATGATGGTTATCTGATCAATGATCTTTTCTCTCTAATTGCCTAACAGGAAGAGGTTCAATTTGTTTCAATGGTATGGGTTGAGGGAATTGGCACGAAGAGAAAAGTTGTGGGCGGCGAGATTTTGCTTGCGGAGATTGTTGGGCAAAAACTTTTCCCCGCCAAAAATCACCAACAATACGGAGTACTGAGTGGCCGGAGTTACTCGCAAGAATTGGTCTTCTTGGCACCACCGATGGCGTGCTTCGAGCAGTGCAATCGGCATATTCAATGCGTGCCGTCACTGACATGTATACAGGCGGACCTGGATTCGAAACTGGGATATCTAGGCAGTATCTACATAGCTATAAGTAGCTTCTCCAGGTGCTCCGACCTGCATGGACATCCATCTACAATTAAATTGAATACGAAAAGAAGCCCGCATGCTGTTATGTACAGGCGACTGGATCGGAACGGACTACATTAGACATAATTTCGTTGACATCTACCTCACTACTCTGCGCAGCTCTTCTCTTCCTTTTTTCGTTTCCTTTCCTCTCTTCGAGCTCTGCGTTCCTGGCTGGTTTCGTCTCTGTGCTTCTTGATGCTTTTTTGTGTCCCCGACTTCTGAGATCTGCCACGCTTACTCCCTTCAAGCGATCCCGATTCTTGTTTATGATGCGCGGCGTCATCATGGTTATGTGACTTTTTAGACTTCTTGCGCGGTAAAGCTGCTTGAGATTGGGGCTCAGGATCTTGCACGTGTATAGAGCCGTCGACATCCGTATGTTTTCTCTTTTTCTTCTTCTTAGCCTCTCCGTCAATATGGCCTCCTCGAGGCTCCTTAAATGTAACCTCCATCTCAGAGTCATCTGTGCCAACGTCCCCCTCCAGTTGAGCTGAAGACGAGCCGAATGGTATGTAGCGCATTCGCAAATTCTTCGGCTGTGAGGGTAAAGGCTTCGTCTTCTTTTTTAACGCTTCAATCTGCGATTCTGATCCCTGACCAGGAGGCCTAACAACACGCTCCACGTGAAATGTCTGCGCGACATCCAATCGCTGTCGACGATAACTGTTGCCATATTTCTCAGGAAGAAGTAAGCTTTTAGTTCTTTCGACGCCTATTTGATCTTCCCGAAGACGATAATCGACTCCCTTGTGTGTCAGGATAGTTTCTCCGGTTGCGACTGCGTCCAGCGCGAGCTGCTTGATCGATGAAACAGGGACAGCGGCGGGGGCGGTGATATGCCATAATTGTTTACCAGTAAGGTCGGAGAAGGCATCCGCAAGCTTGGATGGCGGCAAAGACGATTTCTGAACTAGTTGAAATCCTTCAGGCGGGCGAAATGGCTTCACAGGTATCATAGCTTCCGTCGCGTGCCTACGCCGGTGTTAGCGACGAAACCCATGCGGGAACATTGAGCTCTTACCCATCAGCAATTGTAACTCTTTTCTCGGAGGAGTTCTTGGGTATTGCGCTTTTTTGGATCTCCTGGATTTCGGATTCGGATTCGGAACCCGAACTAGGTGAACTTGATTCGCTACTCGACTCAGAGGAACTTTGCGCCCGTTCCGGCATTTGCTTCGATTTGGGGTTTGAAGTGGATTTTTGGACCGGCGTCTTAGATGGCACCTGTGCTTCAGATTCGCTATCACTCGTACTGTCGTTGCTCGAACTGTCGCTGTCCGTGACAGTCTCTTGACTTATGGCCGCCTTCATAGTGGTATGGATTGAGACAAGAAATCAGGCAAAAAACCGTCTAGACAGACTTGACGCTTATTCAGTCCATTCCTTAGCAGATAGTGTCATGTATACTTATATCAAATTGCCGTCAGCGTCCGCAAAACGCTGTCCTCCGTAGATCGAAATCTTTTGAATCTGAAATTTGAGAATTTTTGGGAGCTTGCGCACGGACCACCGGCGCATTTGGGAGGAAATCCTCCAGCAAGCCGCACGATCCATTGCAGTAGATTAAAAAGCAAATTGCTGCAGAGATGAAAAGGAAGGCGGGTGATCAGCCAGTATTGGGTAGGCCATTAATATGATTCAGTTTCTAGCAGAAAAAATGTAAGCTGACCACTGTTCGGCAGCTGTCAGCGCCATCGCGGCCCGGAGGAGGGCCCAGCAGAACGCTACTGTATCTACGCGATCCTCCGTTTCCAAGCCTATATCAGCATCTGAAGGGGAACCCCCTTTGAAACGATCAAAGCCGTCGCTGGCGGATGATCTACCGAGCTATCCTGCGGTGAAGAGCAAAATTGAGGTTGTTATCAGGAATCCCAAGAGGCAGAGCAACCGATCCCAATCGACGATTGCGGCCTCCATTGAAGAACAAACCAGGTCTACAGACGACGACAAATCGGGAATTTTAGTCGAGGATGATGGTGGCGTTACCAGCAGCGGTGAGCAGAGGTTGGTGTACCTTGCTATGTTATTCCATGCACTCCCCATACATTCACTAAGAAGAAAGCAGCGACGAGATTGAAGTCAGCGGCCGCGAGAATTACGAAAATTTCTTATTGTCAAAAGGAGCTATTTCCAACAAGGATGTTTTATATAAAACCAACGATACCATTTGTATTCGTCTGAGGGAGAAAACAGTACGTTCATACCACGATTATCGTCTACACTGTGTTGCTGATCGAACGGATAGACCATAACTGTCTTGGGCCAATACGACTTGTGGATTAAACGGGGAGTTGTGAGCATCTTTGGTGCCAAATTACCTCCCTCAACTCAGATATATAGGGTATACGCCCCATCGACTCATTCCCTACCAGTTATCAAGACAGTAGCCGGCGTGGACGGATATGCAGAGATCGAGATCAGTTCTTGTCGCAATGGTTTGCCATATCTTCGACATGTGTCTGATTTGTATCGTCGAATATGGAGCGGTAAACAGGCTTCCTCAGGAAACAGTCTGACCACCAGCTCCGGAAGGTCATTCTCGATTGTAAAGAACCAAAATTTCGTACGCTCTCTGTGAATTTCGAACGCTAACATATATTAGCTTCACTCTTCTTCCGAAGACCCCTTCAAACGTCACCTCCGCCCGCTTCATTTTGACAAGCAATGGAGTATGGCCATTAAAGCCCTGTCTAGTCGCGGAGCCCAACTTCGAGTCATGACTTGCGGGCCCAAAGGTTCGGGGAAGTCCACATTCAACAAGTATCTCGTGAACCATCTACTCAGCCAAATTCCACCCCAGAATGACAAAGCTTCTTCAAGTGATGGCGTTGCCTACATAGATCTGGATCCTGGCCAGCCAGAATTTTCACCACCCGGCGAAGTGTATTTGGCTCACCTTCGAAGGCCGGTCCTTGGGCCTTCGTTCTCACACCCGGTCTTGGTATCACCGGACGACGGATCCATTGTCAAGTCGCATCATATTGGAGCTACATCGCCGAAATACGACCCAAATCACTATGTGCTGTGTGTGATGGACCTGCTGAATAGGTATCGGGTTCTTCTCCAGAGTTATCCCCTGTGCCCAGTGGTGATAAACTACCCTGGGTGGATTTTCGGTCAAGGTCTGGAGATTGCTACCTGGTTCATAAGGTCTCTTGACCTTTCGGATGTAGTATATATGAGCGTACAAGGCCCCGAGGAAGTTATTTTCCCTCTACGAGAAGCGGCATCTGAAGCTGGGGTACCGGTTACTGCACTTCCATCACAGCCTACAGAGTATGCAACGAGGTCGAGTGCTCAGTTGCGCTCCATGCAGGTGCTGTCCTATTTCCACGTGTTGCAGAATGATGCAAACATACCGTTTTGGTCCGATCTGCCAATCCAACACCATCGGACTATGAGCGTCAGCTACTCCGGAGAAAATCCAGGTATCTTTGGCATAATGGTGACTGGCTTCCATCACGAACCGGATCGTCTTCAAGATCTCTTAGATGGCTCCCTCGTCGGCGTCGTAGCCGTCGAAGACTCGGATGCACTTCCCAAGTCGTCTGATACGGCCACGGCGACAGTAGACACTCATCATCACAAATACGCCGCAAACCGTTCCGATCCGGACCAAGACGCTCCCATGAACGATGCTGATTCAGCGATCGCATCGTCTTCACCACATCCGCTCATCACACAAGTACCACATACGAACCTGCCGTACCTTTTTATTGGCAGCGGAACCTGTCACCCTCTAGATCCGGCATCATCATACTCCCTCGGTCTCGCTCTCGTGCGCTCCATCGACATTCAGTCACAAACCATCCACTTGATCACTCCCATCCCTCCCAAGTCGCTCCACAGTGCCCTTGCCCGTGGTCACCGTATCATCCTTGTTCGGGGGAACCTGGATAATCCCAATTGGGCTCTCAGCGAACAGTATTTTGCTGCCAGGGCGGCGCAGCGCAAAGTCAGAGAACGAAGGGCGGAGGTTAAAGCAGAGTCTGATGATTCGGAATTACTAAGGGAGTACGAGGACAAAATTAGGAGATCAGCAGAGCGGGTTCGTAGAGCGACGAGGGGCGCGCCGTGGATGACCGTGGCCAGGCAGGGAGTGAAGAAGCAAAAGCAGAGAAACGGGAGGTTATGGAAGGTAACGAAACCTGGACAGGATGGAGGGTCTGATGGGGAGAGTGAACACTTCTAGGCTATCACAGAGAATGCTAGGTTATTGAGTGCACTACAGAGAGGTTTTGCCATGATGGCTTCGACATATTCGCTGTCGACCAAGAGAATAATGACTACATGCCATGTCAATTGGGTGCCATCAGGGTGTCTTCTAAAAATATCCGGAGGTCAAGAGGAGGTAACTCTTCGTTGGCCACCAATCCTGCCGTATGCGTTTTATGACTGACTGCTATGGAAGTCATGGGCCTCCGAAATATGTCGATCATCACCGAGTGAGCCAATGTGCAAACTAGTCTCCAAACTGCCAGCCATCACCTATTCCCCATCACCTCCAATGCCATTTAAACACATGTAAGATAATAGCATTGTGTGGTTGGCCAGGTCCAGTGACCTAGGTAAACAATTGTCGTCCTCGAATATCGCGCGCGATTCACGCCTATTGGCCTTTCAGTTCGCCTCCAAGAGTGAAACACGAATCGTGACGTGCTTCCTTTCTTTGCTTTTTCCCCCTCTCCCTTGAATTTACAGCCACATCGTGCAGCGGCAGGCTACTGCACATGCACGTCATTTATCTGACATTGCACATGTCCCGACACGGGATGCCGAGCAGTGGAGGCATCATGTGCGAGGTTTCATATCGGATACTTGTGTCAGGACTTGCAGTATGTGAAAAAATTGACTCAGCGAAGCAGTGTTCATCTGGGGCGTGAGGCCTACAGAGTTATTACTCTTGTCGACCATTATATGCCGGGAGGATAACAAGCAACTACAGGGCAAAGGGAACAGAGAAGAAGAAAATAGTAAAACGAAGCACGGCAGGTGCGGAATCAGTGCCTCCGTGATTTGAGTCATTGCCGGGCCAACAAGATTCCGCGCGTGTGTCTCTTAACGACCTACGAGAGCCAAGGCTGCCTGTCGTCCAACGGAACAAAAGAGTTGTTTCACGCCCAAGAATAGCATCCAGCGAACGAGAAGGTTGAACTCCCCCTCCCCCCTGCGCTGTATCTTTTGTCAATGCCTATCTCACCAGCATTTCACTCTTGTTCCGAAGCGCACATGGGATTGTTGGTTGGGTAGCCAACAGCACACACGAACCTCCATGCAGCGACGTTGGAATCAAGACAAGACGTGGCATTGCCTGAAGCCTCGGGAACGATGGGTTCTTTCTGTTCTCCCCTACCAAAGTTAAAATATGTCCAACATTTGTCAAACAGGCCCTCGGGCGGATGGAGACCGTGTAAATGGGCCGGGAGGAGGGTAGCGGCGTGGACGTTGGCATCAAGGCCAGACTGTCGGCATCGAGCCGTTCATTTCCTCGCGGGTAGTTTGGGTGAAGGGAGCCGTGTAACCCGCATTATATGCAGTCAACGTCGGCAGCAGCAGGATCTGGACTGGAAACATCCACAGTAAGACGGAGATAGCCGGTATTTGCTGGGGTATTCATCTTTATGTCACGTTTCCCTGCAGGATGGCAAACGGGGAAAAAAATCCGGGATTTTCTTTTTTTTTTCCTCTTTGCCTGGCATCGTATTCCGGCCAATCCCTTAAATTTACCCGGAGGCTAGTCGTGCGGCCAGAGAGCTGGGGAAGCGGAACGTGCTTCGTGTACAACTTGAAGAAACAGCAGAAAGAAAAGAGCGGTGAAGGGCGTGAGGCATATCGACCTTGTTGTGAGAGACAAGAATCCTTGACCAGGGCAGAGGAGAGCCAGACCAATGGCATTCACCAGACGGCTGATGTACTGGGCGGTTTTGAGCCTCCAGGCGGCCGCCGGGATGAGCGCAGCGCAGTCATCACGATGCGGGGGAGGGGCAGCCAGGCCTGTCGTCGGGCAGCACGCTGGACATCCGACGGCGTCAGTAGTCCGGAATTTCGCTGCCAGCGAGATTCAATTGCACTTGAATCTGATCCGGTACAGAGTACTTTGGGGTACTTGAGGTGTACATGCTCGGAGTCAAGGGTTGATGGATGCCCAAAGGGTTGATTCCTTTGCAGTAACCATGTAAACTAGCTCCCGACATTTCCCTAGGGAAAGCAAAATTTGTCCGAAAAGTTATTCGATTCCTGAGGTTTCTCAGGCTAACCTTGTAGCAGTTCTTTTCCGGAGGGATGGATGAATCCATCACGGCTGTAAAATTCAGGAAGAGAAGACACGTCGGATGGGATTTAGGCGCATTGAGCCATGTAGAAACGGTCCAAGAAAGGGATCTCCACGCAGCGGAAGCACCAGGAAGCCAGCGGACAAATCAGAACCTTTTGCTTTCAAAATCTCTCGGGATAACTATCCAGTACTTTTGTCTTTCTGCTGGAAAAAAAAAAAAAGGAAAGAAACGCTGCGCATACCTTACCCACTTTCTTCTCGATCGTGGGTCCGCAAGGCGTACTTTTTAACTAGAGTATTCTTTACAATCGCATCGAGATTCCCTATCCAACGTGTCGGCAGCGAATACCCGGACGGCACGGGGGTCTGTAAGGAGACACAAGAGTTATGTACGGTAAGCGTGGCCCACTTCTACCAAATATTTTCCGTCCATGAAGAGATCATGCTCGCGTGGGCCATACATAGGGTTGTGGTGGGACCGTGAGCCGACGAACGACTTTCAAAAGGCCAGACTCATGAGGACGACAAGCTAGTTGGGACTTAGTACCGAGTTTCCCCTGCCCTGAAGCACGTTTTGTTTTTGCTAGAGATGGGATATGCTATGCTGCTGCTGTGATGTGTACGTCTGATACAGAGGAGAGCGTGATGATGGTGTTGGTCGTGACCCAGACTCGGGTGTGTGGAAAACCCATGGATCGGCATCGGGTTTTCGCCCCGGGTGCGCTAGCTATGAGAATTAGAAAAGCATGAGCTTCATCATATTCTGCCGCTCTTCGCAAAAAGACCATCCTCGGATGAACGACTTGTTTTTGCTGTATCGGAGCAAGTCCAGCCCTCAACTCCTGCGAGCTAGCACCAGCCAGGAGGTAAAAATGTGCCGAGGCCCTGAGAATACGGAGCCAGTCGTGCAATCCTTAGCAGGCCGAATCTGTGTGACCATGCTTTCAGGCTGCTCGTGTTTTGTCCAACACTCGGGATATCGCTACCAACCACATGGATATGAATTAGGACTCCTGGAATAACGATATTCTCTTGGTGTCCACGCGCTTATTTCAGGTGTTTTCAGGGGATGGCTTCGACGCAACGTTTTACAGCATGAAGTATGTACTCCGTACTCCGTACACGGTACGGAGTATCGATGACTGACCAACGAGTCGATAAGAACTCCGAGCAGTTAGCTGGTTTTGAGCTGCTTCGTGGCACGAAGCGCTCAGCTCGCTAGCTACTGAGTCGGTAACTAAATTTGGGACCTGAGTTCGCACCAGATCGACGGACGCCATGTTTCAGAACCAATGCCACGCGACGTGGTTTCAGCGACAGCCGAGTTGCGCAGACCTGGAATAACTTGAGAAATTCACCCCTTTTCAAAGAAGCCCTTTTCTCGGAAATAATGGCCGAGAGTCGCTCAATCGGTTTCCACAATCAAAAGGAATTGAGCAACGACACAGCTGTCGTGCGAAGTGTCGGATGATGCAGCGAGTAACCCACGACGGAGTACCCTCCGCGGCGCTGGTGGTGAACAATTGAGCAAGCGAATTTAGTCAAGCTACATAGTGAACTAGCCAGGGAGGATCCCTTCTTGGCTTTCATCCTCCTGACATTCCTTCTAGAAGATTTCCACGGAGGACCTCTGACAGGGATACCCGCAGCCCAACACACGTTCCTTTAATGATTTCTAGCCGTTCCTGGTAGATGCCGGCTGGTATCACACTCTCTGCCGAGAGTATCCTTCCGCCTTAGTAGCAGTCAGTATGAATGGTTAGCTCAAGAGTGCGGAATTGGCGTCTCTTCTTGACGCATCCCACTTGGTTCTCTGCAGTTTACGTGAAATCTCAATTTGGGCTGATGGAAATGAAATAGTTATTAATAGAGGAATCGGTCCGAAGAGAAGGAAAAATCTTCAACCCCAGGTTCCCCAAGTTTTCACACCATGTGCAACATTGAGGTTGTTGAGCAGGCAACCCCTGCTTAGGAAGGGGGAGAGGGCAAGGAAAAAGAACTGTTCTGCAGGTGAACGCATGGAAGATCCTTGTCAACACCCATCCTGTTACCAGTGTTACACTCCCCCAAGACTTTCTGGAATGTGAGGGATGGTTGAACAAGGGGACGACACAGAACATTCCTTCAAGAAGGCGCCTTAGGTATTTGAAAGCCGAACATACGAATGGATTGTAATAAATTTCGTCATAGACGTGCATATAAAGTAAGATACCCGAGGTTGGACGGCGGGGATTGTGTTGAGAAAGTGACGGTCTGCCTTGCGATCGCACAAGGAATGGCTACGTCGATGGTGATAATAAATCGGGGGATCGATTATGCAGCGGTTGTCCCGCAGTTGCATATGCAAGTGGAAAGCCAAAATAAAATGACTGCAGGAAGGAAGAAAAGAGTTTTTTTTTTTTTTTTTTTCCCTCCCGTTTCTCCTCCGTCCTCGTCTTCCTTCACGAGGACGAGCAAAAATTTTCATCCGCCTGCCGGTCTCGATGGAAACGTGGAGTGGATGGACGGCAAAGCTTGTTGTGATGAGCAAGCGTCCAGCTCTTCTCGCATCCCGGCCCCTGATTATTACTTATGATTAATGTTGGGAAATTGTGTTGTCGGATTGCAACGGACGCTACCAGCCCTACAATCGGCTTTTTCTTTGTCGCTCACGCACCGTGATTGACTTCTCAGAGCATGCTGTTTTTCATTGTGAGGAGCGCTGCGCCGTGTTCGGAAACACAGCAAACCCCTCGATGGACGAAACAACGGAATGGAGGGGTGGAATACAAAGAGATGGCGTCCTACGACTGCGGCTAAGAAGTGCACGCCGGGGAAACCATCATTCCGTGCACTACGATGTGCAGTGTCCCGATGCTATCCTTCGTAGATTGGTGCGAGGAACGTGTTGAGCCAATTAGTGACTGGGGATATGCGTATCATGTTCGGTTTAAGAAAAGTGACTGCTGCAGGGCGAATACAGAGTAATAATTAAATGTCAACTTGTAGTTCCGGAGTACATTCTGCTCCGCTGTTAAAGCGCTTTGCGCCGTCGAAGCGACGCTGCAAGCCACCGCGTCAACACTTCTCAACCTGGCACTATGAAACATTGTGCACACTAATGGATGCACTCCGTGTGTGTTGTATGTACGGGGTACATGTATGTACAAATGTCATCACAGGACACTGTGGTTCAGGCGGACGAGATCCAGGGTACAGACATTCGCAGATGTAGAGACAAGTTGCTGGCTCCCCTGCCACCGACATGGCAATCGAAGTGAGCCCGGGAATTGTCTTCTGGAAGCTCTTTCATTTTTTCCCCTTTTTTTTTTTTTTTTTTTTTTTTTTTTTTTTTTTTTTTGGCGCTCGACCAAGCCTGTATGTAACTGACAAACCCGAAGATCCCAGGCGAAGGTGGATACCCAGAACTTAACCGTGTCCCATTCTCGATGTTCGAGTTCAACCTCAGGGAGACTTCTCCGTAAGCAAGTTAATTAACAGCTGCTAGCGTCTTGGGGCTCGGTGGGCTCTTCGCCAAACCTTGGAATATTATCCTTTTTGCTCAGGGACGAGTCTGGCCCTTTTTTCGCCGCTGCCCGGCCAATGGGAACCAACACTATTATGCGTCGTCGCCGTTTGGGCTTGAAATCCATCTTCCTGGGCGAGATGCCGAGAGTTGCATGATGGGGAATCCGCGTCCATGCTGAGACAGGCTGGGAACAAGATGACGATGCGACATCCATACCATCGTGTAACTCCCGTGCTGGCCAAAAGTATCATCATGTATCGATGCCGTGCATGCTACCGCCCGGAAACACAGACATGCATGTCGACGGGCTCCCGTCAGATCCCTTGGGAGGGGATAATCATATTATTATTATTATTTAATTATGTATCTCGCGGCGTAAGACGTGTTCGGATAGCGAATTATTGTTATTATTATTTACGGTTTTTCTCTCATTTTTCTTCTTTCCTTCTTCGCGGGATTTAACCTTCGGCTTGGACTCACTCCACAGAGCTGCTCCTAAACTCTGGGGCCCAGTCTGCAGAGGCGTGTGTTGTTGGCTAACCAAGGGCAGGCCCCGAGACGATTCCGATCTATGTCCTCCGTATATCCCTCTTTCTCTCCCTGTGATTGCACATCTACCTTGTATAACCTGACCTGTTCGATTTTCCTTTCTTCCTCTTCCTCTTCTGCTTTTTCTGCCCACCGCTGGGGTCCTTCATAACAATTAGACCTCCTCCGTCTGGCTGGTGGGGGAAGTGTGCTGCTGTTCACAACACTTCGATAGTTACCTTTTTGCCAACAAAGCAAAACCTGGGGAGATTCCACATCCAAGGCTCAATCCAGCATTTCCTCACTCTCACTCTCACTCTCTCTCCTTCTCGTCATCTCTCCCTTCCTTTCCCCTCAGTCACCCAATCATCGTCACTATCGACCCTGTAGGGTTGTTGAATGCATGCTATAGGCACATCACTTCAACCTCAGAAGCATGTCTGTCTGCACTGAACAAGACCTCCATTGTGCACTCAATTCCATCTCCTAACTTGACAGCTCTGTGCAAAGATGGATTTCATTGTAAGTCTCTTTTCTTGCTTTTTCTGTCTCGCTTTGACCTCTTCTGTTTATCGCCCCAGTGGCTACTTATGTTGTTTTTGTTGGTGTGTCGCCGCATCAGACCGAAGAGCTTTGGTCTCATGAGGTCATCTGGATAGATAGCCTTGTCACGTTAATCCGGTCATGTTGGGGTCACTGCGGCCTAGCCGCCGGCCTTGTCTACATCTCTACCTTTTCTGCGTCGTGATGTTTGATCTTAGACCCTGGAATTCATTCTATCGAAAGCGTGTTCGGGTTTGGATGCACCGTGGGGGAAGGCGATATGATGAGCTGACCTTTTCCCCATCAACAGCTATCTCTCACGCACTTCTGCGAAGTCCATGGCCCGACGTCAATCCTCTGCTCGCAGGTCGCTCCGACCTCGTGTCCGCAGTGCGACCCTGACTCGCGCGATCTCTCTCCAAACGATACCCCTCTCTCTTCACACCCCGGGACCTCTCCTTCTTCCGACCCACGCGACCCAGAACGAGATGTGAAGCCGGGCAAGCAGCCGATAACTGCCTCATCTGTCGGTTGCGCAAGCTCCGGGAGCCTGGAACCTCTCGCCTCTCCAACATCTTCGGCGCCTGCCTCTACTGCCAGGATCGAAAATCATCCATGGTTTTTAAACGGACAGTATACCAAAGTTGACACTGAGAAGTTCAACTGTTTTGGAGGAGCCGAGGGCGATACTTGTGCCAGCTGCAGACTCTCTATCCCAGAAGACATCAGCAAGCAGCTTCCACCCGGGGCACCAGGAACTCTCAAGGAGAATGGCCGGGGCAGAAACGGAAGCCCGGTCCTCAGGTCCAGGGAGATCGTTCATACCTGCCATGGAAGTCAGTTTGGCTTTGACGACGCATCGCATGATTCCCACGTTCGCCATTCAAACTCGACCTCTGTTCGATCTTCGTATTCCTCCGAGTCCTCGTGCCATACTCACATCGTGACGTATCTATCGATGCGGGGCCCGCCAAATCCCACCGATTACTCGTTGTTACGGCGTGCCTCGATCCGTACTCTAAGCTGCGAATTTCTACCTCGTGGTTTGTCCTCCGGTCCACTTTCATTTGGCGACACTGATACGGGTTATACTATCGCCTACGTCTTTCGTCTCCCGGACCCCATGGCAAGAGGCAAGAGACGCAGTTACGCCTTGGTTGCCTTGGCAGGACGAGATGCGGGAAGGGCTTTTCGGGCGAGTCCAGTAATCTGGCGTGTATTCAGTCACATTGCGAATAACCTCGTTAGCTCGGCAGAGAAATCACAAGAGCAGGAGAAGCGGCGCGACGTAGGCACACCTAGCGGAGCAGGTAACACAGCTCCACGAAATTACACTCCTATTTCCTCTTTCCTCACAGGCCGCACCGTCGATCCCGATGGACAGCCTCGGCGTGCTGGACAGATCCGCGCTCGAAATCTTGCTGAAATTGTTGGGAATGAATATATTTTCGCCGAGCTTCATGCCCAATTCGTTGCCTTGCTGCAGCAGCTCGGAGCCATGTTCGGAGGAAGTCGAATTCCCGAGAATCGGTTGAATCCGGAATCTGAGAGCGAAGAAACCGAGGAATACTTCCCGCGCCGTGCTGCACCAAGTATCAAGGTGCCAATACGCCCGAAAGGTGCACGAGGCACAAGCAACTCAGGCATGCGATGCGATTCACCCAATTCTCCGGGCCAACACTCTCCGGTGCCCAAGCCTATTCCTATTTCTCATCGACGACATTACGCCGCATAACTTTTGATGACTTTTCATAATTTACTTTTGTACCATACTCAATGATACCCCCGTCTGTACTACCTCTTTTTCATTTTCAACGAACCTTTTTCGATTACGTCGGTTTACTTACTGCTTCCGATTCGAACGACTGGATCACGGGCCTTTGTTTTACTACTCTATTCCCTTTTACGAACTCCTACCTCTTGATCGATCCAACCCCCTTTCACATGCCTTCCAGCGCCAATGGCTGTGAAAGCAATATCCTTTGCTAGGATTTCAAGCCCCGTCTCATAATCTGGTCGAGCCACGATCTTCGACGTTACTCAATATGGCACGCTTGCATAACGACTAACGGCCTTCCACACCACTCGTCTCTTCGCCCTGCCCTACCACCCTAGGCTCAGAATTAACGTCATTCACCCTTCACTTCACTATCCGCCCTTCTATTATCAACATATCAAGCATAGTCAGAACAGGGCGTTTGGGGAAGTGATAATTCATTATAGAGTTTACTTTTTACTGTTTTCATTTTCTTAATGCTGGTGGCGAATCGATGATGAGATGCAGAAAGGGATTATGCCATTTTACCGACGATGATATTCCCGGGTCCCCTCGTGCCCGGCATTGGGTCAAAGAATTTGCCTGCTCGTTGCTGTTATTCGACTTAGCGCAATAGCCCGTTGCTCTCTGGGGATATTTTTTTTTTTTATGCTGCCTCTCAACCAACAATGTTCCTCCTTTTATTATTCCTGGACTTGCAACGATATTTCTCTGGCATATCCCTCTGTCTTCCCTTACTGGTCTTGTTATGCTGTGCATTGCTGGTTTTTCTTTATTTTTTTCACTTTTTCTTGATTTGGGTGGGCAGTGCTGCTTTTTGATTTTCATCGTCTTGCTCATCATACATGCGGGATGGGAAACAAAAAAGTACGGTGAAATGACAACACGGCGCTTTTTAGATAGGCTCGGGCAACTGGTTCCTCTTTAATTTTCTGCTGTAGCTCTTATGCCTTCAATTGCAATCGAAATTCCAATATCACGTGCCTCTCCTGCAAACGTCCAACGATATTTTTGAGTTAATTAGTAATCGTGACGGCTTATTAATCCGGGTAAACCTTCAGTGGTCGGCTAAAGTTTCTCCTCGTAAACCGCTCAGAAAGCACAAACTCAACGTCAAATATCTCGGTTCACCACGACGATAGCAAGCAGCGGTCAAGGCGGAGGAATTCACGAAGGTGTCCACGACCTCTTCGTAAACTCGAATAGATATTTTCACTGTTTTCCAGACTTGTTTTAAGTCAGCGGGACACTTGCAGGAAACTACCACATACTTGCCTCGCCCATCGCGACTTAAAGGGGAGACCTAAATCTCACGGATTGGGAAATCGTTGGAGAAAGCGCCGCTCTCGAAAACGCCACCAAAAACGCAAGAAACCAAAAGGACCGGGTTGAGAATTAGGGATACCTTTCTTTTTCTTTTTCTTTTTCTTTTTTTTTCCATTTTCAATTCCCCATGGCAGCATTCGACAAATGCAAGACGCGCCCCGCGCACATCGACGCCATCCTGAATGGATTGGATAGATACAACCCAGAGACAACAGCTGTGTTTCAAGACTATGTTGTGCAGCAGTGTGAAGATCGAACATTTGACTGCTACGCGAATCTGGCATTGTTGAAACTGTGAGTTCTTTTTCTCCTGATTCCCCGGTTTGGTCGTCCTTTGTCATGATGAGTACCTTTATACTTTTTTTTTTCACGTTTCCTATTAGCTTACGTCTCTACATGAGACAATGGGGAGACTTATTGGATTCCTCTGATATCGTGATCATTTTCTCTGGATTGTTATCACTCCTGCTTGATGTTCCATGACAGACTGCTAAGTCCCACATTTAATAGTTACCAATTCAATCCGCCCCTCCTCAACGCCGAAACAGTCACCAATATCCTCGCCAAAGCCCTCACCGTCTTCCCCTCTCCTGCTTTCTCCCTTTCCCTTGCCCTCCTCCCCGCCTATACCCAACCCTACGCTACCTCCCCCACACAAGCCACCACCGCCAACCTTCCAATGCAAACCGCCGACTTCGTCGAGGCTGTGCAAAAACTCACCCACCTCTCAACGCTCCTCGAATCTGCGCAATACACCGCCTTTTGGTCCACCCTCAACTCCGACGACCTCTACGCTGATCTCACTGCCGACGTTGCCGGTTTCGAGGAATTGATCCGCATCCGGATCGCAGTGGAGGTTGGCAAGGCGTTCCGCGAGATTGGCGCGGATGTATTGATGGGATGGTTGGATATGCGCGGCATGGAAACGCTGGAGAAATTTGTGGTTGACGTTTGTGGGTGGGAGGTTGACAAGAGTAAGGCGGAGGGTGAGAATGGGGTTATTGTTAGAGTTCCCCGGAATAAGGAGAATGAGGCCCGGGGAGAGGTAAAGGGGGAGAAGGTCGGTATCGAGATGTTTGGAAGAGTGGTGAGAAGGGGATTTGAGCAGCCGGCTTGATTTTAGGGGTGATCTCTTGCCTTTTTTTTTTTTTTTTTTTTTTTTGGTTTTCTTCCCGGCTGGTTCATTGTTAAAGCCTAAGGTTTTCTCAATTGGGTTTTTCATGCTTGCCTTGATGAAATGAGAGGGCGGTAGACAAAAGCTGGTTATGTTTCCTAATGATTTGCTTCGTTACAGGAGGGTTCATTTCTTCGGTTGTGTGCCCTGGTCTGGGTTGTATCAGATGCAGCACATAAATGAAGTGCATCTGGTATCAAAATTCAGAGCCAAAAAAATTCTATTTGATTTTGTCATTCCAATCCCCTCAAACTCCACCTTAATAGCCCGGAGTCCTTTCCAGCTGAACCAAGGAAAAACAATTTTCATATACTGATTTTGTGATGACCCTCTACAAGGTCCTCCGATACTCAAGAACAGACCCTAACCTTACTTTCCAGCAACCCTCTCCTCCCACTGCACGCCCACCCACTCTTCTCTCCAACCTACCTCACCCTCCCTGTCCAGCCCACAGTTCCCACTGCAGACGCCAACAATAATCGTCCCCCACTCCATTCCTCCTTCATCCTTCCCAATGCCAATTCCCTCTCTCCCTGCTTCCAGCACAGTTATGGCATGTGGAACGAGTTGCAACTCAAATACCCGTTCGCGCCCGCACAGGCTGCATCGGGGTAGTTTTGACGATACTCCAGAATTCGAACTAGCAACCTTGACATGCGAACCAGATGACGATAGCGATGGAGAAAGCAGCTTCCCCACCGGGTCGGTGGTAGAATAGAGTAGTGGTGTTCCGCGAAATTCATATCTAAGCACCTGCTCTGGATTATGGTTTAGTCGCGTTGAGAACTTGAGGAAGGATTTGTCTAGCGACGACTCGAAGGTATCTTTTCCTTCTGCGCCTGCGACCGCTGAGGATCCCTCGTCGTCGAAACTCGATATTTGTACGTTTGCAGGGACACTGGGAGTGGACGGGCGAGATAGGGTTTCGTATTCCGCGTCGAGGAAGTGTTGCGGGTATGGAGTGGGAAACGAGGTTTGTGAGGGCCATGGTTCTGCAGGGCCGACGAGTTGCGAGGCTTGGGTGGAAGATGTCGTCGTCGTAGGAGCAGCAGCAGCAGCAGGAGAGGAAAGGCGAACTTTGTCGGCGAAGGATTCGGTGAGGTTTTGTTCTTCCTTTGGCGTTGTTTCTTCAACTGGCTTTTGCGGAGGAATCGCCGCAAGTGTGGATGGCGACGAGAGCTGAGCAAAGGGGTTTATTGGCGCTGAGGAAGTGCTCGATGTTGAAAAAGGATTCGAGTTTGCGGATGTGTTAGGAGAACTGGGCGCAACACCGAACAGGGCCGCTCCAATATTCTGCTGTGGCTTTGGAGGTTCTGTTTGTGTCCTTTTCTCCTTTGGCTTTTGTTCTTCTCTCTTGTCTTTCTTAGTGTTGGTCGTGATTTTGTGCTTTTTCACTCCACGCAAGGCTCGTATGCTCCCTTGCCTCCTGTTACAAGTTCGTCTCGTACATCCAAATATGTATAACCATCTCTCGTCATTTGGAAAGTGCTCCGGTAGATCAGCATTTAGTTGAAGAAGCAGTGGCATTGGATCTTTGCAGGATTTGCATTTCGCAAAATTGCCCGGGGGCGGGGTAGAGGGGTCAAGCCATGTCTATAGAGGCCAAGTCAGTTACGGTACAAGTAATTCTTGAAGTACAGAACTATATAGATGATCCAAGAAACATCACAGAATATAACCCAAATAGCAGTAACTCTATAGACAAGCCATAAAGGGTGCAACCCTACCGGCCATCCACCAATATGGCTGACTGTGTCGTCCGATTCTTCATCTGCGGCATAACCAAGCAGAACAGAGGTCTCAGTGTAATCTCCCTGGGCATCATCATCACTCAGCCCAGAAGAATCACTATCGTACGGATCCATCTTTGCTCCAGATGCATTGGCTATTACTCTGGTGTGATGTTGAGCGAGTTTTGGTTCCCAAAATAATTTTGGGTCAAGATCACGTGAGTTGATCTGATTAGATTGAGTAACTAGGGAGTCCACAACTAACTACAACACTCCGTTAGTTCGCCACGCTATCAAGGTTTGTTACAAATGTTATAGCACCACCCCCAAATAACATGTCCTGAAATGAACACCATTGCTTGATATTCAATATTGATGATGTATCAATGTCTTCATATGACTATTCTCCTTGCTTGATTCCATCTGTTGCGCTTGTCGTCTGAGGCCCCAACACCACTTCTCTTCCACATCGCCAGAAATCAGTTCTTCCGTTACACTGTTTCACCACATGTTTGTGACGGTGACATCACAAAGGAATGGGCTTTGTCCTGGTACTGCTATTAGTATAACATGAAGTCACATCACATGAGCTGGTGACCACTGTTTTTGATGTGTTCCTCTGTTTTAACAAATCAATGAAAGGGACAGGAAGCCCACTTGTGATATCAAATCTGATTTGTGACACAAGCAAAAGCTGTCCTATGCGCGAGAACCCATCTTGTTGACACTGTTTGCATTATCCCCGTGCCATTAAAGGTAGTATTCAAGACACGCTCGAACCAAGACACTATGTGTACACTGAGCTGCATCCAAAAAAGACGATACTGGGGGAGACCACTTTGTCTCTCAGTTTTATGTTGTATCCCCTGAGAAAAGCTACAAAAATTTTAACATGATGTTGTCTCACTTGAGATCATCCTTTTTCATTTCCAAGACTACTAAAGACTAGATAATGCTGCCTCGAGCTTTGAAAATTAATCAGTACGTTTGGGAATCCCCCCCCACCCAACCAAAAAAAAAAAAAAGGAATATAAAAGGAATATATTATGGAAGGCGGGTGGGAAAACGTAAAGTGAGGCCAATCGCAAAAAGGAAAACAAGAACGGATTGAATTAAAATGCGCTTTACGACACTTTTCATCAAAGTCAAGTTATGGAAATCTAGAGAAAAGAGTCCCGAGGTTAAGAATTCCTCAAAGGAGTCAAATCCACTCGCAGGGTGTAATCTAATATTCTCTTCAGGTTGGTAATCAAGAAATTTCTAGAGAAACCTTCGGGCCTTTGGGCGCAGCTTAGACAAACCGTATATGTTTTGATTCCTGTTCTTCACGCCCACACAATTGTCTTTTGAGAGGTCGGGATCGTCTGTGCTTCGGTTGATTAGATAGAGTGCATCGATGGAAGTCAATTATCAGAGCCCGTTTCAGCTCTGTATTCCACAAAATGTTTTCTGGCCGAAGGTCCCCATGCAACACGCCAAGGGAGCGGATTTCCCTCTTGGACTGTGAGATGGCAGATCGGATACTCTTATCTTGCTTGGTATGGACAACACTCTCTCCACCCCAGCCCATGAGGAGCATGTGGCGAATCTGTCCAGCACCATGTAGGAAGTAAATCTGTGCCAAATCAATCTTTCCAAGAAAGACCGGAACTGCTGATCCCTGTACACGCTGAAGAACATGGTAGATTTCAGCCTCCTGTGAAACTTCTTTCCAGAGTCGCGATGTTGTTCCTTTACCAACAACCGTGTAACCATATGCAGCACAGGTGACTTTGAACGGCGGCCCGTACGCCCCACATTCTCCCATTGGAGTGCAGTCCTGATCAAGGTCCTGATCAAGCTGCCGTTTGAGCATCAGCACCAGGTCTTGCGCACTGATCGGGTGTTGGTGGCCATGCGCCCCAGACCGGTGGAGCTCGAAGTTGGGACAACGAGAATCCAAGTCTCCACCCTGCTGTAGGCCTAGGAGACACAGCTGTGTGCAGAATTCATTGTTATGTGGATGGGACTGGCTCCCTCAAGACCTTTGTGGGTTCATTTGAGGGGTTGACGTCGAGCGCTGAGTTGGGGGGGGGGGAGATGTGACCTGACTGAAGCCTCGCTTTCGTCTTGCTGGGGGGGCGAGGTCAGAATCTGAGTCGGAGGCATCTTCACCAGAGCGAATACTTGGAGGTCCACAGCTGAATCGGGATCGAGTGGGCACCTGTCGGCCCTGGCCGACAGGAGATTCGACCGGAGACGAAGGCACGTACTCAGGTGGAGACTCCTCGGAGCTAGTGGGCTCGGTACTAGCGTAGTCGGGGCTTGGGGGTTTCTGTCGTAATTCATTTGCAGGAATCTGGGATCGAATGTGGCTGAAATTGGTTTCCCAGGTTGGTAACTGTGCCCGCGCAGAATTCCGCCAGGCCTGACCACGGACTTGAGAGACGCAACTCATTAAGCAGAGGCACAACACTCTTTCAATCTCTGTCTTTGGCCCCCCAGAGCCCCATGTATCCGCATCGACGTCTAAGTTAGGCTCACCTAGGTCGTAATAAAGGGTGGCCGGGTCATCAAAGGGGACATGCAGTTGCACATTTGCCAGCCCTGTGCTCAAATATGAGTACTCGAGCCCTTCTTGGATCATCACATGGTATTCCTGCACAATAGCCGATCCAGCAAGCCGCGTGGCATTGTATCTTAATTTCTCCGTACCGCCGGTAGGAATGATGTTCGATTCAACGATCTCATGATAGAAATCAATCGGTCGGAGCCCGGAGCGAAGATTCTCCAAGGACAGTTTATGGGGGGGTGTGTACTCCACAGTGGTGAGCAAGGTCTTGGTATTGCCATCGACTCGGTGGATGCAGAACTGAGCAGGTTGGGAACGCCACGGATCAGCCTCTGATTCATCCTCAACCTGATCCAGTGAATTGCCGTGATTTTCAAACTGTACTCCATCACCGAGACCAAATTCTTCCCGGGCTTGAGGAATCTTGCATAATGCTGAAATAATATCATGCACGTGGTCCTCCACAGCTATCCGCTCATAATGCTCAATATCCTTTTCACAACTGATTAGTCGACGTGTGAACCGCGGCGCAAGTTATTCTAGCGCATGAAGGGACACAAACAACCGCGGTGCCTCTCTTCCTGCCGGCTGCAGATATCGACGGACAGAGACGTAGATTTCTTGTTGCCTGACGGCAGTCTTTCCAGGGTCGCAGTCGTAAAGGACAATATTTTCCAGTGGGAGCGGGTATTTTGCCCTTTATAGATTCAACAGTATTTCCAACTCTCAACGGGGACGAAAGTAGATTGTGACAATATTGAACAAACTCTTCAAAGGTGGTTTTTTGGATGTGCTTCGTCTCTTCTGTCAATCGTTTCTGTATTTGTTGTTTCTTTTCCTCCTCTGCCTGTTTGCTTACCTTCTCTGCCTGTTTTATTACCTCCTCTGCCCGTTTCCTTTCCTCCTCCACTTTCAAAAAAAGTGCTTTGTAGTCGGTGTGGTCAGAAATCTGTCTCATGGATGTGTTTCACAGGAGATAAGGCTGCCTTCAGATCATAACAGTGCAGCTTTCCAAGGTACCTAACTAGGTTTGGTTGGTTTGGTTGGTTGGTTTTAGTCATACACTGTCCCAGCCGCCTATTGGGCGGCTATGCGGGATGCCACTGTGCTGATAAGTGGCTTGTGGCAGGGGCTGTCTTATCTACTTTCTTTCTGTTGTCTTGTTTAGCTCAGGTCCATCCAGAGTAGTTAGTCTCTGGAGATCCCCTGAGCCCACTATAAGATTTCTAGATCTGACAGCTTTAATCTCTTCTAATATGGCAGTGTACATATGCTGCTACGGATGTGACTTGATGCATACTGTAAGAGTCTTTGACTTACTAAGAGAAAGATGCATCATATTCTTATCTCAGAAAGTCTGTAGGTGCATTGGGCAGTAAAGACTTCATAATGATGCTGATCTAAGATGTATTAATAGTGAAGCAAGAATGGGGTGCTGTGTTATTTAATTCTCTACTCTCTTGATACTGTTGTCCTTCATCTCTGTGAAGTAAAAGCCTCAGAAGGGGAAAAGCTTCTATAATAATATGTGATGTGGGCAGGTTCTAGGCTCAAATAACCCAGCAAGATGATATAGACAGTCATACATTGATAGCTGCAAAGATTCCAGAAATATAGATCTAGCTATCTCTCTGTTCAAAGCTGTATGGAAGATGGAAGGCAAGGTGGAGATAAGAAGTTCTGTGGTATAGGCAGTTGTACATCAATAGCTGCGGAGATCCCAGACATAAAGATCTAAGGTACCTAACTAGGTGGAGAGTGGAACAGTTGAATGTCTTTCCGGAGAGACCCAACCCAGGCGATTCAGGGCGATCTCCAAAAGAAGTACGGAGTACTCCGTACTCCGTAGAGCAAAGGCAACTAGTATTGCATGCAAATGTTAGGGGAGTTATTTCTCTCAGTACTCTGTAAACGTGTCGAAGGTTAGGTTAAAAACTATTAACCATCAGCCAACAGCCGTTCATTATTGAATTTGGTCAATAAAATCATTTGAAGTTTATTTCCCAGTCACTAACATCAGAAAAACTCATTTCCATAATCCCTAATTGATGTTTATTCGCGCCGTCGAACCAGGACACCCGCAGAGATGAGCTTGGTGGGCAATTTCGGGGCTAATGACAACCGCGGCTGTTCCTAGATAGAACCCTTAATTCCAAACACCCTGGGACCTTCCCTACATAAAGCCCCCCTAGATCTACAAATGACAAGTAGTTGTTGACTGGTTGGCAACATAATCCTATATATTACCAGTACTCTATACTCCGTAAGCACCAATAATTTTACATGGTCATCTATTGGCGAGTCCAATTTAATGGCATCTTTTTTACTCTGAATCCCAGAGAAATTCTCCCCCCCTCCAAAAAAGAAAAAAAAAAGGAAAAAGAAAAAGTGAAGATGCGGATCTAGCCACTGAATGCAAAGAAACCTAACATTCTCTACAGTTTTGCTTTCTCTCCTTCGAGTCGCCCCCATATCTTCCTCGCATCAACTATCAAAGGCCAAATCTCTCTGAAATTATTCATCTCGCTCTGCCTTGCGCCCTGCCAAAGCGCTTCGTACGGATCCATATCCGGTCTGGCCAGGGCACTATCCATTTCAAAGTCCGTAAAGCCATATGCCTCTATGATGGACTTTGAATGCTCTGCGAGAGTTTCGATAGCCTGGTCGTAAGCGGATACAAGGGTTTTTCGTTGATGCTCGGTAAGAGAGTGCGGTGAGTAGATGTCTTTGTAGGCGGTTTGGAGGATGGAGAGGGAGAACTTTACAAAAAAGTCAGAAAATGTAAACCTTAGCATTGGATTGGTTTTGGTTGGGGGGGGGAGGGCAGGGACAACATACCACATGAGCCAGGGCTTCCAATGGGCCATAGAATTCAGACCCGACAGCTTTGCGAACAACATCCCAAAAACCGCGCCAGTATACAAAATCGCAATGCGCCATAGTGAGCTCATGGACAGTGAAGCTGGTGTCTTTCCCACAGACAGTAGCATCTAGATGCGCCCTGACTAATGTAGCTAGCCGGCGTTCGAGAACCCACTGCTGATTCTCTAGCTTAAACCAGCCGGATTCTGATGCCGCGGTGAGTATACCTGCGGCATCAGGGTCCCGTATAAAACTCAAATAGGAAAGGCTTGGGACGGTACTCTCGGTTCTCCTGGGCATACGGTCAAGACTTGGATCTCCCAATCATCGGAGAGATACGTACCCATTGTAATGTTTCAGTATAGCACGTGGCACCTGTTGAGAGATAACGTAATTGTCTCCTTCATAGGTAACCGCGTTGACAGTATGGGCATACATGCGACCGAATCCTGACAGAGCGCTGTAGCCATGTCCACCGCAAGCGATTCTGCAAGTCTCAACCCCTCGTGCAGTAATGTCCGTGGAGTAGACTTTGGCACCGACGGTCTGAAGGTGGAGATCTTCTAGCTGCGAGAAATCGCCGGTGTTAATGACCAGCTTGCTGTATTCATCAAAGGCCTGCTTGATACTTTGGCCCACTAAAACGAGAGCGGTGCCCTAGAATTGACAAGAGTTAGGGCCCAGTCACAGCAAGAGAAAATAATACCAGGAATTACCTGCGCCAAAAGCGGCAAAAGCCTGTACTTTACACTGGCATAGTCGAAGACGGTTGTTTCTTCCTCCTGCCCTTTCCTCCAGAATTGCTTCCTAAAGGTGGTGTAGTGATACGCTACCGAAACAGCTTTAAGCAACTCATAACCTGTAGCCTCAACCATAATTGCACGAACCGTGACCATCGATCCGTATGAATGTTTCGTGTTTTTGGGTGGCACGTAGGTTCCATCCCTTAGCACCTGCGCATTCCGCGCCAGCATCTGAGACCGGGGAATTCTGACATTGTGGAACTGCATGGCGCCGTTATCCACACCCACCATTCCCTGGAAAGCCTTGGGACCAAGCTCGTAGATTTCCACGCCCGGCATCAGCTCCTGAGTATCAAGGTCCCGCAACTGGATGAGGAACAGATGATTTCCGTAGTCTTTGGCGTGGATTATCAAACGCGCGACAACGAGAGAATGAGTCGCCCAGATACCGGTGGCTCCAATCCAGTATTTGGTGCTGCTCAGGGTTGGGGAATTGATGACGAATTCGTCTGCGTCGCGGTCAAACGTCGCCGTAGTCTCAATGCCACGGACATTCGAACCATGGCCTAGTTCCGTCTGCGCATAGGAGCCGAATATCTCAAGTCTCTCGGCCTTGGGCATCCAAATCGCCTTCTGCTCATCGCTCATCTGCCTTTCCATGTTGGACAGGAATACTAACCAGATGTCAGGCAAGCCGCAGCCAGGACGATAAGAGAAATCAAATTCAGAGACAGAGCATAGTTACTTCTGAACTGTGGCTGCACAGGCAGGAAATAATCCAACATGACCACAGCTTGTCTAAACTGTTCATGGCTCCATTTTTCCTTCTGCTTCAGCGCGATCAGCTCACGGGCCTGATGCACGGCTCTCACCCAGGCATCCTTTCTTGAAAGGGACGGGACAGTAACCGCGCGCTTCGAGAAGATGGGGTTAGTGGTAAGGGCCTTTAGGAGCTGCTTTCGGGCTTCAAATTTGTCCTTCCCTCCCAAGAGGAAGACCGACAGCGGAGTTTCGTTCGGTTTGTTGCTGATGTTCCGGGGTGGCATAATGCGCATGTAAGATCTTCCAACTTTGTTGAATATCTCAACACTCTCATGTCGTGCTATGCATTCTCAGGCCATTCATTTAACCTTGGCAGGCAGCCCAGGGCAATCACATCTCCGTCGGTTCCCACGCATCGCGGAGCGGAGCTCCTGGCTGTCTCCCAGGTTTCCCCGGGGCGGTCCAAACGGGACTGGTGCAGCGTCGGCATTACGAAATTTGACTTCCCGAGGAAGCCTCGTTAGCTTCGGGAATTTGGCAATTTTGCAGACTTGCAGGGATTTGTTCCTGCACGGACGCTAAGCCGGAGAACCACGAATTAGGACAACCAGTCGAGCTCTAGCAATTGTCGTAATCGAGGGACTTTACGGAGTATACTCTAATTCATCAGTGCAAAGGAGGAGAAGTCCGGCACCGCAGCCCGGGTGGTCTAGTTGGTATGATTCTCGCTTCGGGTCCACAATTTCCCGAGCTTCAACAATGAAGTTCAAGCATGCGAGAGGTCCCGCGTTCGAATCGCGGCTCGGGCCAACATAATAAATCTTTTATTTTCTTTCCTTTTTTTTTTTTATTATTTTAATAAATTAGTTGAATAAATAACTGCCCTCTCCTATTTCCTGGACTTTGTTTCAATATTTTACTTTTTCTCGTGCAGTTTCGTGGTATTTTGAGCAAACGGTAGTTAATGCCGTGTGCGATGCTATGCTATTAGTTTTATATTCCTATATGTGGCTTGATTATAATCATAGGTTCAAGCTGCAATTTCACCGTCGGCAACCGGGCCATCTTCTTCGCTTGTCACAAGATTGCCGAAACCTTTGGCTCTCCCTGCCCGGGATTCCCGAGCCGACAAGCGATGGTCTGCCTGCACCGGTTATTCCCCACGGACTGGCCAAGCTACCCCGGCAAATTCGCGCCTTCAACAAACGGCCTTTCTGCCAATACCGCATCGGCACTCTGCTTCGCGTTCATCGGGTGCCTAGGCTAGGAGGCATGGCGCGATCATGATGCCCTTTCTCTCGGCGTGGTCTGGCCTCCCGATTGGAGGGCTGACAGAGGCTACTTCTAGCTGTTCATATACATACATGGCTGTCGTTAAATTCGTTCCCTGCCCCGATCGTCCCCCAAGCCGAAGAGAAGTTCCGTGGGCAAGAGAGCACCAATAACTCAGAATGGCAGACAAGCCTGATTGGAGTGCCGCACTGAGGCCCGCTCCTCCAGACGGGGCGACTATTATTGCGCAGGAGAGAGCCAGGTCGAGTATCCCAGTGGACCAGCTGGCCGGCTATCTTCTTACTCCTGACTTTCTCGAACGACAGGACCGGGTGCTGAAGGTATTGCTGAAAGAGCCAGTTTTCAAAAAGACGAATCAGGCCAACCTGTCCAGGCCCGACAGATACAAACTGGGCCTTGCCCGGGGAAAGAAGATCCGCCAGCTGAAGGAAAAACTGGGCTGGGATGAGGAGGACTACCACATGGCCGCTTATCTGTGCGACGATGTCTTGCCGTACCACCTGCATACCGCGATGTTCATTACGACTGTCAGCCAGCAAGGAAGCGATGCCCAGAGAGCTCGTTGGGTGCCTAGGATCGAAAGGTGGGAGATTATCGGGGCATATGCACAGACAGAGCTGGGCCACGGCAGCAACGTTCGTGGAATCGAGCTGGAAGCGAGATGGGATCCCGAGACGAGGGAGTTTATTCTTCACAGCCCCCATCTTACCGCGAGTAAGTGGTGGAATGGGACTATGGGGCGCACCGCTACCCACGCGATTGCAGTCGCCCAGCTGATGCTACCTGTATCGGGTAAAGGCGCTGAAACGAAGTACAAGTCGTACGGTCCGCATCCGTTTATCGTGCAAATCCGCGACTCAAGAACACATCAGCCACCAGAGAGCATAATTATTGGAGATATTGGTCCAAAATACGGCTATGCATCGATGGATAATGGGTACATGTTGTTCAATAACCATAGGTGTGAAACTATATCCTTTTATATCCGTTTCCATTTCAAGAATTGAATATTGATAAGAGAGACAGGGTACCTCACGATGCAATGCTCTCTCGGTATTCTCGAGTAGACCCGGAAACCGGTAAATATACCAAGCCTGGAAACCCAGAAGTTGTCTACGGCTCTTTAACTCATGTGAGCTCTCTCACTTCAAGCATTATCGATCACACATAGAATCAAATCGTAGTAACAAAATTCTAGGTGCGAGCTACTCTTGTTATGGAAGCTAGGCTTGCCCTCGCTCGCGCAGTCACAGTAGCTGTTCGATACCTATCCATCCGACGTCAGTTTAGAGACAAAGATTCAGATAATCCGTCCGACCCTGAAATGCCCGTTCTGGACTACTCGACCGTGCAGGTCCGTATCTTTCCTCTGCTAGCCACCGCATTTGCCCTTCACTATAGCGGCAAGGCGATGGGGGAGCTATACGCGCGAACTCGGAAGAATATCGAAGAGGACGGAGATTTCGAGACTCTGGCCGAACTGCACAGCACCTCATCCGGCTTGAAGAGCCTTGCCACCGATCTCACCGCTGGTGGTATCGAGATCTGCCGTCGAGCTATGGGCGGGCATGGGTTCGGGGCAAGTGGTCTTGTGCAGCTTAACGCGAACTACTTATCCAAACCGACTGTTGAAGGGGATAACTGGATGATCACGCAGCAGGTTGCTAGGTATCTGATCAAGAAAGCCAAGGCTCTATCGGCGTCTGCAAAGAGCCGTGCAGGTGCTCGAACAGAGGAGAGCCTGAAACGATACTTGTATGCGAGGCAGAAGACCTTAAATTTGAAGGTATACGAAGACGACAACGCTATTCTGGAGGCATTCGAGTGGAGAACAGCACATCTTGTGAGGCCCTCGCCCACCCACCGCTAGAATTTGTCGGAAGCATATCAAACTCACATAGAGAGAACAAAATAGGTATTCAAAGCATATGAACAGCGAGAAATCCAAAAGAAATCCTGGAACAGCCTTCTCATTGACTTCCACAAGCTAAGTCGAGGTGCGCACATCCCATTTACGAAAACCGAATTCTCCTTTATTACAACTAACCCTTATTTCACTTCTTCCCCAGCATACTCCCAATCCATCCTCATCCTCAATTTCCACCAGGCCCTCCAACCCAACAACCCCGAAACCGCACGTCTCGACTCCACGACCCGCGCAGTCCTCCGCGACCTCTTCCTCCTCTTCGCCTTCACCACCATGGATGCCGAGGCCCGAGAATTCTGCAGCTCAGGAGCGGTGTCGAACGACGCCCTCGACGCTCTGTCCGCACGCATACTCGAGCTCATGGGCCGGATACGTCCGCACGCAGTCCGGCTGGTGGATGCGTGGAAGATCCCGGATTTCTTGCTCGATAGGTATGTGGCTACCTACCAACACGTGTAGGCTTGGGTTTCATTTTACCTACTACCTTCCTGTCTACCTTGGAAATGGAATATTTGATAGACTAAGTAGCTAACCCCCCTCCTTTTCTTTTTGTGTACGGCAGCGCTCTGGGGAGATATGATGGGAAGGTATACGAAGACCTATTCGATCGGGCGCACAGACAGAATCCGCTGAATGCTGAGACGTTCAATCCGGATTATCGTAGCGATGAGATTGTTTTGGGCAGTGGAGATGCCGGACAGATCTTGTCGAAGTTGTGATGTGGTTGACGGCTCATAAATGTATCTCCGACGTTCGTGTGCCATAGGGGACCTTTTCGATAACCAAGAAAGAAATTCATGACCTTTTTTTTTTTTTTTTTCTTTGAGAACCTATATTGGCTGGTATCGATACTTCTCGTTCTTGATATGGGAAAAAGTCAGAAGAGCCGAATTCTATTCGAAAAGAAGCTAGCCCGATACCAATCTTCCTATTATACAAAAGGTCAGACGAAGCCGCTAATGCTGTATGTGTAGATAAACTGCAAAACAAAAGCCCTCTTCACCCCACACTCCACGGAAGTTCTTCCATACGAGGCAGCCTTTGTTCGTCATGAAAACAACTACCTAGTGCGAAGATTTTGTTATCCGCAGAGTACGCTCTATAAGTATACGACAGTCGTGACAAACGGTATCATCAAGGCTGGCAGCACCATCGCTATTTTACGGCGCCACACGCTCGCAGGACGTTTATTCTATAGCTTCACTATCGCTAGCTTTTGAACGCGATCTCCTTGCCATCCGTACAAGAGCACGACCTGGCATAGTATGGTAGATCGAACTGGCTGAAATCCCTCCGGACCTGCTTCCCCGATTGCTCCGCCTTCCAGGCAGGTTGTTCAAAGCTGATATCACAGAGTCTTTGCGGGATTCAAGTCTGCCCCGGAGCCCGGATATTCTCTCGAGGCTGGACGAGGTGGATTGGTCTGAGGAACTTGAAGATCTTCCCGTGCGCTCCTTGGCTCCATCGCTGGATCTTATAATGTAATGCTGTTGATGTTGCTGGGGCTGCTGTTTGTGTGATAGAGAACTATCCAACCTGGCCTGTGCAGTGGACGCTGGGATCCCGACCTGGGCGCCCGACAGAGCTTCCACGTCCACCGAACTGCTCCCACAGACCCCTCTACTCGCGACCCTGTCGCCGTCGTCCTCCACGGCCGACGACGCGAAAGGCACGCTCAGCGCCTCCAGCACGCGCACGTACTCGTCCATCTTCTCTTCGAGATAGCTGACCCTCTTGCGCAGCTCGACGCACTCGTTTGCGTTGATGCGAATGTCCGACTGGGCGTTCTCCAGGGCACGTTCGGCTCTGCGGGCACGATACTCGGCGGAGTTGGCCTTGCGGGTTGCGCGGTCGATCTGGGAGTTGGCGGCATAGTAGGCGATGAGGAAGAAGAGGATGCGGATAATCCATGTTTCGGCAAGCCATTCCATCATAGCCATTGTTTGGTGTTGTGTCAATCAGTCACTCTCTATGTGGTGTGGGAGTGGCTATGAGAGGTATTTATTATATTCTTTGAATCGCAGAACCCCCGATGCTTGATATAATACCACGCTGCTATAAAAGAAACGAAATAGAAACAATGAAAAAATTAAAAAAAAAAAAAAAAAAAAAAAAAAAAAAAATTGAAAAAAGGGGGGAGGAGGTATGTCACAGCTGACTGCACCAGCCGTAGAATGTGCAGACATGCTACACGGGACAGAGGGAAAGCAGCCCGTGTTCTCTCCTGCTTGGCAGAGCGTGTGGCCCCTGTGGAAGCTGCTTTTCAGTGCGATTGTGAAATGCATTGTTCCTTCCGGCATAGCTTGGGTTTGTAGGCCAAGTTGGTTGAAATGATCAGGGCGGTTTGGACTGTCGACAAGTCCCAAGCATATCCCCCAAGCACGCGAGATCCACGCGGTACTGTGGATCGGGCGCCGGGCACAACTCGGAGTGCAGCAGCATCGCCACACGATCCCTGCTAATTATACGTAAGTGGGCTGGCAGGTTGGTTCCAAGGTTGTGCTCCAAGTATTCAGTACTCCGTGCTGTACTCCGCAGTTAGCTTTTTGAATCTCGATGGGCCCTTGGTTTTAGGTTCATCCACGAACTCCTGATCTTAGCCATGGTTCGAGAGCTCTCAGTTACAGTACGGAGTAGTGGAAAGCAATTTGAGTTTCTGAGATTAAAGTCATGTCATCACCAATAGCACTGAGGAGCTGGGTGGCGAACGGTGCGGCCCGTGCTTAGATCCACCCTGTCACCACTCATCTCTCCTCTGCTCAGTCGTTGGCGCCCCGTCGACCTCTTCCCTCGCAGCGCTGCACAAAACCCCTGTTCTGATGCATAAAACACAACCTCCCTCTTCCTGTCGATATGTCCACGAGTCCCAAAAAACAAAATGACCGTCGAGTGGAGGCCAACGTCCGAAAAAGCAGGCAGGAGTTTTTGTCGCTGGGGGACAAAGGTAAGAGCTATTCGCGCTTCGTAGCTATCCAAATCCGACCTTTATCCATTGAGTTGCTGTTCCTGCCAGACCACTTTAACTGACCATCAATAGCAAAGCAACCCCGACGCATCACAAAGCCTCCACAAGAACCAGTTCGCAGAAGCGTGCGTTTACGACATTCATGTCATGAATGGAGCAGAAACACCCAGCACGAGCATCGGTATCCCTCTTCAACCAAAAATACAGCTGGAAAGGAGGCAAGTTATCCCTATGCTTGCTATGCTCTGAAACTAACTCAGTACCCAGTTCCAATCTAAACCCCCAAGCCCTCCGCAAGTAAATGATCGAAAACGGAAACGGCCACAAGACACGGAAGAACCTCTCCATTTTCGAGCCAAGCTTCGAAGGCGATCGCAAACGTTCCTCGCTGCTGAGGACACACCTATCCAGGAGCCAGCGAGCGATGCTGCCAAGAACGAGATTGACCCAATACGTAATTGGATCCAGAAAGGATATTGGCCCAAGAAGTATTTTAACCAGGACATCAGTATGAGTTCCCTGCTTCCAAGGAAGAAGTCGACGTCTTCTCTTCGCCGTAAAGGGCCTAGTGATGAGAAACAAAAGGAGGAAAAGAATGCTCCATACGTAAATCCCCGCTACCAAACTATTCTTGAAACAAAAGGCAGCTTTATGAAGAAAGCGCGTGTTGGGATTAGAGACGAAAGTAGTCTTCTTATCAAAGCATTGCTTAACACAGATCAGATGGTCCCGCAAAATTCGCTGTTTCGAGACGACTTATTCGACACCACCTGCGAAAAGATCCAATGCGAGAACGAACCTAGAATTATTCGAGATATCGGACAACTGATCGTGCCGTCTGCCGAAACTCTAGCTACATATGGTGCCACCAATCTAGAGCACTTAGTTGAGACTGTGAATAAAGGCTGGAACAAAAGCATCCCTTTTTATGGTCCCCGCCCACAGCCTGATTACTCGGTGGGTTTCAGGCGGTCTGCATTCACAGATGATCAACTTGAGAAGCTGAAGCCCTTCATCGGTGATTGGGATGACACTTCCTTTTTTATGGCCACAGACACGATGCATTTTCCATTTCTGACATGCGAGGTAAAATGTGGTGAGGTGGCACTTGATATTGCAGACCGACAAAACGCCCACAGCATGACTCTTTCAGTGAGAGGTGTGGTTGAACTTTTTAGGGCAGTAAAGCGTGAAAATGAAGTCCACCGGGAAATCCTCGCGTTTTCAATATCCCATGATCATACAGCAGTGAGAATCTATGGCCATTACGCTCTAGTTGACGATGATAAGATCACATTTTACCGACACCCGATTCACAACTTTTCCTTTGCTGCCCTGGATGGCAAGGAGAAGTGGACTGCATACAGGTTTACGAAGAATGTCTATGATATATGGATGCCGACTCACCTTAAAAGGATTTGTTCAGCAATTGACCAGATACCTCCTGGCCTTGATTTTGGTGTCTTGCAGTCGGGCCTTCCGTTCCCTTCAACTTCCAAGTCTTTTTAACGAAAACAACTCTCAGTCAGGTCAGGTGAGGCAAGGCAATGTCAGCCAGCTGAACATTAGGGTGGTGAGGGCTGCCAGACCATACCCAACTTAGCAGCTGTACCAAACCCAATCAGGCCATGCTAGATCCAACATGGGTGGTGCTAGACTGGATGCAGGTGGGCTGGTGAGCTTGAGGCAGCACTCACCAGATAATCATTTACTTCGATGGTACTTGTCAGTATGGAGTAAACAGATAATAAAATACTATAACTTAAGAAATAATTTTTATATTTAGATATTTCTTATAATTTATAAAGTTTATTAAAACTGATAATATCTTTACAAATAATAAAGTTAAATAGTTAAATAAAATTGATAAGACTGTTTATTAAGTATCTATATACTCTACATATAAATTCTAAAGTCTATATTCAACAATGTTGTTGAGATATAAGAGAGCAAAAAGTTGAGATTTTGTATCATGTATGTATATTTTGGTGTCTCGCTCGGGGGTGGATTACGTTATTGCTACTTCCTACTTCAGATCTGCTCTGTTTGTTCCGCTGGACGGCAAGAACCCATTGCCCATGCCGGCAAGTGCTGCTTTCTCTCTCTCTCTCTCTCTCTCTCTCTCTCTCTCTCTCTCTCGCTTCTGCGCGTCGAGCCTGCCGCATGCTTGCCACGCGCCTTCCCCTTCCGCTTCCCCCTAGTTAAGGGACTTGCTTTCCTTGGGCCAAGAGGAGAGCTCCTTCCAGCCTGGCCAGTCGCGCCTGCAGTGTAACCAGCTTTTAACGCTCTAACCCAACCAATCCGCAGGGTAAACACAGTAGCGGCGCTGTCCTTGCTTAAAAAAGAAAAAAAAAAAAAATACACACAAAAGAGGCTCCCCCGCGTTTTGACTGATTTCTTCTTCCTCCATCTTCTCCGCTGCTCTCTCTCGTCTGGACCATCGTGTAGACAGATACTGGTCTCTCTCAGAACCCCTCCACTGTTTGTTGGAGTCTGCGAAAGAGAGCCTTTTACTCCTTGCATCGGGAGAGCATTCTTTTTATTCGCGAATTTCTTATCAATATCACCACCATCCGTCGTATCGTCATGGCGCCCCTGCCCGTTTCATTCACCTGCCTTCGAACCCTCTTCGTCTCCCTCTTGCTGGCACCGCTGGTCTTGTCTCAATGGCAGAGCACCCTTCAGAAAGATCCGCCGGCCGGCGAGCCAAAGCAGATTGCCATCATAGGTATGGGTTCTGTTGCAGCACCAAGATGACTACAGCAAACTTGCATGCCTACCTAGAAATAGGCAAGGGATGGCTGGGCTGACCTTACCGCAGGTGCCGGAGCTGGAGGGTCATCTGCCGCTTATCATCTTCGCAAATATGCCGATTTCTTCTCCATTCCAATCAACATCACGGTCTTTGAGAGATCTAACTATGTCGGCGGCAGATCCATGACTGTCGATCTCTTCGATGACCCCGCCCAACCTGTTGAGCTGGGCGCGTCGATCTTCGTCAAGGCCAACAGCAATCTTCTCAAGGCGGCGAAGAAGTTTGGCTTGAAAGTTAAAGAGGCCGACCACGATATGCCGCGAGATTCCGTCCACAGCTTGGGAGTATGGGACGGATCGCGATTCGTCTTTTTACAGCGCGAGACTAACTTCCGCTGGTGGAATATCTTCCAGCTGCTGTGGAAGTACGGCTGGGCTCCCATGAGAACCCAGAGTGTGATGAGCGCCACTGTCGACAAGTTTCTCAAGCTTTACAAGTGGCCTTACTTCCCGTGGAAGTCTCTGTCGGCGGTGGCTATGAGCACCGGCCTCGTGGAAGCGACTTGGTCGACGGGCGCAGAGTTTCTGAAGGAAAATCACATTACTGAAGAGTTTGCGCGGGAGGTCATCCAAGCTAGTACTCGAGTGAACTACGGGCAGAACCTCGCATTGATCCATGGCTTGGAGACAATGGTCTGCATGGCCACGGATGGCGCCAAGTCCGTTGAAGGAGGAAACTGGCAGATCTTCCAGGGCATGGTCGATGTATCCAAAGCGCACTTGAACCTTGAAACCACTGTACAAGAGGTACACCGCAACGACGATGATACCTACACACTCACCTATGAAATGGAAGGGAGTGATTTCTCACAGTATGCCGACTTTGATCAGGTTGTTATCGCAAGTCCTCTCCAGTTTTCCGGTATCAAAATTTCGCCTAACCTCGAAACCCTCCCCGATGACACTCCCTATGTTGACCTTCATGTTACACTACTGGCCTCGCCGCATAAAATCTCGCCCCGTTTTTTTAGACTTCCAGATAACAAAGCTTCCGTTCCGTCGGTGATCCTTACTACCCTTCCCCATGGTCTCGACCTGGGAGCTCGTCGTGATGGAGTAGGCCCGGCCGGATTTTGGAGCATAAGCACTATCAAGAAAGCCAGACCACCAACCGCCTCCTATCCTTCGGGTGGCGACCATTACGTATACAAGATCTTCTCGCCACAGCCGCTGAGCCCTCAGTTCATTTCGGATCTCTTTGACATTTCAGAGATGGACCTGTATGACGACCATAATACCACCTTCCACAGGTCGGGTTCTACCATCGGAGGGTTTTCTGCCAACGAGATCTCCTGGCTTCACGAGAAAAAGTGGCACTCGTATCCTTATCTATACCCCCGTGCTACGTTTGAGGACATCAAATTAGCATCAGGCCTATGGTATACCAGCGCTATAGAGCATTTCATCTCAACAATGGAAACCAGTGCGCTCTCAGGGATGAACATTGCTGCGCTTATCCTCAGCGAGTGGATCTCTGAGTTCGAAGTCAAGCTAAAGAAGTACGAAGAGAGCGGGTAGTGCGGTGGTATTATATAGCTTTATACACTCTAGAATGTTTTTATTTTTGTGGGTTGTCTGGGTACGGACAACATTCTGGCGTACTGGAATGGAGACAGCGGGCGGTGATTTGGGTTGAAGGGCGTATAATATGTGCATTGGAAGGGTCCCGTTCTTTTTCTCAAAGCGTACACGCATCATTCTTAGTCTTCAAATGAAACAAGCTTTAACTAATATCTGTCTACCCATGATGGCTTTCTTGGGTTTAAATAATTCCAGTGCCATAAGGGTGGCTATTACAAATTACTGTTTTGGGTAAACTCGTTAACCAGCTGCTAGCTAGTTAGTCCGCTCTGCTCTAGATAGCCGAAGCACCATATCTTGACGTTGATTGTACCATAAAGCAGTCTTGATTCCCTAGACATTTGTCGCCCATAGATGACCTGCCTTTCATGGGGAAATCCTCCATTTCGCGTTATCAGCCAACATGATGGAGAAAGGAAAAAGAGAAAAGAAGAAGAGGAGGATGTATGGGAAGGAACCATAACCTATTGCACTGTTTGGTGCCGTGGTTGCATCTTTTTTGGGATCGAGATGGTTGGTTGGTTAATGTTCTTCTAATTTTCATTCCTAAGGTAGTAGAGGTATGTACAGAGGATATATATATATACTGCATGATGCAGCTATGTAAGTGATATAAGTATTATGTTGATACCGGCTAACTATGCTACACTAATGTCAAACCCACTAAAATCGCCTGTATCCCGCCACTCCTGCAAAAGATCCATGTAACTGTTCAGACCCAGCGGCCACGGCCCCGCGGCCGCGCCGGCCAACTTTTCCTCCGCCGACAACTTGTCCTTCCCCCCCTCTCCGTTGTAATAAGATGGCGTACACCCGGCAACCGGTGCCAAGACTGCCGCCCCGGCTTTGATGCGTGCCGCCCAGGCTTCTTCCGCTGCGCGGGTCGGCTCGATAGCGACCTTACCCCGGTCGCCGGCATTTTTCAAGTTCTCAGATATGATGAACGCGACGTGCCGGGCCAATGTGTCCAGTGTCGGGGTGTAGTTTGGCGAAACGCCGGTCTGGCTGGGCCCGACGAAGAAGAAGTTCGGGAAGCCATTGGTGGTGATGCCGTGCAGTGTGGCGATTCCCCGTGACCATTTTTCGTCCAGGCACTGGCCTCCTCGACCGAGGATCTGGGCACCGCTGCGGAAAGCGGGGCTCTGTCGGCCGCTTATGTCGAAGCCCATGGCGAAGATGAGCACGTCGAGGTCGAAGTGCTCCCCGTTGGCGACGACGCCGGTTTTGGTGATTTCCTGGACGCCTTTGCCCCCTGTGTCCACGAGAGTGACCTGTGGAAGGTTGAAGGCTTGGAGGTACTCGTCGTGGAAGCCAGGTCGTTTACACCAACCCGCGTACCAGGGTTTGAGATTCTCGGCTACCTTTTTGTCTTGCACCACCTCGTCGACTCGTGTGCGGATCCGCTCCGATCGTGGCAGGTCGAGGGAGTGCATCTCGGCAACATGGTCGGCAACGTTTTCCATTGTTACTGCGTTTGGCCCGCCCGTCAGAGCACAGAAGCCTGGAAACGCTGACCATCCGTCGGAGACCATGTCAACAGACGGGCGGGGTTTAGCGTTGGATGCCATGGAGATAAAATTGCGGTTTCGGGCCATTTGCCATCCTGGTCCCGTTGCGATCTTCTGAGCCCATTCCTCGGGGTCGGTGGCCCTCTGGTTGCGGACATCCACCGAAGAGGGCGTTCGCTGGAAGACGTAGAGATGTTTGCTCCATTTGGCCAATTGGGGAACAGCCTGGATGGCCGTGGCGCCTGTGCCGATGATTCCGACTCTTTTATCTTGGAGATTGGTTAGAGTTGGATCTTCTTGACTGCCTCCGGTGATTTTATAATCCCAACGGGCTGCGTGGAAGCCCTGGCCTTGGAAGGTCTCGAGGCCCGCAAAGTTGGAGATCTTCGGGCGGTTTAATAGACCTGGTATCAGCGCCACAAAGTCAGCGTGGACCTTGGCAGATACCGGCTGGCTGTTTGGTGGCTGCTGCTGGGTCATCTCAACAGCCCATGTGCGAGTATCCTCATTCCAGCAGCATCGCTGAAACATCGTCCGGAACATGGCCCTGTCAGCAAATGACCAATTCTTCGCAATCCGGTTGGCCTGTTCTCTCAGCTCCTCTCCGTATGAATACTTATGCTTCGGCATATACCCAGTTTCTTCCAGGAGTGGCATGTAGATGTAGCTCTCGACATCGCACATCAGACCAGGATAGCGGTTCCAGTACCAGGTGCCTCCGAATCCGGCGGCTGTGTCGACGATGACGATGTCCTTTGGCTTAAATCCAGCGTCCAGCAAACGCACTGCAAACAAGATGCCTCCATACCCTGCTCCCACGATGATAATCTTGTAGTGTGCGCCTTCCTCAAGGGTCAGCGAAGGGGCTGATCCATCATCCCACTTATCCTCCAAGAGGCGCTTGAGGCTCTGGTTCTCTGTCGTTGTCAAGTTGATGTATTGTGCCATTCCGTCAGGGCGCAGGCGCTTGCTTCGCTCCTCAGCGTACTTCTGGTGTATGTTTTGGATCTTCGACGCGCTGAAGCCATTGGAGCTGACGTTGGCTGTCTCCACGACCGGGTGTGGCTTTGTTCCGTTCGCGAGGGATTCCTCCGACGGGGAGGCACTGGCCTCCGCAATGCCCGAGTCTACCGGCATCATGTAACGTTCGCGAAAGTTGTGTGTGTTTTAGTCTCCTGGGAATGGGACTGAAAGACACCAGAGGAAGAGGCCAGATAAATAACCCAAACCGCAGCAACACGCCATACACCTGGGTAGTTTTTCCGGAAGGATATGCACCCGGAAGACGTGCGTATGCCTGCATAACGACCCTGCGTGTGCGCATGGCAACATGGCCTCGACCGTGGGATTTGGCCGGTATCCCTGGTCGACAGGCCATGACAAGCAATCAACGGCCATCGTCGAGTATAATTGCGTTGTGCGACTTTATGCAGGCACATACTTGCACTTGCGCTGGCTTAACGCTCAAGCCCCGGCCCCATGATCTGCGGCGGGATGAACTATGTAACCCGAAACTCACGAGTTGAATGACTGATGGGACCTGCTTGCGGGCGATGCCTGGATACAAAGCAAAACACAGGGGTGGGCACACCCCAATTTGTGTTCGACGAGGGAGTCCGCACGAAACCAGCATAAGCCAGCAGTTCTGTGCATGATATTTGAATTTGTAGTTACTCTATTGCTGATACCATAGCTTCTACCGGCGGCCGTTCATTCAATAACGGGAACGCGGGTTGGCTGCATCGAAGACCAGATCCTGGGCGGGCTCGGGAGGCTACCGAGTTAATACTGCGCTTCGGCGGGATCGTCACGACGGGAGTTTCGATTGCATCGGATTCACTTTGTGAAGCGCATTAATCCGCGCCGGGCACAAAAAACGCGGCGCCTTACCAAACCTGGATGGGCACAATCCAACACTAGTCCATATATAGTTAAGGTAATATCTGGTTAGGAAAATATTTAATCCGCCCCGCACGAAATCACGTGGATGTCAGGTAGTATATGTTTGCATTGTTTGCAGGAGTGGCGCATGTGGCTTGTTTCCTTTTATGTAACAATTACTCAACTCCGGGAGCACAAACCGTGCAGGTCCGGGGAAAAAACCCCTGGGGGTATGTATAAAGTAGCTTGGAAGGTTTGTCCCGCAGATGCTGACAAGAGCACGAACCAGGAGCACTGAAAGTTGGGTGTGAAAACACACTTCGCAAAAGAAAATGGCCATGAGTCACTTGATGCTTCTTTGCTGTCCCCTGGGATTGGCCTTTTGTTCCTGTTGGAATTCTTCAACGTCTGGGAAAAGCTCGATTCTTTCTTTATCATATCTGACAACTCAAACTTAACGTCCATCCGAGTTAGATAAGTGTGCTGTTCTTCTCTTAGGAAATATATCATGCTTCGCGCCGTTAGCTGAGGGTCTTCGTGATAACGTACCCCTTATAAAGCTTTTTCCGGAACTTGGAAGGGTCCGAGTTTCGCAGCCCACGAAGCAAGCGGTATCCAGATCCGGGCCGGGGAAGACGCCGTTTTTCTACAGATGCATTACAGGCTCAATTTCTATCTCACATTCGAGAGAATTGGGAGTAAATAGGACCAAAAGGGTGCCACTAGTGGGAACCCACTCTGGGAATATATTCTGCTTTACGGAGTAGCCATGAAAGTGCCGTGTCCCAGTCCACTAACAAAGGCTATGCTGAAATACCTCAAAGAGGGCTATACATGCGAGCCGCGGTTACTTTGTTGTGGGGACGGTAAGGTGTTGGTAGATTCAAAAACGATGCTCGGAGATGTTTTCCCCATAGACAGGATGGAGGAACTGATTCTCGCCGGGGCTGATAGGGTTGGCCTCCACGCGGGCTCTGCAGGTGGATAGGACATGCTATCGATTTCGGGTGAAACAAGCATCCAAATAATATTATTGAACTAATTACTCCTATATTTCGGGGTTAAGAGGTCGCCAGCCTGACCACGAGAGATGACGCGCTGCCACCGTTTTAAGCTACCAGTGCATCAGAGACTGTGAGGGGAGATAAAAGCCAATAATACCACATCCAGAGCGGTCGATTTATCTTTGCACAGAGTAACATCTCATATCTGTCTATCCAGCCGACCTTTTGAATCAACGCGCGAGGTGACCATAGCAGTGCAACGCAACCAATATCAATAACCAGCGGGTACCGGCGCAGTCTGGATCGTTGGTCGGCACAACCTTATATGCAGCGCGGAACATAAAATGAATGGTGGACAGGAGGGCAGATTCTCCACCTGCAGGCACGCCGGCAATAGAAAAGCATGCGGTAAGGGTGAAAAACGTGGCAAAGCTGGTAACTGGTGGAAACTTACCTTTTTCCACTCTTCTCACTCCGAAGCTCGCTCTTCTTCTGCGTCTTCTTCCTCGTTCCTTTCTACTCTATTCTAATTCTGTTTCCTTGCCAATTGAAGAGGTCCTCTCCATTCTATAGTTACCAGGGTGACTCATCGACACCGTGATCGTCGAATGGAATCGGTGTGGCTTCACGGAGTGTTTGCCTTTTGCCCTTGTCAACCGCCCCATCTGTGGCCGAGCCATTATTAGTTAATTGCAATTATTTCCAGGATTCTACCAAGAGTTGTTCCGCCCAGAATTACGGAGTATTTTAGTATTATTTTGACTGGCTCGTGTGTGCGCGCCAGGGCCTCTCTGGCTAAGCAATTTCCTCCGCGAAGCCTGCGGTGTCCGTTCTACCCGAAGACATGAGCTGATCGATGATCAGTGATCGCTCACGATGCCAATCTATCCCACGACGAAGCCTCCCAGGGATTGCTCAGACATCGTGCAAGGATTCAAAGTGCCTGCCTCATTTCTTCTGTCTCGATGGTCGTGTTAGCCCTGACGCCCAAGCAGCATTGTCATGGGTAAATGCGGGGAGCAGCTGAACTCGACCAGGGAGGCCCAGTGGAGCGGGTCAGAGAAGACGGTGACAACAATCATTATTCCGCAATGCCAGCATGATAACTAATTAAACTCGAGCAACATTCCTCCGCATCAAAGGCGAGTCCGGAGTGCTTCTGAGGCCCACCGTGACACAATAAAAGTAATGCGTACACATAGCTAGCTCCTAAGCGAAGCTAAGCTACTGAGACATTCTCGGCCGCCAAACCAAGATCCCATCTCCACGTTGTTTTTGTCCACGACAACTAAAAACGTGGTGTCTTCCGGAAGAAACCGCCGGGCAGGCTAACACTACCCGCCAGTGGACTCACTAACGAATTTGTAGTTAGCTGGTACGGAGTTACTAGTCAAACTAGCTACTAAAAGATCCAGTTAACCGAGACCAACACACTAAAAGCTTCAATGATGGATACAGATTGGACAGTCGGCCGACCAAAACACCGCCTGTTCGAGATGCCCTGGAGAAGATTCCATGGGCGATCCATGCAAGCGATGGCGCACATCCCCACTGCGCGGCCTCACACACTCTAGACCCAACCCGACCCTCCAAAGCAATTTTGAATTTCGAACCCAATTCCTTGTGATATCTTTCCCACCCCTGGAGGACCGCTTCTGCCACGATGACCCCGGACTCCAGCTGAAAAGGGCCGGTCCAAGGAAGGGCGTTTGCCCCTCCCCGAATTATAAATAAATGTCCGCTCCCGCCTGTTCTCCGGGGTAGTCCCCAGAGTGATCTGCTTTGCAAGTTATATGATTTCCGTATAACTTGCCGAGGAAACTTTCACGATGTTAGGGAAGACGAAGACATTATGTATTTTGGCGCTCTGCCTCCTCTTCGACGGGACGCAGTCTCTCACCACGCCCCGCCATGAGAGCCATCTCGAACCTAGGACGACCACAGAGCCAAAGTACAAAGCAGTTGCCGCTGCTGCACAGAAACGCCGCGATGACGCACTCAACGCCTTCCTGCCGCTCCCAGCCCTCAATATGACGGGCATTGGAAACGATCTCCGGCCCGTTCTGTTGAATTCCGGTGTCTTGACCAAGTCTGAAATCAGGATTGTCCAATCCGATGCCGCGACTTTGGTCCGAAAGATGATTCGAGGAAACTTGACTTCTCAGGAGGTGACGACCGCATTCTGCAAAGCCACCGTCATCGCCCAGAATCTGGTACGTCTCCTACTTTGAAATTTCGTCAGTATTTCGAGCTGCTAATGTATACCCATTTAGACCAACTGTGTGACTGAGGTCTTATTTGATGAGGCACTGAAACGAGCGAAGTACGTCGACGACTATTTCAAGCGAACCGGAAAGCCTATTGGTCCGCTTCACGGTTTGCCAATTTCTCTGAAGGACACCTTCACTACTCCTCCTCACCCATCATCTATTGGTATGGCTGCTTATGCCATTGAACCAACCACTGAGCGGTCTGTTATCGTTGACATGCTGGAGGATCTGGGTGCTGTATTTTACGTCAAGACCAACGTTCCGACCGCCATGCTGATGGGTGAAACTATTAACAATGTCTGGGGCGAAACAATAAATCCAATCCATAAACATCTCACCCCTGGTGGATCTTCTGGAGGTGAAGGTGCGATCGCGGCCATGCGAGCCTCGCCGTTGGGTGTTGGAACGGATATTGGCGGCAGTATCCGTATTCCTGGCGCCTATGGCCATCTATATGGGTTGAAGCCTTCTCTCGGACGGTTCCCCACATGGGGCTCCAAACCGGCCATAAAGGGTCAAGACATCATTTACTCTATCTCCGGACCAATGTCTCACTCTCTACCGTCTATAAGACTCTTTGCTGAGGCTGTTCTCTCTGAACAAGCTGCTCCTTGGTTGCTCGACCCGAAGATGAATCCGATGCCCTGGAAGAGAAGAGTAATTCCGGCCGACAAGAAACTTAAATTTGGTCTTCTTCCCTGCAGCGACGGCATCGTTACCTGCCATCCGCCTGTGGAGAGAGCTCTCAAGATTACTGCCAAGGCCTTGAGGGATGCTGGTCATGAGGTTGTCGATTGGTGAGTCGTGGAGGCCCCAAGAAGGTCCCATCCTTTTACAATAAACTGTTCTCTGACGATATATCCAGGGCACCAGTGAATCCAGCGGGGGTTGAAGGTCTCACGACCCAAGTTTTCACTCTCACCGGCTCCGATGCTGTCCTACCTCCTCTTCAGGCATACGACGAGCCCCTGCTCGGGGTCTTGAAGCTTTTGTTCCCTGGTGGCACCAACGGTCCTCCGGAGCTTACTCCCGCAAAACTCCGTGAACTGATTCTCTCACGTAACCAGCTCCAAAAGGACATGCTGGACCAATGGAGAGAGACGAATGTCGACGGTATCATTGGGCCCGTTGCGGTGCCTGCGGCAGCTCGCTTGCAGATGGACCCCCAGAAGGTCTACGGAGGGCTCACCGGTTTCGGCAACGTCATGGGTATGATAAAATTTCCCCGATCCCAAGAAAAATTGTTCTATTTCTTTGCTTTCATAGAATTAAATATTCTGGCTAACAGTTTCTTTTTGATGATAGACCTTCCGGGCTGCTCCTTCCCGGTAACATATGCTGATAAGGACCTAGACCCCAAGAGAGGAGCGGATTGGGTTCCAAACGGTGAGAGAGATGCCTTCGTGCAGAGCGACTACGATGCCGACTTTTGGCACGGTGCCCCCGTTGGACTCCAAGTTTTAGGACAGAGGCTGCAAGAAGAGAAGGTTCTCGAGATGACCGAGATCATAGCTGCGGCAATCGGTTTCAAGGATAGAGTGTTTGGATAAAATGATCCTTTCTGATTCAATTTTCCTGCTTCAAGGCTTATATATGTGTATATAGATTAGATTAGTTTTGGATAGATTGTACTGCACATCGATATAGAGATTTAGGTGTTCTTAGCTAGATTACTTAGTGTAAGCCGCTTGCTGCCATATTGTCATCCTTTCCTCACGCATATCCACTACCTGCCTGCCACTGAGAACTCAGTCATATTATATACATTGGTTATGCTCGTTACCCTTGGGTTTGTTCATTTTGTGTCGCTCGTATGCACGTGACAGATGGTTGGATGATGTAATTACAGAACACACACTAACTGAAAGAGGCTTAGTGTATAGCTACTCCAGGCACCTTGGGCGGTATCGATACACCGCCAATACCGCTGAGCCCGCCAGACCACCAGACCTTGCCATGTGTCACCGCGTATCGGTTACGTATTGCGTCTTCAGTGGTCAAGCTCGCTCCCGACGCCTGCTTGTCTCGCTTTCAGGTCAGTCAGTCAGTCAGTCAGTCAGTCAGTGAGTGTCAGTCGGTCAGCCTTTCAGTTGGTCAGCATGTAGGCTGCGACAGCCGCTTTCACTTCTCTTTCTTCCAGGTCAAGAAACCCGTTCAGAATGTCACTGGCGATAAGAGGAACATCCACTCTCAGTCGTCCTTCTTCCGCAACTTCTTGGCCAGGCTCACTTTGTTAGTTGTGCCTTGCGTCCTGTACTTGCCGCCGACCATATCCGCCTATGACCCCATAATGGACAATGCAAGCGTTTTCTATCGTATCCTAACCTCCATATCTCTCCTACCCACCAACCAGCGTTCCATGTCCAATACGTTCTGGCGGCTATGCGAGCTGCTTGCCCAGCAAGAAAAAGAAGATGCTGACAACGGAGGCTCCGAAGCTTACGAAAATGAGCCTGATGACTCCCTTTTTCCTGAACTTACAAGAGCTCTCGACGGCAGCGCCAGCAGTAGCAATAACTATGACCTAGAACTTTCAGAGGCGTCAAACCTCTCTCCGCCAGAGGCTGCTCCGATCCACTTTGACGACCCATGTGCCTCCATCGTAAATTTCAAACCCAGCGAGTCGTTGGGGATAACTTGTCTCACGATCGGATCCCGCGGTGACGTTCAGCCATACATTGCGCTTTGCAAAGGGCTCCTGGCCGAAGGTCATAAACCTAGGATTGCAACCCACCGAGAGTTTGAACCCTGGGTTAGGCAGCATGGTATTGATTTTGCGCCCGTGGAAGGCGATCCGGCCGAACTCATGCGAATATGCGTTGAGAACGGGATGTTTACGTATTCATTTTTGAAAGAAGCGTCCCTGAAGTTCCGTGGGTGGATAGATGATTTGCTCTCCTCTGCGTGGTCGAGTTGTCAGGGCAGTGACATTCTGATTGAATCCCCCAGCGCGATGGCGGGTATACACATCGCGGAGGCGCTGCGGATACCCTATTTCCGTGCTTTTACTATGCCGTGGACGAGAACGAGGGCCTACCCTCATGCCTTTGCTGTGCCAGACCATAAGATGGGTGGAGCTTACAATTATATGACGTATGTAATGTTTGACAACGTCTTCTGGAAAGCTATTGCTGGTCAGGTGAATCGGTGGAGGAAGCGGCAGTTGGGCCTACGGGGTACGAACTTGGACAAGATGCAGCCGAACAAGGTTCCATTTTTATACAACTTCTCCCCGTCCGTTGTGCCTCCGCCGATGGACTATGGCGATTGGATTCGTGTGACCGGTTATTGGTTTCTGGATGAAGGATCGAGCTGGTCACCGCCAGAGCAGCTTACGGCCTTTATCCAAAAAGCACGAAACGATCGTAAAAGGATCGTTTACATTGGGTTCGGCTCCATTGTTGTTTCCGATCCAACGGCGTTGACAAAAACTGTCATTGAATCCGTTTTGAAGGCCGACGTGCGGTGTGTTCTATCAAAAGGTTGGTCTGACAGACTCGGGGACCCTTCGAGCGCGAAAACCGAAGTTCCCCTGCCACCAGAAATATACCAGATTACAGCAGCACCGCATGATTGGCTGTTTTCCCAAGTGGACGCTGTTGCCCATCATGGTGGCGCAGGTACTACTGGGGCAAGTCTTCGAGCTGGTGTTCCAACGATCATCAAACCTTTTTTTGGAGACCAGTTTTTCTTTGGAACCAGGGTAGAGGATCTCGGTGTGGGCATTTCGTTGAAGAAATTGAACGTAAACGTTTTTTCGAGGGCACTATGGGAGGCAACTAATTCCGAGCGGATGATCGTGAAGGCCAAGTTACTCGGTGAGAAAATCCGCAAGGTATGCTCTCATCCGAGCCTTTTTCTTTCTTCCTTCTCTTCACGCTAAATTGATATTTCGATGTACAGGAGAACGGAGTAGAGAAGGCTATTCAAGCCCTCTACCGCGATCTCGAATATGCCAAAACCCTTGTGCGGCGACGCTCTATAGCAGCAGCGTCCCCACCACTACCTGTACCTCTAGGATCTCCTAAAGCTCGCCATGATTGGGAGGATGATTTGGCCGGTATTGAAGATACATGGACATTGGTTGGCCATCCAGACATAGACATGGAACTTTCTCAGAGCAGCAAAGGCCGTGAAAGCGAATTTGACCTACGGGCTAGTGCAGCCCTGGCGACAGGTACACTACCAGATATTGTTGTCGATGAAGATGACGGCGAGGAGGATGTTACGCGATGAATGATACGGCTCGACGCTAGCTATATTACAACCCATTATGATGATGTTTGATGACTTGTTAACGAATTGAATTCAGGGTCCATTTATGGAGTTGAATTTGGGTTCGGCGCAAGTCCTGCTCTGCTCTATTAATGATAAGTTGTTTTCTTTCGTGCAGTGATAGAGTAGGGCTCAGGAAGAAGAGGGCTCAGGAAGAAGAGGGCTCAGGAAGAAGAGGGCTCAGGAAGAAGAGGGCTCAGGAAGAAGAGGGCTCAGGAAGAAGAGGGCTCAGGAAGAAGAGGGCTCAGGAAGAAGAGGGCTCAGGAAGAAGAGGGCTCAGGAAGAAGAGGGCTCAGGAAGAATGGAACTGACGTGCAATCCGCGATGCGGAGTTTCAATTCTTTACGGATTTGGAGCGTTATTTGCCTTTGATGTTTTAGGCTACTTACCAGTACCTTCTATGGGTTAGCTTGAGCGCATCTCTATTACTTTTTGAGGACTTTGCTTTATTTGTGTTTGTTATTTGTGTCTTTGTCCTAGATTAAGGTGGGTGATGCGAGCGACTTGTGGGGCACCTAGACGGTTCTGCTTTACATCGTAATCTTATCTCCTCTCTGATTCAGGCGATGTTGACCTTGAATACTCCCCTTTTTACGTGAATTTGGGATCATTTCTTTCTCAGCTCATGTTCTCAGTTTTGCTTTGGTGTTTGCAGACAACATCTGCTATGGCTTTCATCCAGTTGAGTACCTCCCAACGCAAGTTAACACACTTCACTACGTGATATAGATATAGCGAGCGAAAACAGTAGCTGGCATTTTAAGATCGGGGCAGAGTAGCTACTCCACAGATATATGATGATCTTTCAACTCCACAACCGAAACAATACATAGTCAGTTCCGCACCGGGTTTATTTATTAGGCCAAATAGAGCATTTCAGCGAAGTTGCTGCATCTCCTTGCCCTGATTCTTGTTCCGCTGAGGATGTAGTAATTAATTTACCCACCCCAATTTTGTGTGTCTAAACCAAATAACTTCGTTTTTGTTCACATATCCATGTACGTGTTGATAATTAATTTCCCTTTTATCACTCATCCGGAATTTTCTTCTCGTGCTCTCCCTTCCCTTCTGCTTTCTCTTTTCGCTTTTGCATTACGTCCCAGTTGTATACGCGCGCAGTCGCGACTTCAAGAGTCTGGAAAAGCGTTAGTCAAGTTTCGTCTTCAAGGATGAAGAAACCAAATAGCCCTGTGAGCTATATATAGGTGGCCGGAAAGAGACAAATGTTATTTTGGTCAAGCGGGCACACTTACCGTGATCTGCTCCCGCAAAAATTCCAGATCCTCCTCGCAGTTCCCTAGGCTCAACTGCGCCACCCGTAGCTTGTCTTCAAGTAGCTTTTGAGCCTCGTTGATAGGATACGCGAGCATTACGTTAGCTCCGAGCCAGAGGTATACCTCGCTGGTGTTCTCTGGAGCGATGGTTGCGCGAGCATACAGCGTGTCGTTGAGCTCAAAGGCGGTTTCGATAGGGATCGAAGATTCGGCCTAATATTATTTTGAGTAGGGTCCTCTGTGTTAGCTTTTAATGGCGAACGGGTGTTTTTCCTTTTCGTTAAGCGTCGGGTGCGGTCTCTGGGAGACAGAAAAAAGGTGGGGAGGGGATTGGCGCTTTTATTGTTTTTCGATAGGATTTGATATTTACCTTCCTCCTAGCACTTAGGAACTTCACGGTTTCCAGGGTCTTTGTAATATCCGGGATTTTATCTTTCAGTCCCTGCGCACGTCGCTGCGTGTTGAGCTCCATGAATTGGTATTTGGATATCATCTCCTGGAAAGAGCGGAGTGTGGGCTCGACATCGGCGCGCGTGGAGACATAGTCAGTGACATCGTCGACGAAGGGAGCGGTGGGTATGCCGCGCGGATTAGTGGGGGTGCCGGCGGCAGAAGAAGAGAGGGTTCTGAGAGGACGTTAGCCTGTTGAAAAGCGGCCGCATTGGGAGGTGTGTCGTGCAGAAAGTTGACCAGGAGGGAGGGCGGGGAGAGGCGGTGCGTGTGTGCGTGCATACTTTCCGGGCTGATTTTCCGCCATGATGCTGAGCGGAGAAGTTATGGAAGCTCAGGGGTGCATTATTTTAAAGAAATCAAACTCATTCAAGGGCTGCGCTGCCCCGGGGTATTCTACTGCTCTCCCTCTCTGGATTCGATGGTGGTGAACGGGCACAACACAGATAATGTAAGCAATCGACGACGGAGCTGTTCGTGAACTTTAACCAACCAACCAACAAATGTGTCTCCTTTTTTGTGATCGCCTGGGACGCCACTGAGTGCCCTTTGATGAGGATCGGAAATCATGATCAGCAGAAATTTGCGTTGCATCCGGTCACCAAGAGCGATCGAGGCAATGTCGATTTTGGATGTCCACATCTCTCCCGATCCTTATGGCATTCAAGCACTCCTCTCAGCAGGTCGAGCTGTTCCCATTGCCTGCTTCGCTAACTCTCGCTGGAAATTGCTAGTGCTACGCTTTGGCAGAGAGAATAGCAATTGCGTTAAGATATCTCGATTCTTATGACCTCAACTTATCCCATAGCTGACCGGCAATTAAGCTATGGAAAATTTAGCCGGGAACCGATTGCTGATTAGCTTCTGGCACGTTCTGATGTTAAAGTCCCAGTTCCAGCTGCTCTGCGCCGAATTCATTGCTGAGTTTTTTTTTTTTTTTTTTTTTTTTTTTTTTTTTGTAAGGGTAACTACCCGCCACGAACCAAATCAGTTACAACTGCTGGAGCCAGGCAGAATTATCTCAGCCTTTTCCAACCGACCCTGGCTGCTTGATGGTGCTTGTTGCTCCATGCAGAGGAGCCATGCCCTCCAGATTTTTTCTCTTTTGCACCGGCCAGAGTGTGGCATTGATGTCTAAGGCATATCATGTATGAGTCCTCGCTATGGGATATGGATTTGAAGGTTATTAGGCTAACCTACTCTTTCACACACACCCCCCTTTATTGCCCACGATATCCCGTTGCTATAGTGAGCTTGTCTAGCATCTCGAATCGAGAGAATTCCACAAAGCGTCGAGGCAACAGTCAGATTGAAAATAATAGCAGCGGAGGCGGGGTTATTCAAGGGCCCACCGCTGGATGATCTGACAGCATTTGACCATTACAATCGAGCAAAGATAATATGGGAAAGCTCCCGTTGTTCTTCCAAGTTTCTTAAGGCTTTTACCCTTGACCACAGCTATGCATTCTCTCCCATATGCATCAAGACACGATGATACCGATCTACATGAACAAAGAGTTAATTGAACTAAATGATGTGTTCCGTTTCACGGCAGGAGCTTCTAGAGAAGGCTAAACTAAAGGTATGGGCTTCTGTGCCGTTGCTACCACCGCAATCCAATGCATTGGTATAGGTTTGTCGGTGCCATACTTTGTCTCCAAATAACTCGAAACCGTGGATGCCAAGCTACCAGCGCTCTTCTGTCTTTGCTTTTCGTTCCAGAATTTTGCTGGAATATGAGCCATAATAGGAGCAAGAGCGGGTATCGTTTCTGGCACAGTGCTTGTGGCAATTGTCTTAGAGACGAGGTTGACCTGTATGTTCTCGAGGCCCCGCTTCCATAGCTGGGCCTTGACCCAGGATGGATCATGCCATTCGTCACCGTTTCCAAGCGACATCAAGAATTCTTCTGGAGTGGGTTGGGCAAGATTACCAGGCATGGTAGCAATGGCGGCGTTGACATCTTCGCTCCATCCAGCTATCGAAAAATTTAGCAACTGATCTGAGCGGCCTTCATATAGCCAGGGAGCCAAATATCAGGGATACAATAAGTGATCTTATCCTCAAACCTACATTTTTTCCAAGTGGTAAATGCGACCGTTCCACCGGGCTTGAGAATACGGAGACATTCTTTGACAACTTCGTTAGCATCATTTATGCAACAATGGAGCTGCACTTTCGAAAGGGTGCAAGGACGGGAATATACAATGTGTACTTACCGTCAAGGCCGGCCTGGGAATTCGGAAGCGCCATTATTGCTGGAGGTTGGTTGCAACTTGTTAGTGGTTAACCCTCCTTCGGAGAGCAGAACTAATTATGCTTCATACTCACCAAACGATGCAAAGACATGAGTATAGTGAGCGGTTGAAAAGCCTGTTTCCTGCAAGTCTGCGATCGCAGTGTCTGTATTTTTCCATCCTTCATGTTTGATTGTGTCCTTGACAGCATCAATCATAGCCTCGGAGAAGTCTGCGCAGGTCAGTTTCCACCCGGTCAAGTCATTAAGCATGTCATGAAGAACCATGGAAACCGCTCCTGTGCCACAAGCATTGTCAAGAACCACCAAGGGTGTCTGCTCTTTGGCAGTAGAAAGGATGCCGGATTGTTCAACAAGGGACTTCGCAAATACTACCGTCACCTTCTCCGCGGAGCGATAGTCAGCGACGATCTTGGGATCTCTCCATATGGCTTCAGACTTATTGGACCCACGCGGGCAAGCCGTTGAGTTTGGAGGCATTTTCTATTCGTGGGGCTATAGTTCGGGATTGTGGAGGGGAAGAGACAACAAACAGTCCAAGGTGAAAATGTGAGAGGGGGACATTTGACACGGGCAGCCGCGCTGAGCATCAAGTACATCCTGCTGTGATACTATCCCTCGAGCAAACCCTTGCACAGCCTGAGACAGATATGCTCATCTCGTAAATATTGCCATCAGGTTGCGGTCTTTTCTAGATCCGACAAGGCTGGCTGATAAGAAGGTTCGATAGCGCAAATTTGACCGAGGAATGTTCGGCGCCGGACCGAGTTCTGCAGAGAACCTTATTGAGAGATTGAATACGGAGTACTCCGTAGTCTCGACCGCATCCTTGTAAGGCGCCCTAAGGGCGATCATTGGTCAAGGGGTCAGCTTGATGAACGCACAAATGCAAGAATGGCTACCATCGGGCAATCATTCCCAGCCTCTTGTTCAACCAGCAAGGGGCGAGAACCCTGCGGCCTCAGCATTTGTGATTTACTTTACGGAGTACGGAGGGCTCTGGTCCGCTCCTCCCCATGTCCATTCGGAGTCACCGGACGTGCCCAAGGTGATTAATTTGGCTTCTTGCATAAACTACCAGGCTGGCGTAGCAGAAGATAATCGTCTAGACCCTCGAGATTCAGGCGTTCCATTGACGCGAATGCCGCTGGATTTTGGGCAGATATTCCGTTAAACGGGATGATCATGTCGGTCGCAAACGCAGGCTGCCGGGCTTCAACGTTAGGTACCGGGCCGTTTTCACTAGGGAAAATTTAATCGCCTCAGCCCTGTGCCGCCACTGACAAGGTTTTGTGAAGCCAACCCAAGAACCTCCTGAAACCCGTAGTTGCCGAACGACAGCGTTAATCAATGGCATGACCCATGTCATGTCTAATTCCATTCTCAAAATCCTGCTTTTGTTAGACATGCTATGTGTCTTCAGTGAATGGCCAGATTCATTGGCTTAGTTCTCGAGGAAATACGGTGTCGAGCGTAGGATTACGTGAGGTGTCAGTGTGAAAAACAAACTCAATTAAGCTATGCGGGGCAACACAGAGGATGGACGAAGCTTAATTCAACATCTCGGCTAAATTAGCATCTCCTGAGCTTGCACGGTCTCACCAGTCTCGGTGCTTGTGACCACCACCATCGCCAATACATGCCTGGAATTGCAGAGAGCTTTTCAGGCATTGGCTTCTGGCATCATATTTGTTAGATTCCCAAGAAAATTGGCACGGCGGGAGTTAACGGAAAGTGTACGGAGTAAGATTATAGGCCACGCAAGACCACCCAGACGGTCCGACCCCCGACTGACAAGAATCCGTTATTCGACCGCCACACTGCAACCTAGTTCGTGGCATCCATGGCAAACCTCCGACGTCAGATACGATACGCCGGTCTAGGCCTTCCGGGAAATGGTCGAATCAGCCGTGAAATGAGCCCTTGACAATCGCATAGCCCCGTAGGGCCCGCCCATTCTGATATTCTCTTGTCTGTGTCAATTTCGGACAGGCAGCCCAGAAATGGCTAGGATTGGAGAGAGAGCTCCAGGCATGGAATGGGGATTCATGCAGAATGCCGTTTCTAGCCATTAACGGACGATACTGTATCCGAAGAAACAAATTGGTCTTAGCCGTTCTCCATTATTACCGCCTAGAAAGGTCTATGGAACTATATGAGGACTTTGAGTATGTTTATATTGAAGTGGATTAATGCATATTTATGTAAGCGCTTGAATTTTCATGGATTTTAATGAATTCGACTATTCCGATTTTGTCTGACTGAATTTGATAGGGTAAAAATAACAACTTCTCTCCAGTATACGAGGGCGACCTCTAATTGATTTCCCAATACAAACTAAAATGGGGGCCAGCCTAGCTACTTGTGGTCCTGGATATGGTTGTGGACGTGCTGGGTGTCCGCGTATGCTCGCAGCTCAGTAATTTTCCCGTCGTGATTGAAGCGCATCACGACCACCATTTCGTGGTTCCACGGCTTGTCTAGACGTCTTCTGTTAGCTTTTGATGCCTACATCCAATGGAGCAAGGAAAGCTTCTCACTGTTGCGAGTTGTTGCGGTGCTGTGGAGGACGGCAGCTTTCCATTCGTCGTTCTCACCACCGATGACGTGGAGGACAGCACCCTTAATTGGCTTAGTCACATCAATGATGCTGCTCAAGGATGGCATGTCATCGGATTCCAGGTGGCCTTTGAAGGCATCCAGGCCCCGGTGCTTCCCGTTCAGATGGAATTCGTGACCAGAAATGTGGACCTCGACATCTTCGGCAAAGAGTTCGTCCAGGTGTCCGAACTGGAAGAGCGTCTCGGAATCGCTGTGGAGATCCGCTTTCTGAAGACGAGAGTGAAATTGCGACTCCAGGAGCTCTTTGATTTCTGCGTTCGATGGGATGCCCATTGTCAACAACGATAGAGTACGTAACAAATAGATTGGAGAAAACCTTTTTGAACGAAAGAAAGGTTTGGCAGGCAACGAAGGTTCTTAAGGCTAGAAAATTCGAGGTTTAATGAAGCAATGCTGAATTGCGGCCTTCTTGGGAACTTTATATCCTTCCAGATATAAGGCTTACAATTATCAGTTCACATATCAGGTGAGCGTAATCGAACCTGGGGGCGGCGTAATGCGCCGAGCACCCATCCTCCGTCGCCTTGTTAATGTAACCCATCCAGGCCAAGATGCCACTGCAAGGAGCTAAAGGACGCTTTAACCGAAAACTCATGGAGCGGTGGCTGGCTGAAAAGGTATGAAACATTCTCATGCTATTGTGGTCACATTGCTGACTTCATGCAGACTCACCCACACTCAATGACGAATCTCATTTTCTCGTCTTCATTGAATGTGAAATGAAAAGTGGCCTCAGCTGATGTCGCACTTCTCAGTGAATTCCTTGGCTTCGAAAGGATGAGACCAGCAAAGAAAGTTAGCGAGGGCGTATGAAATTCTCTGTGGAACGGTTCCTTAATGTGTCATTCCAAGGCTATCCACTCTCATCATATCAGCTTATCGCTTCAAGACGATTCACGGAACAAACTGCGTTTTCTCTTCCGCAAAATTTTGTTTGAATCTTCAACATGGACTCAACGCCGGAAATATTACCAATCGATACTCTCCCTAGCGGAATGCCTACCACGAATACCTCAACCGGCATTTTCCCCTCCCTGACAGACGGGTATATTGCCGAATGCACCAACACTGGAAACAAAACCTACGAACTTGACTCTCAGGTTTCCAATTATGTTTCTGAAGCTCAAGATGTACTCGGCTCCTATGAAATTTCCCCTGAAGCAGTCGTTATTGCCGCATGGGCTTGCACCGTTTCCAAGTATATTGGAGAAGACGATGTTTCCTTCTACGTCTTCCTAGATGGCAAATTCAATTGGAAATTTTCGATCTGCCGTTTAAATCTCCATGAATCCCAAACAAAACTGCAACTCCTCCAACGGACACAGACCTTACTTAATGATATCAAGGTCCGAGGCATACCCGTTAACGATTCATTCCAACACGAGTCGTATGAATTGTTCAGTGAGCCCGCCAATACAGCGGTTATATATTCTAATGGGCTTTGCGATAGCGCTTCACCTACACTCGAGCATATAATGCATAAGGTATTCATATATCCTCCATTCAATAGCTACTATTCACTAATTGCTTGTATAGAAAAAGTTTCTTAGCCTTAACGTTTTAAAAGCCAGAGGTGGCACAGACTGCTATATGGGCTATCAACATTGCATGCTTTCGGATGGACAAGCGATCAACGTTAGTACGACATTCGTCACAATTTTTTCTAGCCTGGGAAAGGAGTTGAACATTTCCATTGGATGCATGGATTTCATGAACCAATCTCACCTGGACCAATTGTGGAAATTCAACGATACTGTCCCTGAGAAACCCTGGAGCGAATGCTTTCATCAGGTGGTCGAGCGGCATGCCCTAGATAGACCGTTGGCGCAGGCTATAGACGCATGGGATGCGCAATTTACGTACCAAGACTTGTCTAGGTTGACAACTCGACTTGCACAATATCTCCAAACCCAAGGTGTGGGCCCTAGGGTTATCGTCCCAATTTGTTTCGAGAGATCAGCTTGGGCGATAGTTGCTATGCTAGCTGTCTCTAAGGCCGGAGGTGCCTTCGTCAGCATCCCGCCTTACCTTCCACCTGGCAGACGGGCGGCTATAATTCAAATGGTTGGGCCGACAATAGTGTTGACGACGTCGGACCATGGCCATCTCTGGACCCCCGGGTTTAACTGGATTCCGATAGAAGGTGACCGTATTAATCGCTTGCCAGCTTGTGACACCGCATTAATCTCGAGTGTAAAACCGACAGATATGCTCTACGTTATTTTCACCAGTGGTTCAACAGGCGTGCCAAAGGGGTGCATGGTTTCACATTTGTCCTTCCTGAATGGAGCCCTTAAAAAGGCGCCCGAGTGGAAGTTTGGGCCAAATCGCCGTGTCCTTCAGATGCTAAGCCACACATTTGACATGAGCCTTCTCGAGATTTGCACTAGTCTAGGTTCTGGAGCATGCGTATGCGTGCCTCGGACGGAAGAGATTGAGGAAGACCTCTCTCATGCGATCAATAAGTACAACATAACGTTAGCGGTCATGACTCCATCGCTTGCCCGTAGATTGGACCCTCAAACTGTACCCGGCCTAAAGGTTCTATGTCTAGGAGGCGAAGCATTTCCCAAGGAAATTGTCACGCTATGGTCGGAGAAGATTAATCTGTTCCAATTCTACGGTCCCAGCGAGTGCTCTATAAATTCATCAACCCGGGCAATTACTCACAGAAACACTGACCCTTCAAATATCGGGGCTCCAAATAACGCGGCGTGCTGGGTTGTTATGCCAAATAACTATAATAAGCTCGTCCCCGTTGGTGCGATTGGAGAATTGCTCGTCTCTGGGCCTATTGTTGGATTAGGATACCTCAAGGACCCAGTCAAGACATCTCAGGTTTTCCTAGATGATGTGGTATTTTTGCAAAGTGACCCTCGGTACAAAAATTTCTGCTGCTACAAAACCGGCGACCTAGTCCGCTGGAACTCTGATGGAACCCTCACATTTTGCGGTCGAGTAGACGCACAAGTGAAACTTCACGGTCAGCGCCTAGAACTCGGAGAAGTTGAGTTCCATTTGACTCTCCACAGTGAGGTCCGCCATGCCGTGGCGATAGTTCCCAAGACTGGGCGGAGCCAAAACAATTTAATTTCAGTCATTTCTTTGAAGTCAAACCCGGGAAGTCGCAGCATGACCAACGACATGTCACTGCTTAATGATCAATCAATTGATACAGTCGCTCGATCTCTCCGAGCCCAGCTGCAGAATGCACTACCAAGATATATGGTGCCAACGATATGGGCGTTTGTCGAGTCCATGCCCATGTCAGCTTCTGGGAAAATAGATCGTGTCAGAGTGCGGAAATGGGTCGAAGACATGTCAGAGACAACATTTTCTGAAATAACTGGGACTAGGCCTGAGTTTATGGATAACGCTGAGCCTACAACGCATATTGAATGGGTAATCCAGGAAGCCTGGAGCAACGTTCTCGGGTTATCCCCACAACGGGTTGGCCTTCATCAGTCTTTCATCCAACTCGGTGGAAACTCCATTCTCGCTCAGGAAGTCGTTGCTAAATGCCGCAAAAATAGCGTCGGCCTAACAATAATGAACATTCTGACGTGCGAGGGGGTCTCCGCGGCCGCAGTTATGGCGACTTCACTCACCAAAATTAATACTCCAAGCAAATCAGACTCTGTTGTCCGTTTTCAAACAGCTTGGAAGAAACTCCAGCAGGATTACAGTCTTTCGTATCTGGAAGTTTCCCACTTTGACGAAATTGAAGACGTATACCCATGTACTTCGATGCAAGCGGGCATGTTCATTGGCCAAATCCGTAAGCCGGGGTCATATCATCTTCGCTTCTTTTACAAGGTTAGGTCTAAGACGGGGAGTTTGCTTAGCTTTGCAAAGGTGGAAGCTGCATGGCGTAGAGTTGTTGCTCATCATCCATCGCTTCGCACAATCTTCGTGGACGATCTTGGAGCTGACGCTGACTATCATTCAGTTGTGATACGGCAGCCTCGGGTGGACCTTCGCGTGCATGAGGTGCCAGCAAATACATCCTCATCTGATGCCATGGAAATCTTCACTCGTTCAGTAGAGTCTTTTAAAAAAGGCTCGCCCTTCCACCGACTGACCGTATGTGTGTGCGATAGCGAGGTCACCTACTTGATGGTGGAAATTTCTCACGCCCTGGTGGACGGAGCCGCGATGGAAGCCCTTATGAGAGACTTTGCTCATGCTTGCGATGAGAAGTCGCTTTCTCACCACGCTCCAAGGTATCGCGATTTTGTGGAATACACGGCCACACGGAACAGCGAGGCAAGTGCTAAATACTGGACGGCTTATCTTGAGAATTGCCCGCCATGCATGATTCCAGTAAACACACGGATTGCCTTCGACTCTTCACCAACTTGCTTCTTGCGAAAAGATTTCGATTATGAAAGAAGTGATAACTTCTTATCCAGCTGCAAGGAGAACCATATAACTATAGCATCCGCGATTAGAGTTGCATGGGCATTGGTCCTTCGGGCCTATACTGGTTCTCGAGATGTCTCTTTTACTTATGTTGCTGCTGGAAGGGACGTTCCAATCGAGAATATTGATCAAATGATTGGACTATGCCTAAGCATACAGCCTTGTCGTGCGCAGTTCGTGCCCGATGCAACCTTGGCAACTCTTGCGAGGAAAATGCAACAGGAGTACATTGAGAGTATACCATACCAGCACTACCCCTTAACAGAGCTAAAAGGTAGACTCTATCCTGAAGGCAGCGAGGCAATGTTCAATACAGCGGTATCAATGGAGTGGACAGCTAAAACGGATCCGTATGCTGAGTCTTCTTTAGTCCTTGAGGAAATCAGGGAGCAGGATGACCCAACGGAGGTAAGTCTGTTTGGTTGTTTCCATTGGCCTTAGCACACTAATAACGTGCTTTGCAGTACGACCTAGTTGCCAACGTCGATATTTTGCACGGTCAGATCAAACTTGGCTTCTTATACTGGCCATCCCTTACTGATACCGACGTAACATACATCGCGAATACATTTAAGAAGGCTTTAAATTGCTTCCTTGAGTCTGTCGATACATCCATCGATTCTATATCGTTGCTTTGCGATAGCGACTTTAACAAATTGGATTCCATGCAGCATTCACCACTGAATGCGGTGGAAATGAGTGTACTCGATGCTGTGGAGGGGCAGGCGACGTCACAGCCAGATCTCCCAGGCATCCTATCCTGGGATGGAGAATTCTCCTACGACCAAATGGTAAAATGGTACACGAGACTTGCGAAGTATTTAATCTGCCAAGGTGTGAACCGTGGGGAT